AGGAGGAGGGACCTTTTATACCCAGTCTGGTCCATATTAATTGATTTTATCCTGTCCTGTTCCTGATTAGGGCGGAGCTACCCATAAGTGATGCTGCCATGAATAATAGCCAGGAAAAGAAAATTACGGTAAGTATGATAAAATTTTCTGTAGTATTAGAGAGGGGGGGCACTGGAGGCTGCGTATTAGATTGGGGGGGCATAGTAAGTAGCTTGAAGTGAAGCTTTTAAGTGAATTATATTACGTCCATTTATACAGACAAAACAACCAACTGGCTTATAGTCTGTATACAAAGCCTACTGATAGAAATAATATTGCATTCGGCTAGCTTCCACCCAAAACACCTCATTACCATACTCACAATTCCCTTTTTTAATTTCTTTATTTTTTCAACTTGGCAGCGAACAGTAGGCAAGTTAATAGCAATTCGGCTTGTGCAAAAGCCTATGTACATATCTGACATTTCCACTGCTCTTATAACTGACCGCCAAGGGTTTTTGGTTTTTATAAAAAGGAACAAAACAAAGCACACATTTGCTACTGCATAGGATATGTTACCTCACTTTTTAGATCTCTCTAGCTGTATCAGCCTTTTAGTGTGGCTTCATATACCCATCTTACGCTGGTTCCCATAGATCGTATGGGAGAAAAGGATAGTCAAGAAGAAAGAGAGCAGAGAAAGGAGAAAGATAGACATTTAAAAAGAGGGGGGGAGATGCCGGAGCAGGGCGCGGCCGGGGAGGGGTGGATCCTGCGGGTCCCCAGTGTTGCGCATTCGTCTGCCTCTGGGTCGTTGTCGGGTTGGGTTATTTGTCGGGACTGTGCAGCATGGTAGGCTCTACCTATGTCCTTGTTTGGATGATCCCTATCCCATTTGGCTGTTGTCCCAGGGTTCCCATATTCTCTGGAATGCTACCGTGGTCCCTTTGACCCTAGCTGTTAAATCGTCCATAGTACATAAATAAACCAGCTAGTATGGAATAATTATTATTGTTAATAATTATTCCATACTAGCTGGTTTATTTATGTACTATTTTTAATGCTGTCCATTTATCAATTGATTTCCTTGTCAGCATCCGTAGATCTCCCTAGTTGGAGATTTTCACAACAGTTAATCATTATTTAACTTTCAGTTTAGTCGTATTTATTTAATTGTGTTGACCTCTTATCATTTTTCAAGTAATATTGTTTTTAATTGCTTAATCCAACTTCATGTGGTTTAGAGATTCCGATGTCATTATTCTGCCGCAATTTACCTTTTACCTAGTCCTGTCTCTCTCATTCTCTTCTAAGCCATTGGTTTTACAAAACACCCTCGGCTACAATACAAGTTTTAAAATATGCTTCTATGTATTTACACATTTTTTCCTTCTAGTATTTAGGGAGTATCATTCAAATATAGCTATATGGGAGTAGTTTGACTATAACATAATGGATTTGGCAGTATTAGTCCATCTCTACACAGCTCCATATTGGCTGGTTTACAGAACAATAGTGTGGCTTTATATTCTGTTTATAACACTCTTCCAACTTCTTTTTGGGCACTTATATCCCCCCTCTATTTGTGAGAAGTGTAGACCCATGCTGGCTGAGTGTGATGGTATTTGCACTCTGCCAGAGTGAAGTCCTATCAAGGTCTCAATCCAGTTAGTGGAGCAGCACATCATATATGGTGCTTACTGATACTTTGTATCAATTGCATTATGGATAAGGCGCACTTCTGCCCCTTAGGATTACAGCCTCCAACTGGGTCGCAACACAAGAGCACACCATACAGCTTATGGACGAAGCTAGATTCCACTGCAGAGACACCAGAAACCAGCATGGCGCACTTCTGCCCCTTAGGATTACAGCCTCCAACTGGGGCGCAACACAAGAGCACACCATACAGTTTATGGACGAAGCTAGATTCCACTGCAGAGACACCATTAAAGGGGACCCTAACACCAACCTCTGGGACACTCCAGCGCAAGGCATAGGCTGAAGCGCCCACCATACTGCCTCCCAAGGGTATTGCTGTCTTTAGCCTGGCATGTTCAGAGCCCCCACAACAGCGAAGTACCCAGACACAGAGGCCTGATGCACCCCCCCCCAAGTAGACTATGCTTCAGTTTTAACTCTTACCCTTAGCGGTTATGGGACTGTTAACCACGCTGAAACCAACTCCCAGTGGCTTAAAGTCTAGTTAACTGTTGACCTAACATTTTGTACTTTTCCTTATGTTTAGATAGTTTAAGCGATGTTACCTGACGCTATAGGTACGACTTAGCGAAATTTACCAACTCTAACGCCTTATAGCCTATGTTTGTAGAGCGTGACTTACCTATGCATTACACAGAGCCCAGCTATTGTTATACGGTGTAATAGATTGTATTATCACTACACTAGAATAGCCAACCTAGCAATGCTAAAAACCATCCCTTTAAGGCTACTCTGACAATATGAACGCTTAGTAGAGCTTGTTACTTACATTAAAAAAAAAAAAGTGCAAACTTCTATGTCACAGTCTAACATATGTAACTCTTGAAACAAGCTGTTGTGGCGTATGTTGACAACCTGTAATAATCTGCACAACATAAATAAAGAATAAATAAAAAAAAGCAAAAAACTAAATCTCACGATCAGCACTTATATCTCCCCTCTATTTGTGAGAAGTGAAGACCCAAGCTGGCTGAGTGTGATGGTATTTGTCCTGTCAAGGGCTCTATCCTGTTAGTAAAGCAGCACATCATGTATGGTGCTTACTGATACATTGGATCAATTTCATTTCAGGCACAGTGCCAGAAAGTAGTAGTCAGAGGGAAAGATTTCACGGTACACACCCTACAGCAATACTAGCTTTGTGTTTACCGATCAAACAGCATAGCAATCGTGGGTGAAATTGCGTTCCGCTGATCACCTAGCAACTACGGTTGAGGCACTTTGATCAACCGTTCCACGTGCAGTCTGAATGCCATTTAGGTTCTCTCACACATGAAGCTGGTTAGTATCCTTTTATGTTTTGCTATAAAATTATGTGTATTTGTGTATTTTATTGCCATCCTGATGAAAGCCCATGTATTGGGGCTGAAACGTCAATATTTTTAAATTATATAGAATAAAAGTTATATTTTATTTTTATTATCATCAAGTCCTTGGAGTGCGGTAATTTACAATCATTTTTTTGTATCTTGTGCCCGACCAGCAACAGGCAATTACTCTCTAATCCAGGAGTGCAAGCATCTCGGTTTTCAGATTTATATAAAATATATATATATATATATATATATGCAAATATATAGAAATATTGCCTGGGTGCAAACCTCAGCGTTAATGTAGATACAAAATATGCAAATAAGGTGCACTCTCAGGTCTCAAAAAGTGCTTAATTTATTTCAGTTGCAAATTACATGTGCAAAAAAAATCATCCAGTGATCGATGTCTAGACCCCTATAGGGCCTTATATATATATATATATATATATATATATATAATATATATATATATATATATATATATATATATATATATATATATATATATATATATATATATATATATATATATATATATATATATGTATGTATGTAACAAAAAGTGTCCGGACTGCACTCACGGTCTTAAAGTTGAAAATATTTCTTTATTCCATATAACAAATCGACGTTTCGGTCCACGCAGGGACCTTCTTCAGATACTATTTGATCCTGAAGAAGGTCCCTGCGTGGACCGAAACGTCGATTTGTTATATGGAATAAAGAAATATTTTCAACTTTAAGACCGTGAGTGCAGTCCGGATACTTTTTGTTACTACTACCTATCGCCCCAAGAGACTGGCACCCGGCAAGTACTTCATTTTTCAAATTTTTTAAGCGTGAGTGCATGGATTCATTGACTGTTATATATATATATATATATATATATATACATATACATACATACCCATGATTACATATTGTTTGCATGAGAATGAGGAGAATGATACAAGTAATTTAGTTTGTGTTGGTCGAACTCTTTCTTTTTTTGTGGCCCACACAAACTTAAACCTTGTTTATTTGGCCCGTATTAGCCTTTGAGTTTCACATACTTACCCTAGATTAACAGTTGCTTAAAGCGCATGGTGCAGAACATATCTGGGTATCATTCCAACACAGAGTGATTTGACGACTAGATACAGGGGCAACACTCCTTAGCCCAGTTTTGTATTTTGCTCTTTTTAATCTATATGTTAAATCATACATATAAAATCAGAAAACTGAAAAGGTGTTGTCTTTCTGTATAATTCTCGAGATTTCCAAATCTGAAATGGAGACCTGCGTGTCTCACGCCATAATTCATACAGTGTAACCTATGTGGTTTTGAATGTATTACATTTACATGTTTACCGATGACCTTTATTATGAGACCTGTGTCACAATTGATGCCCTTTTCCACTGCTATGTTCAATTGAAAGTCGAATAAAAAAAAAAAAGATATTTACAAAAAAAAACAAAAAAAACCCCGAACAATTATAGCAAACACACTAGGCAACAGTATACGATGCCGGCCTGCAATTTCAAAGGCTAGTTAGGTGCATTCATGTGTAAAAAGGGGTTTTGAATCACGTGAACCAGATATAATTTTGCCTCTTTAGAAATCAATGGTAAGATCCCACGTGACTTTTGGACGTTTTGTTAGACAAAAGAAGTCCAAATGGTTCAGTACCTAATGGGGCAAACCCATCCATTTCCATCAGGGAACCTAACAATATCCAGATTTCAGCCTGTCTAAATCCTAAATGTCCAAACTAAATAGTTAAGGCAGGCTGTACATTGTGTGAATCCATAGTTTAAAGTAAAAACCAAAAATACGAGGGGCAATAAATAAGCCCCTACTAGGTTAATTTATTTGGAAGGAGGAGTAAAAAAATGAATCGAGTGAAGATTTCCCTATTTAAAGAAAGTAGCAATGGAATGCTTGCTTTATGTAATAACACAAAACAAATAGCTTATTGTAAAATATTTTTATTTGATGAAAATATTGCACTCTTACTGATACAATATGTAGACATTCATTGATTATTTTAATTTATCAAAGTGCTGCTGAATAGGCTCTTGCCTACTGTATTAGACAAACTCATAAAACATTATAAAAAGATTCAAAATATAACATTTTAATAAATATTGAATAACCCTCCAAAAAAATAAATAAAAAGTAACAGGAAAAAACTAAACAATGTATAGCTGAAGAACACTCATAAATTTGAATAACTGGCAATAACCTGTTCAAGTGTTGTGAAACTTTCTAAGAATTCCTCTTCTTCTATGCCAAACTTTGTATATTGATGCACATACGCTCTGGAGAAGGAAAAAAAACAACAAAACATTAAATGATACCTGAAAAACTGAGCATAGGCTCTGAAGAAGGTAAAATAAAATTAAATAAAGAACTAAGTATAATTGTCTGCATGTGTATTCTGTTGCTGATATTTAAATGACCAATCATTCATTATCTGACTTGACAAAACAGAAATGTTTTCATATAAGAAAAACAATGTAAATATGGTTTGATTATTCAAAACATAATGGATGACCTACTCGATAATTATTGGAGTGTTGTTTGCATTAAGAAATCTTTAACTCTCCTTAATTGAAACACTATAAAGTGATTAATAAATGGTACATGGTACCATCCAAATTAAGAAGAATTTCAACTCGAAACAATGATACATGCTGGAGATGTGGAGAGAGTAAGGGAGATTATCTACATATATGGTGGAATTGTGGAAGAGTGGACCCCCTGTGGCATATGGCTAAATCTATAATAAGCAGAATGGGTAATATCAAAATAGTATTTAGACCGGAAGTCATGTTGCTTCACTTAGGTTGGCCTAAAAAGAAATAGTTGGAACAAGTGTTGATTATACATTGCCTTGTAGCTGTAAAAATTATAATAGCTAGAAACTGGAGAAAAACACAGGTATTTTCTATGGTACACCTTATTCAGCAGATCAAATTCCAGATTCAAATGGAAATGGGTGTTAATTAACTTAGAAATCATTATCGAGAGATAGACATATCTAACTGGCTAGAAATACTAGAACAAAAAAAAGGAATTATTGTTGGGAACACAACAAATTGAAGTATGAAAAATAGGTAAATATAAAGGTTTGATTATATATTTCCCCGAGACTGAACGAACAAAATAAATCTGTAACAAAAAAAAAATTAAAAAAAGAGAAAACAAGAGAAAGAATAGAGGAAAGAGAGTAGGGGTGGAAAAGAAAAAGAAAAAAAAGAAAGGAAAGAGAAAAGAGAAGGGAAAAAGGGAGGGAAAAAAAAAATCAATATCTACTGTAATTAACTATTTAGTGTATGTTGGTATGAATGGAAGAGGTTTTGTATTTTTATTGTTTTTTAAAAAAAAATTTTTCTTTTTCTATTTAAACTGTTAATCAAACAAATAGTAATAGCTTCATAGATACTGTGATATTGACAAGTGGTTGAATTGTTACATCTTTCCAGTGCCTATCTATATGTTATATTGAACAAATAGAAACAACACAAGAGAGGAAAGGGAGAGAAAAGAAAAGAACAGATATAATATGTATGATGACAAATATACCAAAGCCTTAAATAAAGAAGCACTCTTAACTTTTCTAAGGCTGGTATTGGACTGAAAAAAAAAAAATCTTTAAAACAAACATATTCACAGTCCCTTTTAAAAGATGTATTCATGCTCTCCATGCAATACAAGCAGGGAATAAATAAATTAAATGTGGACTCCTGAAGGTGCATGGGATTTGCAGTACATATAATTAAAAAGCAAACTTCTTATTAAATCTGACATTTTGGGAAAAACAGCAGTTTAGAAAAAGAGCACAAGAAAAGATGAAATGTATTTGTTTTTTGCAGAAGCATTAGCTGATTGCTCTATTATATACATTAGCGTGTATGGGCAGGACATAATATATGACAGGAAGTGGGGAGGGGTGGAAATACTAGTGGTACAGATGTACAGTGAGCCCTTCAGGTGATAGATCTAGAATGGGATGTCATTTCTTGGCTTTGCTGACAAGCATTAAAAGGCAAGACAGGATTACGAAGGACAAGAAGGAGTAAAGAGAAATAGCAGGTTGGCACCCAAAGCAACATATGTATATTAACAATTTATGTGTGAATGTGTGTCTGTATGACTAGAAATCTGCATGACTGAATGTGTGTCTCTACATGTATGTTTGCAATTCTATTTCTAATTGTAGCTCTGTTTGTTTTCCTTTGTAAATGACTGAGTGTATCTCTGTGTGACTGAGGGAAGTGTCTGTATAATTATGTGCCCTTATCTGTGAGTGTGTTTTTTGAAATTGTGTGTGTGTGTATAGGGCAGAAGGAGGGGTTAGAATGTTTACAGGAATGTATTACATGTAATATGCGTACTTGGGTTGGGTTAATTGCTTTCATTGTCAGAGAAATGTGAGGGTGTGAACTGGAGAGAAAGGGTAAATTAAAAATAATGGCAGGAGTTAATTGCGGGACAATGTAGAGATCTATATTGTGTTGGGAGTGGGATCATTTCCAAGGAACTATGGGGCTGTAAAGTGGGAAGGAAGGTCAGATTAACTGGCAACCAGCAGATTCATGTTGGAAGGGGGTGTGAGTATGTACATTAGTGGTATATTTGTTTAAAGGATAGTCTAAGCACTATAACCACTGGTAGTGGTTATGGTGGCCGGAGTCCCTTCGTGCCATCTGAAAGTAAACTATTACAACATTTAAGAACAGTTTCACACTTACCATCTCAAAGCAGGTTGGAATTTCTTAACTGAGAGCTGTAAATGGTTTGAGAGTTTACAGTCAGACAGCACCAGGGGAATCCTGGCATCATAACTGCTATGATGCACTGTAGTGGTTATGGTGCTTAGAGTATCCTTTAAAGTACACTTAATGGGAAACATTAAATAAATAGTTTATTGCCCCAGGGCACAATTCATTAGTTCTGCCACTGGGCTGAGCCAAAATAAATAGTCCCCAACAAAACAGTTTAAATAAGAGTCTTAAGGCTAGGGCTTTTTATGGCTCACACAAAACGCAAGCTCTACATTAAAGTGAATGCATTTTATAAACACTTTCAGGGTCTTATTTGGAGAGTTTATTTGCATGCACTCCACCTATTGTTCCTGTAACATTTTGTAACTGTCTTATTTATAGTTACATTTACCCCTTTATAATATTGTAAAGCTCTGCTGAATATGTTGGTGCTGTATAAATAATAATAATAATATACTTTGCCATGTTTCATGAGCTCCATATATTCAGCTTCCCAAGTGATTTAATATGTTTTCATACACATCAAATGATGACAACTCTTAGAATACATGCAAGTCTTTTCCACCTGTGCGGACACTTAAATAAAATAATCAGCAAACCACTTACTTTGAAGAAAACATGTTCCATGCCTTGCTAACAATTGTATCTAAGGGTTTCAGCAAACACTGACTATTGCTAACCAAAGCAGCAGACTTCTCATATTTGTTGAAAGATCTTGGTGTTTTCCATATATTGCAGGCATCATCTGAAGGTAACCAGGAGGTGTACAAAGATGGATCCTGGAATCCTTCTGAAAAGAATATGAAAAACATCACACTTAAAGACAGATGGACAACATTATTATAGAGTTAGGCCAAATCCATTCACCACTACTAACCAACAATTCCATGGATTAAATAAAAAATGAAAAATAGCACTATAAATTGTACAACAATGGTAATTAATAGATTTGTGGAAAAATTAATTTGAACCGGTTTATCTGAATCACATTCCTGGTAAATGTCAAACGAATCAAATCTGAATAGTTTACTTGAACACATTGAGTCTGAGATTCTTTCCGATATTGATTAACATGAATTTTATTTGGATGAACAATGGATTTTTGCACAAGTCTACAAATAAAAACGGCTTTAGTATTTCAGATAGCATAGTTAAAATATATAGTAGCACAGTCAACATATATAAGTAGTTCTGAAGATTCTAATCCACATAGTGTCCTTTACGTCTATCACAATTACATTTTAAATATTCATTCATAGAAAACTCTGATTGTGGGAATGTACAGTCATGGGTAAAAAACTTTTTTTTAACACATGCCTTTTACATTTTGGCTTTATTTTTGTTAAATAAATAATGACACAGTTTAATATGTCATGTGTTGTTCATCTAAAGTTGTATTTAACTAATTTTAAGACCTGTTAAGGAACAGGTGATTGCATTTGTATCTTGATACATAAAACCACAGAATTCAAAGAAGGTGTACTTTCTTCTTCCCATGACTGTATGTTTTATGCTAATTACCTAAACCACAAGTACAATACATACAGAACCTGATCTCAGTTGGGATGTGTTAAAAAAAATTGTCTCCTTTCTGTGTCTCCTTGTCTGTAATGATACCATCTGTTAAAACTCTTTTTAAATTGGGTAAACTCCTATGTATGTATTTTATGTAAACGTCAGGTATTTAACATCTCTGCCTTTTCTGGTTATGTCATATATATGAATCTTATTTTAAGTCCATATGATTATGCTTTTAATTGCCTTTTAAGTTAGTATATATGTACGTACGAACATATGTCTTATATCTCTCTAGAAGGTTGCTTAAATAATGAGATTTTGACATACAATGCATTGTTGAGTTAAGCATATACATGTATTTTTACTTATGTTTAGTGATAAACTGTATTTATAATTTTATGTCATTTTATTCATGCATAATAATAATGATAATCAATTGTAAGCTTGTTCATCTAATTATAAATGCTTTGACCTCTAGTGTAGGGTAGATGTGTGTGATTAAACGGATTTATATGCAAATGTTGGACTTGTACAATTGAGCCAATAGGAACTCTTGTGGGCAGAAAGATTATTGCCCTTAAATTCTACTGGCCGACACACTACTTAAGTTCTGAAGAAGCTAAAAGGCGAAACGCAGAAACGTAAACACGCACTGACGTCATTGAGATGGGCATCACCTGTAACCCAGTGAACTCCAAACCAACAGCGTGCTGGGACATTACTACGGTGAGCAGAAGATTGAAGGGCGGCCATCGGCAACACCACTACTGATCCCGGTTGGAGAGTAAAGGGGGAGACCGACAACACTGCTGCTGACTCTGCTAGATCCCATACCAACAAGCATGTGTAAAAAGCACTTGTGAGTAGCGGATACTCTTTGCCCGCATAAAGCTCACCTACTGCCATCTTGTAAGCAGTAAACATACCCTTTAGAGTTGTACATTCGCAATAAATACTCCTTTTTAAAAATTATTTTCTATATACTGGATTGTTATATCAATATACTGCACGATCATTGTATACCTGTGCTTTTTTCACATGTCATCGAGATCCATCTCCATACATTAAGCATATTTTTATTTCCCTTCCTCACTAAGAGTTGTATTGGGAGGTTTTAGTTGTTTTTTGCGTTCCACTTATTTTTTGTTTATAAGGACTGGACTGTTTTTGCGATGTTGTACATTTGCGACCAGGCCTCTTTTTACACTTTTGTGGTGTTTGTGTTTAGCTGTAATTTTCTGCTCTCTCATTTACTGTTCCCATACAAATTATATATGTTTTTTTTCAGGACAAAAAGGGCTTTCTTTACATACCATTATTTATATAATCTCATGTAATTTAATTAAAAATATATATATATATATATATAATGAAAAATAGAAAAAAATAATTTTTTTTTACTTTTACTTGAAAAATCTTTTACTCATCTAGAAAAGCGAATGAAAAAAAACGCTAAATAGATTCAAAATTTTGTTGTGAGTTTTCAAATACCCAGTGTTTACCTGCTTTTTTTGCAAGTTATAGGGCTATAAGTACAAGTAGGATATTGCGGTTTCAAAACATACATTTTTTTAATTTATCAGTAGTGACATTGTAACACTATTATCTGTCATAAATCTCTGGAAAACACCCCACATGTATTTTTTTTTTTAAAGTAGACAACCCAGGGTATTCATCTAAGGATATTTTTGACACTTTCTATGCAGCCATTTTACCACCAGTCTTTGCCAAACTTCGCATAGGTAGTGTTTTTTTTCCCCACATACATTGCAATTTGGGTATAAACTCACAGAGCCTGTTATCTGTTGCTGCCAAAAAACACACTAATATATGTTTAGCAACATCTCCCGAGTACAGTGATACCACCCATGCATAGGCTTGTTGAGTTGTTTGGGGGCTAAAAGGCCACATTTGGCAGGTGAGCATATCCATTTTCCAACTTGGAATTTTGACATGTAGTCAACCTGCGCACATGTCCTATTTGGGACATTTGTAAGGCCGACCAATGTATTTTACCACCACCAAACATTTATATTTGTGAAAAGTAGACACCCTAGGGTATTTTTAAATGGTGGTATTTTAACACTTTCCATGCATTAATTCTACCACCAGACTTTGTCAAACATTTAGGTAGTAATTGTTTTTGTGTTTTAGGCATGAATTAATTGATCCTGTTATGTGACATTGCCAAACAACACCCCAATATGTGTTCAGCAACATCTCCTGAGTACAGTGATACCACCCATGCATAGGCTTGTCGGGTTGTTTGGGGGCTAAAAGGCCACATTTGGCAGGTGCGAATATCCATTTTTCAACTTGGAATTTTGACATGTAGCCAACCTGCGCACATGTCCTATTTGGGACATTTGTAAGGCTGACCAATGTATTTTACCACCACCAAACATTTATATTTGTGAAAAGTAGACACCCTAGGGTATTTCAAATGGTGTTTTTTGTTTTAACACTTTCCATGCACTAATTCTACCACCAGACTTTGTCAAACCTTTAGGTAGTAATTGTTTTTGTGTTTTTTTCACACACATTGTACTTTAGGCATGAATTAACAGATCGTGTTATGTGTCACTGCCAAACAACACCCCAATATGTGTTCAGCAACACCTCCTGAGTACAGTGATACCACCCATGCATAGGCTTATCATGTTGTTTGGGGGCTAAAAGGCCACGATCGAGACTTGTACAGATCAGTTTTTCAACTTGATATATAGGTATGCTTGGCCTATCTTCAGTTTGGCATATTTTTGCATCCCCCTGTTAATGTTAATATCATGAAAGTGTATTTTTTTTTTCACATCCTTCCCCCAACCATTGTGCTAACCAAATTTCAGAGAACGTGTAATTTTTGAATTCTGCTTTTTATGCACAGGTCATCTGGTTTTGGCCAGCCAGTTATATGTTACTGCCATAAAACTTTTTTAACCAAATGTGCAGGTATCAAATGCACCTTTAGCAGCATTCTCTAAACTAACTCCTGCAAAAATAATCTAATTGGGGATTTGGGGGGAAGGAAACTGACTAAAATTTGCTGCTTTCAAAAGAAAAAAAAAAAACAGTGCAAAGGGGTGTCTGTCCTTTTCCCTTTTTTTATAACAGACCCAGCAACATTTCAGGGGATTTGTTTTTTTTGCAGTTGGCGGTATCTTAAAAATAAAATCTCCATAAATTATTGTGGAAATCAGCTTGAACTGAAATTGGAGAAAGGTGGTTCTTCCTGGATTCATTTTTTTAAAGAGTAAAAATGAATTATGTGTTGCTACTTGCAACAGGTAGATAGCCACCTTTTTATACCAGGCTTTTGTCTTTCTTAAGATAAGATATGGCTGCATCAGCTGATCAGCCAAATCAACACCCCCCATGTGCCTGTTATAAGCCCTGAGGCAAACCGGTTTTGTCTGCACCCTGCCTCGGACAGTGACGTCTGACATGCTTTCTTTATGGATGGTTGTTAGCATGTGAACATCCTTTCTGTCCTTAAATTTTAGCGCAAGCAGTTCAGCTTTGCGCAGAGCTATGCTTTCACCTTTTTTTAATTTGGCTTCTATGAGAGGTCTTGGGAAATCCTTGGCATTTCTTCTTACAGTGCCGCAGGCCAGTGTCTGCAAACGATAAAGAATTTTAAACAAGTGGACACTGCTGTAAAAATTGTCCACATAAAGGTGGTAACCCTTATTTAACAAGGGTATCAGTAGGTCCCAAACAAGTTTCCCAAATGTCCCCAGAGAGTCAGGACAGCCAGGAGGGTTCAGTTGACCATTTTTCCCCTCACATACACGAAAGGCAAATGTGTAGCCACTTTTGCTCTCGCACAGTTTGTACACTTTAATGCCATACCTAGACCACTTTGAGGGGATATACTGTTTGAACCCTAATCTCCCTTTATATTTCATAAGGGATTGATCAATAGATACATTTTGTTGGGGAGTATAAACTTCAGAAAATCTGTTCTGAAGATGGTCTACCAATGGGCGTATTTTATGAAGCCTATCATATTGGGGGTGATCTCTGGGGTGACAGAGGGTATTGTCGTTGAAATGTAAGTATCTCAGCAGCAGCTCATATCTTGGTCTAGGCATTGTTTGGGAGTATATAGGAATCGAACAAATTGGGTTGGTGCACCTGTAAGAGCGGATTGATGGCTTCTTTATTATCCCCATGAGCATTCTAAGAGCCCAGAATTTTTTAAGTTCAGGGACATCTGTGGGATGCCAAGCATGCTCCCTGACTGTATAGCTACCTGGATTGGTCTCAGTAAATTGGCTAGCGTATAAATTAGTCTGGGAAACAATCTCCTCCCAGATGGTATCCCCTAAAAATAACTCCATATATTATATAGGGGAGAAGTCAACCACATTCATATTAATGCCTGCATTGGCACTAAAAGGGGGGATGTTGGGCTCAGCTGACTGTGGAAGTACCCAGTCCTCCTCCACATTCGGTGTAGCAGGGGAAGCACAGCTTCTTTTAGCAGCTGGCTCACACACAGATGACATGTCACTAGATGTGCCGCTAAACTGACCTGGGCCAAAATCGGACACAGTGTCAATGGCGTCAGAGTCTGACACCAAGAAGGCATATGCCTCCTCCAAGCTGTACATGCGTTGCATGTTTCACACTAACAGACTGAACTAACAAAATACTAAACCCCCCTTTTTTTTTTTTTTTACACTAAAACAGACTAAAACAGTAATTCCTAAACTAACTCCTGTTAAAAGAATCTAATGGAGATTTGGGGGAAGGAAACTGACTGACTAAAACAGTCTAAGAGACAGATTTTAAAAATAAAGTTAACCCTTAAGGGCAAAACTCTCCTCCTCCTTCCGATGTCATCTGCTGAATGCGCATGCGCGGCAAGAGCCGCACGTGCAGTCAGTCAGTCCATTGGAAAGCATTCTCAATGCTTTCCTATGGATGCTGGAGTCTTCTCACTGTGAGAATCACAGTGAGAAGCGCCTCTAGCGGCTGTCAATGAGACAGCCACTAGAGGCTGTATTAACCCATATGTAAACATAGCAGTTTCTCTGAAACTGCTATGCTAACAGCAGGCAGTGTTAACACTAGAGGGACCTGGTACCCAGACCACTTCATTGAGCTGAAGTGGTCTGGGTGCATACAGTGGTCCTTTAAATGCGCTTGTACCTGGAGTCACAGCACTTAAAGGATCACTATAGGGTCAGGAACATAAACATGTATTCCTGACCCTATAGTGTTGAAAACACCGTCTAGCCCTCCTGGGCCCCTCATCCCTCCATAAATAAAGCAAAATCTTACTGTATTCAAGCCTGAAGCTGTAGATCTGCATGCCTTTTGCCTCAGAAAAAAAAGCTGTCTGCTGACATCAGAAGTGGTAGCCTGATCCAATTACAATGCTTCTCCATAGGATTGGCTGAGACTGACAAAGAGGCAGATCAGGGGCAGAGCCAGCATAATTCAAAAACAGCCCTGGCCAATCAGCATCTCCTCATAGAGATGAATAGAATCAATGAATCTCTATGAGGAAAGTTCAGTGTCTGCATGCAGAGGGATCAGATACTGAATGTTTGGATGCATTTTAGGCAGCCATGACCCAGGAAGGATCTCTAACAGCCATCTAAGGAGTGGCCAGTGAAGTTATCGCTAGGCTGTAATGTAAACACTGCATTTTCTCTGAAAAGACTGTGTTTACAGCAAAAAGCCTGAAAGTAATGATTCTACTCACCAGAACAAATTCAATAAGCTGTAGTTGTTCTGGTGACTATAATGTCCCTTTAAGTGTGTAGCAGCCTATTCATATATCACACAGTGCATTATTCTAACTGTTTGATTGCATGACCAGGGTAATTATCTGAGTGTTTTACCCATTTTTTTCTCTGTTCCCTGAATGCCTTTTTAGCACTTTTTATAATTCTCATTCTATAGAATTAGAAATAGATTAGAATTAGAAAGTGGTAGCATAAAAAGTGTTAAGCATATCTGAAACACTGCACAAATTTTTAAATTTATCATGTCAAGATGAAGTAATATTGCCTATTAAAACAGATTAACAGAAAATATAAAGCATGGTGCTAATTGGCTGCATACGCATTAAGCATATGCTTGAGGCATCAATATAGGCAAAGAGTAATTAAGTTCTGAAGGTGTCCCTTGTAGGGAAAGTGTAGAGGCCCAGCAAGCTTGCCCAACTTTCCTATGCCCTCCGGATGTATAAAACATAGGGGCTCGGGGAGCTCAGCTGTTGAATTTCAGGGCGTAATTCGGCAATTATAGCTTCTAAAGAGGATTGCTTTGTGAAGCTCTCTGGTTGTGCGACTGGTTGGCTTGGCTGTTAGGCTCAGCCCCCTTTCACATTCATTTTAATTGCCAAGATCAATGCAGACCTTTGCTGTTTCAATCTCAAGTATCATAACTGCATATTGTGCTTGTTGTTGATTTGAATAAAGGTTGTACTTTTAAAAGCACCGTTTTTTCCAAAACAGTTTCCAGATCAGTTTGTGCAGAACGTGAGTGGATGAGAATTTTGTAGAATTGTTATAAAAAAAGGGAGAAGTCAGTAAAGTTGTACTGTTATCATGTTGTGTGCTCCGCTATCATATTGCCCTTTAATTGCCTTTAATATCACTCAGTGGGACTTACCTAAAGAAGCACGCTGCACATCCTGTCCCCGGAGGATTATTAGGTTAGCGAGGGAAGTATTGAAAAGCAGTTCCTTTTTTGGTGACACGTTTTCTGCTGTAGGCTGAGACGGGGGTCGCACTTGCCAGTTAATCCCTAGTGAACAAAATATAATTGGATTTGTAAGTGGTCATTCAAAAATGTGACTCCAGCATATTCAACCTTAAAAAGTACTGTTATTTATCAATGTTGAATAAGATATTTCAGTTTGAATGAATCCACTAAAAAAACTAAACATGGCAAGTCCTCGTATTAACTACCATAACTATGGTTGAAAGCAGGACTTAACATTTCCACTCAATCTCAAGCAATTGGCAAGTGAAAATTCACCCATAGCATGTAGAACTTCACCTTGAGTGTAAGATGGACTCTCCAAGCTTGCAGTGGCAAGTAACTTTTAGGCCTTAATAGTAACATAGAATATGAAATTTGAAGTCCTGGTCAGAGGTTTCTATTCTTTAAAAAAACAAAAAAACCTCTATTCTACTATCTGTAAGGGATAGCTCTGTGGAAGTTCTCTGCAAACAAACATGTATTTATTTTTTTACCTCAAAGAAGCATTTACATTGAGAATTGCTTTATATGCATTTGACTATGTGTAATATAAAACTTGCATTTGTGTTACTTTTAAATAAATTATTTAAAGAACGACAATGTATTTAAAACATCTATGTACAACAGTTCTGCTTTACTGTAAAATATGAACTGATTATTTTTAGGTCAGTCCAATTTTATTAATACAGTGAGCTATAAATGCATGCTTTGTTCAGCAGCATTGCCTATCTATGTAAATATTGCTCAGACATGGCTTTAGCATGGGAGTTGGTTATGAGCAATTCAGTTAAGTGCAGCTGTGGGAGCTCAAACAATTTATGCCAGGAAAGGCTCTTCTACAGCCTTTGTGAGAGGACATTTTTTGTTCCACTGGACTTTCCAAAATCATCAGTGGAATATCCAAGATAAATAAATTCTTTAAGTTTACAAGATTATTTATACTGAAAGGGCAAATATATATTTATTTTGTGTTCTACTACATTGATCTGCTCACCTTCTTCCATTTTCGCATTAGCAATGAGCATTTGCCTCAAATGTTTGGTGAGCCCTTGCCAAGTGAATGTACTGTATGCCATGGAGTGTTCAGACATTTGAGGAATGTTACGGAGACCTAGCATCTTAAATTCAGGGTGTGGAACGAGGCACTCCATTAATTCTCCTGGGGAGAAAAGGAAAAACCATGAAATTAGTGTTTTTCTAGAAAGAAAAAAAAAAAGTATGGTTTATTTATATTTATGATTTTAAAGGGTAATGGTGCAGTTTACTTCATTAACGTCCAATTCAGCTGATGGAAAAATTAGATAAAAAATATTTGGGTAAATCATGGATTCTTAAAGTAATAGGTGCTTAGTCATTGAGTGCCTACTGTAAGCACATATTCAATAAGTTACAAAAAGAGCAATTCTTTCTAAGCATTAGAAGCTGTACTTTAAGGAACACATACAAAGCAAGACTATATTTACTGATCACTGCTCATTGTGCAGTATTATTTACAAATGTACCTCAGGAAAAAACATGCCAGTAAATTTGACTGCTTTGTTGCATGATTTCCATTAGGTAGATAAAAAGAAAGACTTTCTGTTGCTTTTGACCACAAGTCTCCACTAGAAATAATATACAAATAAATATAATAAAAATGAGGCTTAATTATTATTCTGTGGCTACACATTAATGTTTCTTTTAGGTATGATACTTGAACACAAGGCTAATGATCATTAACATATCAAGGAAATGAACTCATTAATTAAGAGGCAGAGGCCATATGGCTGATCAGTTAGTTTACATCGGGACTAGACATTCAGGCATCTCAAGTGTAGAATCTCACACCCTGCAGAGCCTTTAATTAATCAAAGAATCCATCCATATGGTAAATCATCTGATCCCTTTCACATTCCTATGCAATTTACATTATCCCTTCTGTCATCTGACCTTGCAACCAAGTGGTCAATTCATACATACACTACACAAATTACATTAAATGGCAATATTCTGTTGTGCAACATTGAATTATGCACCCTTGGCATGACACTGGGCATTTGGCTGACTTACAGAAGACACAGAGTGCCTTGACAATAAAAATGGAAATGTTAGAAAATGCAAACAGAAGGAAAAATCTCTCAAAGTATGGCATTACTGCCTCCCAAGCAATCTAAAGCTCTCAGCTTTGATGGGATGCTCAAAGTCTCCATATCCCAAAGGATCCTGTAGCTACTCCCCATGATGTCTTGCTCCTGTTCCAGTCCTATGGTGATAAAGTGATATTGATGGCACTGGCAGCTATGCGGGTTAAGTCTCTTTTGAAGATCCACATTACCAAGGAGTCATTCCCTCCAAGCAGTCATAAAGACTTACAGCACTCCGTTACACCTTACCATGGGGTCGGGCCAGAGCGCTAGTAGCAATCAAAGATTGGGTCAGATTCACTTGAGGGTGAATCTAGGCCTCTCCTTACCACAGTACCAAAGTGATGAAACTCCTACCTCCCCAACCTGTAAAGTAGACAACATTGTTCCCATTCAGTGCTAGTTGAGAGTAGTATCAGTTCATGTCTTATGGACATCTTCAACAATCTTTTTCCCTGTTCGTTTGCACTCCCGCGAACACCGGTGAAGATGGAACTGCTGCCCGTTCAAGTTTCCGACCATCTATACGAACAGCGTTCTAGAGATATGAACTGCCGACTGGCGGAAGCATTCGACACTTGAAAGCATTCGGATATTTTGTGTGGTTTTCGCATAGAATTCCTCAAATGAAGACCGGCCATTGCCACGATTTCTCTGGAACTATTTTGGGCTTCTACCTCGTGGCCGGGCGGTCAAAAATGTATCTCAATGGCAATTCCAAACCACCAAACCGATCTGAGTGCGTTTTGGACATGTTAGGCACTCAGATAAGGGCTATCCGGGGATGTGACTCTTGAGGGGGGTTGTAAAAATTTTAATTTTTCTGTACCTGGGAGAGAACTGAATTGTAAGTTTCCTGACTCAATTATCTCTCAGGCACAAGGAGGAGTTTACTGTATGTTTAAATTAGGAGTGCTTGCCTGAAATAAACAGATCTACTCCCAGCATTCAGTCTCGACTAATGTATGGTGCAGTAAAAGCTATACCAACGATATTTACTTTCATGGTTGATCGAGCTACTTTATTTTGGGAAAGGGAGTCTGTGGTGGCGATATACTGGCGGTCCGCCACAGCCCTATTATCAGGGAACTGGGCTAAGGAACTCATAACGATTACAGCGAGTTGCAGTGGTTATGATGCTTGGAGTAACCCTTTAAGAAGTCATAATAGTTGAACTGTGGTTCATGAAGGTTATTGGCTATTTTCGTAAGAAGGTTATTTATAGATAGCCTTACTCATTTTTAGGGGATACGTTGTAATTTTAAAATTTTGCCTCTTAATATTAGGCTAACCTGAGTTGAGGATTGCTTGTGAACAGCTGGAGGCACGACCTAATTTCAAGACCTATTAATATAACTAATTTGTTATGAAAGCATTTTGAACCCCAAAATATACAGAAAATCGACTTAAAATTATCAAATGCATGCACAGATTATACATAAAAACAATCCAAAAAGCATCTAAAAAGATTCAGGCCTAAAATCTTTATACAAGGTTTTTGCTGCTGTAACATGGGTGCCAAATACAGAATGCTAGAAGAGAGCCTGCCAGAAGCAGCTGGCATTTGTATTGCATACATACTACAGAAATCTATATGCAGTTGATATATGTGTTTTTTGCAGTCACAAGCAAGCGATTGAAGGGTGACAGGACATGGAAGTTTACTGCACCAAAATTTATACAAGGAGACTAAGCGTGTTCTTTATTTTGCTTACAAGTTTCAGATGACCCATCACTGAGCATCAAATGCCCCGCTATCTTAAAATCAATTAATTACTTTATGAGACAGGTAAGCTTCCAAGTGTAAATTTACCATTACCATGTCTCCCTTAATGAGAAACAGGAATTCCCTCCATGGTATAATCCCCTCTGGCTTTTTCTGTTTGGAGGATGCTGGCTTCCAGAGACTTTCTGAGAAAGGCAATATCTTTTGACATATTAAGTCATAGGGTCTCCCTCGGCCCTTGTGACTTTTCCAGTATGTCCAATTATGCCCAACAAGATCCAGTGGTCTCTGCCATGCCCCACAACCTTAAATCCTTTGTAATGGGTATGATCTATGTGCTTTATTCCACACTAACTTCTTACCTTGACTGCAAGGGTTTTCCATATATGCAAAAGTGGGAGTACGAACTTGAGGGATGACCAGTGACGATTGGTTAGAGATGTGAGAATATACAGCAAAATTCTCAGTTTGCGTTACCCTTCAAGAACAAGGGATTAAAACTATGCTAATGGGGTATGTCACTACTGTTTCTCTCCATCATATGAGGTGTCGCCCCATCAGATTTGTGTTGAAGGGTATGTACGTCCCTATATGTGACGGACCGACTTGTCCTTGTCTCACTTAATTTTGGGCTTGTGTTTATCGTTCGTATGAAAGAGTTCTTTCCAGCATCCTCCTGTTAATCCCTGAAACTACCTGCTTTCCAGCCCTTGATTCCCTTAAATCTTCTAGGAACGAACTATTAGTTAAAATTGCTTGTTTCCTGTAGAGCAATTGAGGTGTGTTGACTACACATAACCCCCCCCCCCCCAATCTAGCCAAAGAATAGTGATAAGGTCATGGATAAACTCACCACACTTCTATTTGCATTTACAAAATGTGGATTCCCTGATTTAAATATGCAATTAAAAACGTACTTCTTTGTATGGTTTTCCGCCCCCAGCGTCTCCAGGCTGGCAGCACCCCTTCTATCGATTTGTTCTCTCCCTTACTTGTTTGTTCATTTACTAAATCTCAATCTCCCATTTCTTATCGACTCTTTTTTTTGGTTGTATATTTTTTTTGTTAATACATTTTTTTCTTTATTTTAAATGACATTACATGACTTGACATGAGAAATTCTAATAAAAAACCTTGCAATTACTGTAATAAATAATTAACATCTTGAATATACAGACAAATTACACCTTGGCGTCCCTGAGAAATAAAGGTTGAAGCACTATCTTTCCATTGAAAAATCATGTTTCTAACATAGAAACATAGAATGTGACAGCAGATAAGAACCATTCGGCCCATCTAGTCTGCCCAATTTTCTAAATACTTTCATTAGTCCCTGGCCTTATCTTATAGTTAGGATAGCCTTATACCTATCCCACGCATGCTTAAAGAACCACTATAGGCACCCAGACCACTTCAGCTTAATGAAGTGGTCTGGGTGCCAGGTCCAGCTAGGTTTAACCCTGCCTGCTGTAAACATAGTTTCAGAGAAACTGCTATGTTTATAATAGGGTTAATCCAGCCTCTAGTGGCTGTCTCACAGTGAGAAGACACCAGCGTCCATAGGAAAGCATTGTGAATGCTTTCTTATGAGACTGGCTGAATGCGCGCGCATGCGCATTCAGCCGAGGAGGAGGAGAGTTACCTGCCCGGCGCTGGAAAAAGAGGTAAGTTTAACCCCTTCCACCCCCTAGAGCCCGGCGGGAGGGGGACCCTGAGGGTGGGGGCACACTCAGGGCACTATAGTGCCAGGAAAACGAGTATGTTTTCCTGGAACTATAGTGGTCCTTTAACCCCTTAAGGACCAAACTTCTGGAATAAAAGGGAATCATGACATGTCACACGTCATGTGTCCTTAAGGGGTTAAATGCCTTTACTTTGTTAACCTCTACCACTTCAGCTGGAAGACTATTCCATGCATCCACTACCCTCTCAGTAAAGTAATACTTCCTGATATTATTAGTTTCTTCCTTTACTGTGTTGATTCCCTTTATGTATTTAAATGTTTCTATCATATTCCCCCTGTCTCGTCTTTCCTCCAAGCTATACATGTTAAGTTCCTTTTTTTTTTTGTTAACTATTATTTTTGATGGTCTTTGAGGGAACATCATACCCATAGGTTGCGGCCCTACACTTATTTCAGCTTCTAGTCGATCACTTGGCACTGATACAGCATCTATCCTTTTGAGAGTAACCAGGTTAAAATAAATAAAAATAAAATATTTTTAAAAAATAAGAAAAGGTATATGGTAATATTCCTTTAATAATACACATAATATATTAAAAACAGGCTGTTTTGAATATATTTTTATGTGTATTATTAAAGGAATATTGGCCTCTTAAACTTGTATGGCCATATACCTTTTCTTATTTTTTAAAATATTTTATTTTAATTTTATTTATTTTAACTTGGTCATTCACAACTTTGGAGTATTCATCCATCCAAGAATCCTAGGTGGGGATTGTACCACCCACGTTACTACAGTGAGCAGTACATCCTGCTCACTCAAATGTGAGTACTTTACCTTCCTACTCTAACCTGCTAAATAATATATACAGTGAGCACTATTTTTGGTTTTATTTTTTTCTCCATACTGAGGACCTCCTCTGCCTACCAACACCTATATCCTACCAGTGGGGGATCGACGCCACTAAATGCCAGTTATACCTGAGCTCGTTCTAGCTCTATAATAGGTGAGTGAGAATACCACCCTGATGTGAAGTTTCCTTTCCGTTTTTGTTGCAGTCTGCACTATTGGAGTCTCTTTATTTTTTATTCACATATTTTAACCTGAACCAAGAGCATTCGACTATTTCAAGATCGGCAATACATATAGACCTACATCTACCCAAAGCTAATGCAAGCCTACCTGGTTTTCTTCCTGCCCATTTTAACACCAAGGACTATTGTATATTTTGCTCTGTTTGATATATGCAAGTACATATTTGTATTTTACATTGCTCTACAGTTTACTGTGGCGCAACCTATTTTAATTTTTTTATTGTTAACTTCTCTGAACTCTCTTTGACGTATCAATGTCCTTCTGGCGATATGGTCTCCCGTACTACATACAATACTCTAAGTGAGGTCTCATCAGTGTTCTGTACAATGGCATGAGCACTTCCCTCTTTCTACTGCTTATACCTCTCCCTATATAACCAAGCATTCTGCTAGCATTTCCTGCTGCTCTATTACATTGTCTGCCTACCTTTATCAGTCATCAGAAACAATCACCCCTAAATCCCTTTCCTCAGATGTTGAGGTTAGGACTCTATCAAATATTCTGTACTCTGCCCTTGGGTTTTTACGTCCAAGATGCATTATCTTGCACTTATCCACATTAAATGTCAGTTGCCACAATTCTGACCATTTTTCTAGTTTACCTAAATCATTTGCCATTTGGCTTATCCCTCCTGGAACATCAACCCTGTTACATATCTTAGTATCATCAGCAAAAAGACATAACTTACCATCAAGACCTTCTGCAATATCACTAATAAAAATATTAAAGAGAATGGGTCCAAGTACAGATCCCTGAGGTACCCCACTGGTGACAAGCCCATGCTTCGAATATACTCCATTGACTACAACGCTCTGTTGCCTGTCACTCAGCCATTCAACAATATTGGAATCCAAACTTAAAGATTGCAGCTTTTTGAGAATCCTTCTATGTGCAACAGTGTCAAAAGCCTTACTAAAATCTAGGTAAGCAAGGTCTACTGCACCACCCTGATCTATTATTTTAGTTACCCAATCAAAAAAAATCAATAAGTCTCTGATCTTGAAATGCATGTGATTTTAGATGTTCAACAATCCTATCCTTTAACGTGGTTTACATTACTTTCGCCACTACTGAAGTAAGGCTTACTGGCGTATAGTTGCCAGACTTCTCCCTACTACCTGCACAACATTTGTTAACTTCCAATCTTCTGGGACTATTCCTGTTTTCAATGATTGGTTTTAATAAATCTGTTAATGGTTTTGCTAGTACACCACTAAGCTCTTTTAATAACTTTGGGTGTATTCCATCAGGTCCCATTTATCTTCACTTTTGACAGTTGAAATAGAACCTCTTCCTCTGTAAACTCACATGTAACAAATTACTAATTTGTCCTTTTTCCTAACTGAGGCCCCTTTCCTTCATTTTCATCTGTAAATACTGAACAAAAATATTCGTTGAGGCAGTCAGCTAGACCTTTATCCTCTTCTACATACTCTCCTTTTGTTTTTAATCTAACTAATCCTTGTTTTACTTTCCTTTTCTCATTTATGTATCTAAAAAATGTTTTGTGCCCTTTTTTTACTGACTGTGCTATTTTCTCTTCTGTGTATGATTTGGAAGCTCTTATAACTTGCCTAGCCTCTTTCTGCCTAATCTTATAGATCATTCGGTCTTCCTCACTCTGGGTTTTTTTTATAATTACTAACTTTTTGTTTTTTTACTATTTTAGCCACATCTGCAGACTACCACAGAGTTTCAGTTTTTTAAAAAAACAAATAAAATCTTTCAACATTGAAATTGCTGTTTAGTGAATAGGTGAGTGCGCTAGATCTTGTGTATTGTATTATTTGGCCCCCAGCAGCACCCCCATTTATGCATGTTAAGGTGAGTGCAGCCAACTCTTGTTTTATATATATTTGGGAGTCTAGCCAACTCCTTGGTTTTGCACCCCTCCCTGTCACAGGTGCCTCATCCCAGGGCCCTATTTAGCCTTGTACTGCAGAGAGCCCCAGATGGAATTTCTTTCCCCAAGTAGGTTAATCTCATAAGAGCAGACATTAGGCTGTTAGTGTAGGACCTGCCAAAGATGGGGTACATTGACGTTGTGGCAGGCTTATGCAATGTATGATCATATAATGTAACTAAACCCCCATTATTTTTGCCTAGATTAGGTGTTTTTAAAAAAACAAATAAAATCTTTCAACATTGAAGTTGCTGTTTAGTGGATAGGTGAGTGCGCTGGATCTTGTGTATTGTATTATTTGGCCCCCAGCAGCACCCCCATTTATGCATGTTAAGGTGAGTGCAGCCAACCCCCTCTTGTTTTATATATATTTGGGAGTCTAGCCAACTCCTTGGTTTTGCACCCCTCCCTGTCACAGGTGCCTCATCCCAGGGCCCTATTTAGCCTTGTACTGCAGAGAGCCCCAGATGGAATTTTTTCCCCAAGTAGGTTAATCTCATAAGAGCAGACATTAGGCTGTTAGTGTAGGACCTGCCAAAGATGGGGTACATTGACGTTGTGGCAGGCTTATGCAATGTATGATCATATAATGTAACTAAACCCCCATTATTTTTGCCTAGATTAGGTGTTTTAAAAAAAAACAAATAAAATCTTTCAACATTGAAGTTGCTGTTTAGTGGATAGGTGAGTGCGCTGGATCTTGTGTATTGTATTATTTGGCCCCCAGCAGCACCCCCATTTATGCATGTTAAGGTGAGTGCAGCCAACCCCCTCTTGTTATATATATATATATATATATATATGTAGATGGCAGCACTCACGGTCTTACAAGTAAAAATTAAGTTTTATTATAACATTTTAAAATTAGGATTAACATTTCAGTCCTCTCCAAGGACTTTCATCAGGATCATGTATTTAAAAAAAAATATTTTTATTTATATATAGGTATATATAGTGATATTTACGTATATACTTATGTATATAGATATATTATTTCGTTCTACATGTAATTTGATATCAATATATATAAATTTTAGAATACAGTTAGAACGAATTTACACATTTTTTAAAAGTATTTACATATTTATTTTATATTATATATAAATATACACAATGAAAATTATACATATATTTTATCAATATCATTGTAAGTGTATTTTGATATTAATATATAATACACTTAGACAGTGTATGTATGTATGTATGTATATGTATAAGTATGTATACTTAGATTATAGTTACATAGCTGAAAAGAGACTTGCGTCCATCAAGTTCAGCCTTCCTCACATTTGTTTTTTGCTGTTGATCCAAAAGAAGGCAAAAAAACCCAGTTTGAAGCACAATTTTGCAACAAGCTAGGAAAAAAATTCCTTCTTGACCCCAGAATGGCAGTCAGATTTATCCTTGGATCAAGCAGTTATTACCCTACATTGAAAGAGTATATCCTTGAATATTCTGTTTTTGCAAGTATGCATCTAGTAGCCGTTTGAACATCTGTATGGACTCTGATAAAACCACTTCTTCAGGCAGAGAATTCCACATCCTGATTGTTCTTACAGTAAAAAAACCTTTCCTTTGCCTTAGACGAAATCTTCTTTCTTCCAGTCTAAACGCATGGCCTCGTGTCCTATGTAAAGTCCGGTTTGTGAATAGATTTCCACACAATGGTTTCTATTGGCCCCGAATATATTTGTATAATGTTATCATATCCCCTCTCAGGCGACGTTTTTCTAAACTAAATAGGTTTAAATTTGTTAACCTTTCTTCATAGCTGATATGTTCCATTCCTTTTTATTAATTTTGTAGCCCGCCTCTGCACTTTTTCTAGTGCCATAATATCCTTCTTTAGAACAGGTGCCCAAAATTGCACAGCATATTCAATATGGGGTCTTACCAGTGATTTATAAAGAGGCAAAATGATATTCTCGTCCCGAGAATGAATGCCCTTTTTCATGCATGACAATACCTTACTGGCCTTGGCCACTGCTGATTGACATTGCACATTGTTGCATAGATTGTTGTCTATAACAATTCCCAAGTCCTTTTCGTGTGTTGTTATCCCTAATTCGCTTCAATTAAGGGTATACGTTGCTTGTGTATTCTTTACGCCGAAGTGCATAACTTTGCATTTTTCAACATTAAATGTCATCTGCCATTTGAGTGCCCAGTCCCCCAGTCTATCTAAATCCTTTTGCAGCAAAGTAATATCTTGCTCACATTGTATTATTTTACAAAGTTTTGTGTCATCTGCAAACACTGAAACATGACTTTCACTGCTGTCTTGAAGATCATTTATAAACATGTTAAATAGAAGGGGTCCCAGAAGAGACCCCTGAGGGACACCACTTGCCACCTCTGTCCAGCTTGAAAATTTACCATTAATGACAACTCTTTGTACTCTGTTTTTAAGCCAATGTTCTACCCTACTTGAGTTTGAACACTAATCTATTGTGTGGAACTGTATCAAATGCCTTGGCAAAATCCAAATAGATCACATCCACGGCAACACCCTGATCTATACTTCTACTTACATATATATGATCTAAGTATATATTTTATTTTAAACTGTATCTTTAACTTTTATTTTATCTTTTTTAAGGCAGAAGAGGGAGTACCTGCCATTACAGGCACTCCCCCTGCTGGCACTGACATGGACGGCTATGCTGTCCATGAGATCACGAGGTCCTCGCAAGGCTCCCAAGTGAGTCCCGACACCGTGATCGCCGGCATTTAGAGCCGGGTCACCAAGGACGGCATAGAACGCCCACTGTCTTTAAGGGGTTAAACCACACTGACTGATGATCACCGGATCCTAAACATTCACCTTCAGTAATATCTGATACCAAATCTCCATTTGTTAACACTAAATCTAGTATGGCCTCTTTACGAGTTGGCTCCTCGACGACTTGCTTTAGAGACAATCCCAGTAGTGAGTTTAGAATATGTGTGCTCCTGGCACAAGCAGCTATTTTGGTTTTCCAATTCACATCAGAAAGATTAAAGTCACCCATGATGATAACTTCCCCCTTCATTGTCATTTAAGCTATTTCCTCAACTAGTAGATTATCTAACTCTTCTATTTGTCCTGGGGCCCCTATAAATCACACCTACACGAGTTACTGTTACATAGTTACATAGCTGAAAAGAGACTTGCGTCCATCAAGTTCAGCCTTCCTCACACATTGCTGTTGATCCAAAAGAAGGCAAAAAACCTAGTCTGTAGCGCTACTGTGTGATTACAAAGTTCTAACGTAACCCAAACGGACTCTAAGTTCGCATTACTAACTTTTCTTTTATGCTATCCTTCACATACAGGGCCACCCCTCCCCCTTTCTTGCCTTCCCTGTCTTTTATATATAAAGAGTACCTTGGTATTGCTACGTCCCAGTCATTTTTCTCATTATACCATGTCTCAGTAACAGCAACTAAATCTACATTATCAATTGCCATTATTGTCACAAGTTCATGGATCTTATTCCCTAAACTGCAAGCATTTGTAGACATGACTCTAAGCTTATCATTTTTTAACACACTTGCTACATGCACCTTCTGTCCTTGTTTTGGAGGGCAACTGGATTGATTTTTTTATCACCCTCTTGCTCCCCCTCCTAGTTTAAATACATCCTAGCAAACCTCTGAACTGCTCATTGAGAACATTTCATTCCTTTTAAGAAAGATGCAAACCATCTTCTTTGTACAGTTTATTTCCATTCCAAACAGAGCTATAATGAGAAATAAAGCCAAATCCTTGCTCCTGACACCATTAACCAAGCCACAAGTTAAAGTCCCTAATACACATCCGCCTGTCGTTCTGAGTGTTATGTTCATGCAGAACTTCAGAGAATGACAGTGTGGAAGCAACCTGCCGTATATCATTGGCAAAAACACCTTTACCTGAAACCTCATTGCAAACCAAGTCATTTGTCCCTAGATGGACAAGTACATCCAATTCCCGTTCCTGCTTTGCTTGCTTAACAATATTACAATACGTCTCCTGTCTCTGTGAGCAATAGCTCCGGGAAGACATCTCACAAGACCACCATTGTCCAGCTCCACATCTCATTTGATAGAATCCCCCAACAACAACAACAACTGCTTTCTATTAGGCCTCACCATAGTCTCCAAGCCGTTCTCTATAATAGCACTACCCTCGGTGCCTAAGCCTCGGTTCCCCATATTGTAAACATAGCAGTTTCTCTAGCAGTTTCTCCAAAAATGCTATGTTTACTGCAGCAGGGTTAACCCTAGATGGACCTGGCACCCAGAACACTTCATTGAGCTGAAGGGGTCTGGGTGCCTATAGTGGTCCTTTAAGATTGATTATCTCAGTGCCAGTCGAGGGGAGACCAGCATGGCGTAAAAAAAAATAAAAAAATAAAAGTGATTAAAAACACTACTACCTTGCCAACAGAAGGGGTCTGGTAACCTAAACACACACACATACACCATGACACACACATATACCATGACAGACAGACAGACACACATACACACACACACACACACACCATGACAGACCCATACACTCACACTGACAGACTGACTCACAAATTATTGCTTGTATTGATAACTGTGGGGTCCAGTGGGCGACCGGCCAAGGGATTGTGCAGGCGGGAGGCAAGTTGGAAGATTATGGATGCGGGTGGCATGCTGGGTGGTCGTGCAGGGCGGGCGGCTGGCTGCACAAATAGCAGGCACGAATAGGGAGCTGTGCGAGGACGGGGAGCATAGCAGAGACAGCACATGTCTTCCTCCAGCCGTCAGCAGCCTAATTGCAGCCGCACCAGCGGTCTTCCCAGCCCCAGGTGCCGCGGCCCACCGCAAATTTTCCCAGTATCCCAGTGGGCCAGTCCGGCCCTGTATACAACTGCTGATAATTGTTCTTATGTCCATCATGTTTTTAAGCTTAATTCACGATTATTTTACTACAATGATATCTGGAATCTGAGACTTGTATGTTTTCCACTTGTTCATGTGCTATATCAAATGTTTAGGCAATGTTTGATTCACATTACTGTTTGTCTGCTATGCTTTCTTATCTACATTGCCTTTTCCCCCTGAATATAACAAATAAGAAATAAATATAATTAACACAAAATAGTCAATTTAAAATAAGCATAAAAGTGAACGGTGAAACCATACCTAAAGGATTCCTGCTGTAATGTGAGGCTCCTTCTGAAGTGTATGCTGGTTGAAATACACTGCCCAGCTGGTGAGCAATGATTTTATTTACATCTCTAAATGATATCTGTTTTATATTCATCAGCTGAGAGCAAATTTTGTGAATTACATCATTCTCATGTACTAGTAATGCGTCGGAGGACTGGTAGAGGCGAGAGAGAGTCAGTATAGAATTGTAGTTTTGAACAATAACCTAAGAGAAATATTTAGAAATGTATCAATACTTTTTTCCCAAATAAAGATAATACATATAATACATACATACAACAGTCATCGTTCTTCCATCATTTAAAAAAAATTATATGGAGGTAAGATGTAAATGAAGAGTTTGCATGGAGACTTTCCTCATAGAGATGCATTGATTTAATGCATCTCTATGAAGTGATGGAAATTGGCCAGAGTGGTGTTTATTCAGGTTTTGTTTTGGCTTCAGTTGATACGCCTGATATAGTCACTGAGCTATGTGTTACCCAAGTTTATTAAGCTGTTGCGATTCACTCCGTTATAGGCTAAAGCCTCCACCTACTCCCTCTTCCCCGCCACCCCTTTGATTAGGGGAACCCTAATACAATAGAGTCTCCCACTTAGTGTTGTCATGACAAAAGCTAACGGTCGACATAACTGCTTCCAATGGCTCACTAGCTTAGCATGAGCTCAAATACCACTTGTAAGTCATATGCCCAGAATTCTTACTAATGTTTAGACCAGCCAGGCCAGTTACCAATCCATGTACAGAGCACTCAATGGTTACCATAGCAACATGTCTATTTTGTAAGCAGTAAGTTATTTGGTTAGATAGGCCAGCATGTTATCCCTGTATGCTATTGCATAACCTTCGGTCTAGCAAGTTAGACAGTATTAATGACCCAAAATAAACTAGAGCAGGCATAGGCAACCTTCGACACTCCAGATGTTTTGTCTACACCTCCCATGATGCTTTGCCAGCATTATGGATGTCAGAGTATTATGGGGGATGTAGTCCACAACATCTGGAGTGCCAAAGGTTGCCTATCCCTGAACTAGAGTATATCATCCTCTCCTGATATACTGCCCAGTGTCTAACGCACATCAACCACACTTATTCTGTGTTCTTATTAACACTACTCAACATCTTATACATCTCACCAGGCATAATGACTAACACGAATTTATTGTTAATTTTCTTGTCTCTCTCTTTTTTTATTTTAATATCACCCACGTATAAACATGCAATGTTTCATGTGAATGTTTATTATAAAATTGTGCAGCATTATCCCAGGCCGCACTATAGTCTACTCGAAATCACCAGTATCTGCTGTTGTGGCACTATTGGGAGGTCTGTACTATCTCTGCACACCAAAATAAAGAATTTAAAAAAAAAATAAAAAAACACTTTGAAAGGTTTGTTTCCTATACTGAAAAAGAGAACGGCTTGTCTACATTACCTTTTAACGCTAATGAAGTGTTGTAGTTTATGTACTACAGACTAATAAAAGTTTTATCAAGGCATAATAATAAGCAACATTTTTATATTTTACTGTCTCAATATGCCAGACTATTTATTTTTATGAAATTTCTCCCCCCCTCTATTTTAGAGATCTATGTATTAGGTGTTCTTAAAATGGGACTGTTATTAGACATAAATCTGACTTACTTATGTGTTGACGGTTTTAAATATGTTTAGCATTTCTTTTTTAGGTGAACAGACCATTCCTTGGCAGAGAAGGCACTCACAGTGGAAAGCAGGGAGCAGCTTAGTAAATAGCAGTTTCTAGATGCTATCTGCTGATATCACATGCTTTTGCCAAGGCAACCTCTAAATGGGTAATTACAGCTACACTGGTGAATAGAGTGGCAAATTAGATACTGCCAAGCAAAAAATTACAGCTAATTTATATATAGGAGAATTTTTTCAAAGTAGCTATATAGGCATATAATTTGCAATAAGGCACTTGTGGTATGCAATTTTAACTACATTCTGTAATACTTATTTATATTTTTATGTTTCCCCGATTACTCTTAAATAAAGAAAATACAATTTGCAATTAGAATGTAATTTGCAACATTTGGAATTTAGTAAATAACTATTGCCTCGATTTAATTTGTTTGAATTAGCATCAGAAATTATAATGCCATAATTGTTATAGGCGCTGTGCTTTACACCTGGCACTAAGTATTTGGAAAGCATACAGAGAAGTATTAAAAAAACATGGTTATGTATAAAAAGTGTTGTGTCTACTTTTTATGACAGCTTTTGGAGCGTTGCCCTACTAATTTTACTTATTTGTCTTCTTAGTCTAATTTAATCAATGGTAAAATCATCAGGGAAAAATAAACAAAAATCTAAGAGGCATACATGTATTCCAAATGTATTAAGGGTGGTTATGGTTTTATATGTACTAAAATGGCACATACACACAAAACCTGTGTTTCAATTCCTCATTTGGGGAACATGTCCTGTTTGTGCCTAGATTGAACTGGGATGTGTGGTTATTTGCTAAATCCTTTTTTTTTAATTTTTTTTTTTAAGTCTTTATTTTGTTGTGCAGAAAATTCCATACAATTTTGTCATGCCCCAACAGCAATTGACAAAGAGACAAGGTACATGGTTTACGTGTAGTAAGGCATTGATAGAAACTTGTGCACATTTTGAATTAGTATTGACAAGTTAAAGGACCACTATAGTGCCAGGAAAACATACTCGTTTTCCTGGCACTATAGTGCCCTGAGGGTGCCCCCACCCTCAGGGTCCCCCTCCCGCCAGGCTCTGGGGGGAGGAAGGGGTTAAAACTTACCTCTTTCTCCAGCGCCGGACGGGGAGCTCTCCTCCTCCTCTCCGGCTGAATGCGCATGTGCGGCAGGAGCCGTGCGCGCATTCAGCCAGTCCATAGGAAAGCAAGCATTCTCAATGCTTTCCTATGGACGCTGGCGTCTTCTCACTGTGAAAATCACAGTGAGAAGCGCGGAAGCCCTGTAGCGGCTGTCAATGAGACAGCCACTAGAGGCTGGATTAACCGATTTATAAACATAGCAGTTTCTCTGAAACTGCTATGTTTATAGAAAAAAAGGGTTAAACCTAGCTGGACCAGGCACCCAGACCACCTCATTAAGCTAAAGTGCTCTGGGTGCCTATAGTGGTAATAAACAAGGCTTAATATAACGGTCTAGATCTATATTGTGGCGTTTGCTGTCAGAGTATGTAAATCTATCTAGACTCTGGGGTGAATGGGGAGGTATGTCACAACGGCTCCATCAAGCATAGTAAAATAGGCAGGATATATTATTAGCCTGGCATTAATAAAGATTGCACATTTTTATATAGGGATTACAAGTGGGGAACAGTATCCTAATAATAAATGTCAGTAGGTAGTTAAACAAGATTGTGTGGTGGTCAAGCTATACTAACTGACGTAGTCATCACTCGTACGGAGTGTTTTAATACGCAGGAATGTGCATGTCTACAGGTTCATAAGCTTTTTGTAAAACATATCCATTCAGGCAAAGGTAACCAGCCTTCAATGCCTCTGCAGTATTGTCGATTATTTTTAAAGTACATTTAAAACCAAAGCTTGCCAATACAGAGCATGACACGTTGTTATAAAAGTAAATCAGGGTTAAGTCACGCTATGCACATGTCTAGGGTGTTGGATTACTAGCAGATCATTAATCTGTATATATCAGATAGTCATGTTGAAGACTGGCTACAAGCTATGCCGTGATTGAGAGTGTGTGACTGGTGTGAGTTGTAAGCCATCATTTGAGTAGTAAGAGATTACCATGAGGATGCCTAACAATTAAACACATAAAAACGATTGAACAGTTAGGAACATTCAAGCTTTGAGGGTTGTTGTAAAGTTCTCTCCCGCTGTGAAACTCAGTTAGGGAGGCTGCGTGTTGGTCTGGTCAGCGTCTGCCGTAGCATAACGGTCGATTAAGTGGGCCAGGTAGCGTAAATAGTCCAGGTGTGCATCAGTACAAATCAGTCCATGAGAGAAGAGCGTGACGGTGACTGAACTGTCCAGGCTGCATATTAGCAGTCGATCACCCCATCCCTTGTCTTGGTACCTGGCTTCTTCTGGGTGTGAGAGTCTCAACGGCCCTGATCTTGTCGTGTTGCCTTTCCCATACTTGAGTCGGGCTCCGGTTCCTGCCGGTCCGGCTGCGTGCAGCTCCTCCGCCATTGGCTCGGTGCAGTGCCGGCTTGCTCTTGAAGCCTCATCCTCTGGGGGTGCGAGATGTGCGCCGGGAGGCTCCCCCTTGTGGCGAAACTAACCTCGTCACAGGGTTATGGAGAAGCCTGATTGCCAGCCTCTTGCCTCATGACTATGGACCCTCTCATCAGCCCATGCTAGACTTAAACCCCATGGTGATTTGAATGTGGGGGTTCTGTTCAGTATGATAGGAATTATGTATTTTTGCTGTTGCTGTGAATAGAGATTTTCTGTACCTGGAGATAATTGGCTTACCACACCCAGTTAAGCCAATTATCTCCAGGATAGAGGACTCTGTGGAACTGGTTTTGGCTGGAAAGGAATCACCTGAATTTTGGATATGTTTGTAATTAAAGTGTGCTGAATAATATGTAATTTTTATGAAGATTGAATGTATATTTTTAAAGTTATAGTACATGTGTAAAAACTATTTCTCTAATTAATTACATGAACCCATTGTGTTCAGTAATTATATCACAGGCAGAGGGGAGGATTTTGTGTGGGAGTGTCTGAGTGTATTGTACGTATTGATTGGTTGTACTTCAAAACCCTGTGGGCGGTACTATGGTTGTAGAATGGGCATAAAAGCAGGGTGTTTGAATAAAAGTGGAGTTCTACTTCACCCTCAATTTGGAGTGCCATCTATTATTGGGGGAATCTGCTACAAGGAATTGTTATGCTTGTCATACTCCCTTGCTAAATCACTACTAAGCTCTTGTAAGAGCTTGTTCCTGCCCTGCTCTCTGGAGGAGTCTACGGTGGTTATGGTGTCGTCTGGAGTGCTTGGAGCCCTCAGGAAGCGCTAAGAGCATCCATCAACGGAGATACCCAGTCGGGGTGCCCGTCGATCCGTTACAGGCCCCGCCCCCATTTGCTAAATCTTTAATGCAAATTTCAAATAAATTAAACAGCATCACATGAAAAGTTAAGTTAACGCAAGTTGCAGGTGATTTGAAACAGTTCTATTTTAAATGTTATGATAATGTAATTCCAGATACATTATTGTCAATGTAAATAATTTCAGTGACTTGCAACTTGTCACGTGTGGGGCCGCAATAAATTTAAAGTGCTTTTACTCAACTGTGGTGCTCTGGACCTTTCTTTTAAACTACAGCTGGACATGGAATGGTGGACAAACGTGTCAATGTGCACTTGTAAAATCATGAGTGCAACAATAGCGAACGCGATGGCTGCTTACCTCATCCCTACAGGTTATACAACAGATGCAGTAGAAGTGTGATGAATTTCTGGATTGAGAGTTCAAAACTATATGCCAATTTCCAAAAATAGTTTAAAGGCACAATGTATTATTTACAACTAAACATTTGTATAGTAACAGAGACTGGCTTTTCATATTATGTGTAAGGATCTCTATCTAAAATATATTGTAGCATGAAGAGAAAAAATGAAAACACACAATTAACAATATCAGCATTACACAACAGACAAATGTGTGCTAGTGCCAAATGGTCAGATATTTACCTCTCCAGTGCCATAGGGCCAAATGACTTGATTGAGTAGAAATGAGTTAGGATATGTATCACGTAAACACCGGGTGACATATGTTCCCATGCCAGATCCTGTCCCTCCAGCCATACTCATTATGGTAAAGAAACCAGCCAAACGATCACATTTTTCCACCTGCTTTCGAACTAGGTCCATAACGAGGTCTTTGTGTTTTGGACCATGTACACAGTAACTGTATAAACATAATAAACCAGACACTTCAAATAAACAATGATTAGAAAGGAGACAAAATACAGAACAAGCAGCATATCTGAAGTATACACAAAAAACAACAACACACAATTCAGTCATCATGTGTATTATATGCACAACCTATTAGACTTTAAAGGGACACTATAGTCACCAGAACAACTACAGCTTATACAGCTTATTGAATTTGTTCTGGTGAGTAGAATCATTACCTTCAGGCTTTTTGCTGTAAACACTGTCTTTTCAGAGAAAATGCAGTGTTTACATTACAGCCTAGTGATAACTTCACTGGCCACTCCTCAGATGGCTGTTAGAGATCCTTCCTGGGTCATGGCTGCCTAAAATGCATCCAAACATTCAGTGTCTCCTCACTCTGCATGCAGACACTGAACTTTCCTCATAGAGATTCATCTCTACGAGGAGATGCTGATTGGCCAGGGCTGTGTTTGAATCATGCTGTCTCTGTCCCTAATCTGCCTCCTTGTCAGTCTCAGCCAATCCTATGGGGAAGCACTGTGAATGGATCAGGCTACCACTTCTGATGATGTCAGCAGGCTGCTTGTTTTTCTGAGGCAAACAGCATGCAGATGTACAGCTTCAGGCTTGACTATGGTAAGCTTTTCCTATATTTATGGAGGCATGAGGGGCCCAGGGGGGCTAGATGGTGGTGTTAACACTATAGGGTCAGGAATGTGAGGGTGATGTTAGTGTGTGTATGTGTAAGGGTGCTGTTAGTGTGTGCGTATAAGGGTGCTGTGTGTGTGAGGGTGCTGTTAGTGTGTGCATGTGTGAGGGTGTTGTTAGTGTGTGCTGTGTGTGTGTAGAGGTACTGTGTGTGTAAGGGTGCTGTTAGTGTGTGCTTTTAGTTTGAGGGTGCTGTTAGTGTGTGTGTGTAATGTGTGCGGGCCATTTAGTTAATATCCCGTGCTCCTGCCTTCCCTGGTGGGGGCTAGAGTTCACTCTCGTGAGATCTGAGAGTTGCCGCGGTAACCGCGGCAATGCTCCGACCACGCGAGAGGAACCCGACCACGCGAGAGGAACCCGGCGGAGCTGCTGGCAAGAGCTCCCTGGGTCCTCTCCTGCCTCCCTCCCTGCCTGTGGGTCGGTGAGGGAGATCTTTGATCTTCCTCACCGGCCCACGGAGGGAGGCACATAGCACGTGCCGCGGGGATTAGGGTGTGCCTAGGAACACCCGGCACACTCCCGTGCGCACGCCTATGATGACTAGCCTCAGTCAGAAACTCACTGAGCATGATTTGGCTGTCAATTAGCTACTCAAATAAAATACAACCCCCCCCCCCTAAAATCAAAGTGTGCATATGTAACACTATTAAAAGAACACTTAAAGCACCGTAACCATTGCAGCACATAGTGGCCATTAAGGTGTTATGGTGTCAGAGATGCCCAGGAGATATCCAATAGTATGCTGTTAAACCGGTTTAGTACTGGTTTGACAACCTACCTGGATTCCAAGGTGCCCGCTCTGTACACGGTCCACTGCTGCAGGAGAAGTGAAATGTCTCTGTAGCGCTAAGCAAGGCTGATACATGATAAACAACAACATAGTGTGACAAATACGTCATAAAATGCAGTGCTGGGTTAAAGAAATCATTAAATATTTAATGACATACCCATTTGCCCAGTTGTTTCCTGATCCCTGTTTTTGAGAAAATTGTGACTTGTGATCATATTTCCATTTTCCAGATCGAGCTGCCATTGATAGAGTTTGAGAAATTACTTTAGGCTCCATGTCAACTAGAACAGAACGAGTTACATAATCTGAAATTAGAGAAAACAAGAGCACAAATAGTGATATATTTAAATATCAAATGTAAAAAATAACTAAAGAAATAAGAAAAAATATGTAGCACCTCCAGATTCTTCCTCCTCACTGAAAAACCTTTCCTTGCAAACTGCCTGGTAGTTATCATTTTCTCTCTTAGAGCAGATCCCGGTCTTATTGTGAAGATCACTGTAGATAACGTCAAATAACTCATAGCCAATTTGGTTTCCGCACTGTCCAAGTTGCACTGTAACTATTGACATGTTTTATAACAATTTTATCTGAAAAATATTAGAATCATTTAAGATTAATACATTTTATCTCATGTCCATGATAAAGTGGTAGTATGAGGTCAATTAAACTCAAAAAATGCTGAAGAAATTAATTCAGATTTCAAAAAGAACACACTAGATAAGTGATGGCGAACATTTTTGAGACTGAGTGCCCAAACCGCATACACACATACTCACAGATATCCTTAGTGCTCTCGCTTCCCCTCCTGTCCCTTAGTTCTCTCCCCTGTCCGCTTGTGATCTCCCCTGCCCAACTGTCCCTTAGTGTTTTCCCTTACCCCTCTGTCCTTAGAGCTCTACCCTGCCCCTTTAGTAGTTCTCTCCCCCTCTTAGTGGTTCTCTTCTCTCCCTCCTTTAGTGGTCACTCCTCACCCCCCCTTTAGTGGTCACTCCACTCCCACACCCCCTTAGTGGTCACTCTATATTATGTTGTGGTGAGTTTGGTGACTAGTGCTACATTATGAATTGCATTTTTGTCACTGAAAATAAAGGTTAGTTAAAAAGAAAAAAAACTGGCTCATACTTTTTTTATAGCTGGCTCCTAGATTCCAAGCAAACGTGTCAAGCCCTGCATTACTGTTGGTTTATGTTATAAACATTGCCCATGACTGTGCCACAGTTTCTATATCCACTGTGCTGCCAGGACCCCTGCAGAGATTATGCCCATAAGGCATGACTATGCATCTTGCAATTCCTTAATGTATTAGAGCTGCAAGTACTGTATAACTCTTGATGGAAGTGACATGTGCCAGGAAAACAGAGTGGGTTTGGTAACCATAAGCAGATGTGTGCAAAAACATTTGTAAAAGTCATGTACCTTACTGCACAAAGTAACTTATTCATTAAACTAGAAATGTGCAGAAAATTACAAAATTGCAGTTTTATGGCCAAAATAGCTGATATCAATTCCTCCAACTACCTTGGCTGAAAGTTTGACACCAGTTATAATAGATATATAGAATCCTCCCCCACCATTCCATTGCATTGTACATGTGACAGTTTAACGACTCCAACCCTCACCTCTACCTGTTGGGCTTCCACCAGCTCTGCCCGGGCTAGTGACGTCACACGCATGCGCCATACACTCACTAGCCGACACATTCTTCATTCTTATCTAATGCACTCACACTGGAAACCGAGAGAAACACACAATGCGGGCTGCCTTCTTTAACACAATAACTGCAGGGTCTTGCAGTAAGTGAGCGCGGTGCCCGGAGTTGGGCGGAGTCATTGTAGTTACACAAGCTCAGTGCCCGCAGTTGGGCGGGGCCTTAAACGTGAAGCGCGTGCGCAGTGCCCACAGTTGGGCGGGGCCTGGTGCGTGCAGAGCGTGCGCAGTATGTTTAGAGCGTGCGCAGTGCTCTGCGGCTGCCCTCGGTTGTTCTCTCTGCGCATGCGTGCGATGCGTCGCAGGGTGGAGGGTGCAGTGGTGACGTCCAGCGGGCGCCGTCGCGTTCCAGCGTCTTGTGATGGCGGCCGTGTGTTCGAGCCCATGAGGCGGGGGAACGGGGTGCCGAGCCGCGCTGCGGTGAAGCAGAGAACGTCCGAGGCCATGGCGGGGGTGTTTGACATCGACCTGGACCAGCCCGAGGACGCCATTTCAGATGATGAGCTGGAGGACGGGGTGAGAGCAGCCGGACACTTACTGGAGAGAGAGGCCGCCCTGGGTAGAGCAAGGCCTCCGTGCCCATAGCCAGCCGGCCGGCCGGTCAGCGCACACTGCCTGCGGTTATAGAGAGAGAGAGAGAGCTCCGATATACCGGGCCGGGCCGGCTGGGAGCTCCCATACTAATTATTATTATTATAATAGAGGAATGGAGGGGGCTGTGCTGGGCCGCCAGCTGTGCGGTGTGTGGCTCTATCCAGCTCCCCGTTATAGAGAGACACTGTAATAACACACGGTCTCTGACTATGTAGGATTCGCTCTATACCAGGCTGCATTTAAAATCAAACTGCAGATTATTTATTTTTACAAAAATAGCAGGGCTGTGTGGTAAGTATGGAAAATATTTTCAATTGGTCTGGTTTTTTTTTTGTTTGTTTTTTTTAAACCTGAAAGGTGACCAAATAAGATCACTGATCACCCAGTTTTTGAGCAGGTGGTATCTTTCAGTAAGTGTTTTGACGCCGTATTTGTTGTGAGGATGTGAAATAGTTATGTATTCTCGTAAGACATATGTCAGCCTTTGTTGATTTATCTCTGATATGAGGGATTTAATTGTTTGTGTTGGTTGGTATGTCTGATTTACAGGTCAGACATACGTATACTTTTTTCAGTAGACCTACCCATGTAATGGCTAAAAAAAAAATATATATATATCCATATAGTTCTTTTAACGGAACAATTAACACACTATAACCACTACACCACACTTTAGTGGGGTATGCTACCAAGAGCAGACTTAGAGGTTCTGACTGTGTCCTAAAGTTTGGAGACAGGGAGCAGATTCTGGCAGACCCCTGGCTAAGTCATCTCAAACAGTTTGGTTCCACAGGGAGTTTGCAAGGGTGTTATGGAGTGGTTATGGTGCTTGGCCTGATGCTTTAGTTGTGAAGAGGAGCTGAACCACCGATTCCTTGGAGGAACGCTGCCATGGGGGATACCATCCAAACATTTTTTGCATGAATTCTAGCTGTGGTATTCAAAGAGGCACTTTAAATTCATGCCACGTTAGTAAAGTTTGTTACAGTTTTGTAAAGTTTGTCTGTGTTGAAGGCCATGTCAGTCGTATGTGGTTTTTAATACAAAGTTGGCACAAGTAACAGATGCTAGTTTTTGTAGTTTTATGATGCTTTTTTGTGTGATCACTCTAGTACACAATACTGCCCTGTAAAGAGTTTGAAATGTGATTCACTGTGGCAAACAGAATCCCCAAAAATTACACATTGCCATAAAGCTAAATTATGTGGAGTAAAGTGGCTATGTCACTGCAATAAAACAAATATCTTTATGAAATACTCATCCAGTTTTCTTGTGGAATTTAATAAAAAGATAAAGTAGTCAAAAGAAGATATGACTGTGTGGAATGGGGGCACATAATTACTTTTGAATTATTGTGATATGATTTAACATTTATCCCATTGTCTGCACCAAAATTCTTCTCAGAGTGTTCAAGGTTATATTATGTATTTAACTTTTCTAATCCTTAATGCACTTGCCATCTAGATGTTTTCTTAGGGCCAGAATTTCTTGATTTCCCAGTTTAGCATGAGTGAGTTAAAGAGACACTATATTCACCTGAACAACTTCAGCTTAAGGAGGTTGTTCAGGTGAGAACTATAACTCCCTGCAGCCTTTCTCATGTAAACACTGTATTTTCTGAGAAAATACAGTGTTTATATTGAAAGCTATGAACACTTCCATTTGCAGTCACTCAGAGTGAACCAGAGGGACTTCGGAGTTGATGGAGGCATAATATGCCCCTCTCCACTGAAATCTGCTTTCAGCAGAGCACAGGGCAGCACTGTGCACAGCATCCTGTGATTCAGTATTTCCTCCCTCTGCATGCAGACACTGAACTTTCCTCATAGAGATTCATTGATTCAATTAATCTCTAGGAAGGAGATGCTGATTGGCCAGGGCTGTGTTTGAATCTTGCTGGCTCTGCCCCTGATCTGCCTTTCTATCAGTCTCAGCCAATCCTATGGGGAAGCACTGTGATTGGATCAGGCTACCACATGTCCGCAGACTACTTGTTTTTCCGAGTCTAAGAGCATGCAGATTTACAGCTTCAGGCTTGAATACAGTAAGATTTTTACTATATTTATGGAGGCATGAGGGGCTCAGGGGGGCTAGATGGTGGTGTTAACACTATAGGGTCAGGAATACATGTTTGTGTTCCTGACCCTATAGTGATCCTTTAATTAGTTGAGATCTGTTCATCAATGGTGGGATCCTCAAATCCTGGCCTATGGTGATCATTTTGCACTTTTTTTTACAGAGCTATTTGCCTTTTCATATAACACTAATTTTCAGATACCAATTCTAATGTGATCACCAATGAAGGTGTCTGAAGTAGAACAGGAACGCTAAGGGCTGTCTACTGTAAACACATAAAGAAAACAAATTGGCAAGGGAGATCTGGATTTTGAATGTTTCTTCCATTCTTACCATTTGTTTTTTTCAATTTCTTGGGAGACAGCTGTTAATGGCTTATAAAATGGACATAGCAAACACTTATATTGTCAGACATATTGGTGCACAATTATATTTGAGCTTCCGGTGACTAACAAATTGGTATTGTTTTCCAACATGTTCCCCTAGTTTCCACCTAGCTGTGACAAATGTTTGTTTGGTACAAATAACTTGCTGAGCATGAAGGCAAGAGAGAAGTGCTGTTTTGTTGGTTTTGTTTTTTTGCTGTTCTTTATAATTCAACAGGAGTGGGTCATATACATTAAAGATAGCAGTAAGTACGTGAGTATATTCATTAGACAGGCAATCATTCTAAGAAGTATGGGGAATGAGGTTTTATAACAAAGTAATATTAACTCAAGTAAGTAAAATAAAGGTTAACACGCTTATCCCTTGTGGGCATGAGGTTGCAGCAGGAAGTAACAATATTCAACTAAGGGTACAATACAATTGCAAATATATCCCTGGAGCTTCATATGTTATCTAATGGTTCACTATCAGGTAGCCTGGCATGTTGGGGTGGATCGCAAATACTCACAGCAGAATACAGTAATGCAACAGCCTGGAGGCATTTACAGGTATAACATAGTTATTTCCAAGCTGCGGGAAAAAACTGAACTGAGCTAAACGAAATTAAATAAAAGACCTCAAAATATCTGCTTTATGGGGCCAACATGTTGCCTCTCATGCAGGTACTTGGCGATGAGCTCTGCAGTCGTGGAAGGATCCAGCTGCAACAGGCCCGATCCTTCTGCCATCGAGGGCTCCCTGGGGCCCAACTGGTGTAAAATTGACTCTAGCTGTGGATATTCCTCTCTCGCTATGAAGTGCCAAGATGCGTACAGAAGAGCTTCGGTATCCCTTATCTATATTGAAGGTTCTGTTGTCGAAAAAGATTTCTAGAAGTGGCTGTAAGGCCCTGCACTATGTGATAGAGCTCCAGGTGAAGTTTGGGAATGGTTATAGAGAGGAGCCCTCAAACAGTATCACCTTGAAAAGCTGCTAGAAGGGCCTTGTCCTGTAGATGCTGAACAAAAATAAGACCCCTTTTCGCTGCCGTTGGTTTGCTTCGGCAAGCGAAACATGCCGTTGAATTTCACCACTTTTGGCAGTAACAGGGTGTTGAGCAGGCATTGGACAAAGTTAGATAAATCGGAGAGGCCTGCAGAGTCATGAATACTGCAGATCTTTACATTGCAACGCCTCCTCTGATCTTCTGTGGCATCAACTTTGTTGTTGGTGGCTAGTTGTTGTTTCTGGATTGCATCAATTTTGTCTTAGTTGCTCAATGAGGCCTCCAGAAGTGTGAGCCGAGAAGAGGTGCGTTCAGTGGCATCCTTAATAAGTTGTCAGCTTATTTTTTTTAGTTGGTCTGCCGTGACTGGCTCCCCAGTAGGGGGGATTGCTTGGTGCTGGGTCCCATTGGAGGGAGAAGGCAAGAGACTTATTTGTGAAGCAGAGGTTATTCTGGGTTGCCATAAGCATTTCTAAAAAGTTGGTTTTTGAAGGACTTCATAAGATTGAAGAATAGGTGCGAGTCTGGTGGGTGTAGGCAGGCAATTCCAAATGAAAGGAGCCTTATGCGAGAAGTCCTGCAAGCGGGTATTGGATATCATGGCTTGTCAGGCCTTTTTATTTTTCATTCTCATATCCTCTTCAATAACAAGTGAGGGCTTTTTTTAATCAGGTGGGTGCCCGTTTTCCACTTTAATACCTCTATTTTTGTGTGGCAAGGTACAAAGCACAAGAGAGTGCGTCTTCTCTGTTAAACTGCTAGCTCTGATGTTATATTATGTTTTAAAGCTGGATTTTATTTGTTAATTATAAATTAGGTTAGCACGTTCCCTGTGAAACCCTTGATGGAAGTCTATTCAGTTGTTTTTTGTTCTCAATCTTCTATTTGAGTGAATTAATCCCAGTCTACATTCTAAAATAAACACACTACTTCCTGTTGCTCTGCAAACCACGTACACTTTGTTAAAGGTACACTTTAAATCAATTATGGTTAAAGGACCACTATAGGCACCCAGACCACTTCAGCTTAATGAAGTGGTCTGGGTGCCAGGTCCAGCTAGGTTTAACCCTGCCTGCTGTAAACATAGCAGTTTACAAATGGGTTAATCCAGCCTGTAGTGGCTGTCTTATTGACCGCCTCTAGAGGCGCTTCTCACTGTGATTTTTCACAGTGAGAAGACGCCAGCGTCCATAGGAAAGCATTGAGAATGCTTTCCTATGAGACTGGCTGAATGCGCGCGAGGCTCTTGCCACGCATGCACATTCAGCCAGGGACGTCAGAAGACAGAGGAGAGTCCCAGCGCCCAGGAGCACCCTCAGGTCACTATAGTGGTCCTTTAATTCTAAGGAATGCAAAGTTGTTGATGGCAGTTGAACATGTGCGCAATCCCTGGTCTTGTGTGTTAGGATCTTATAACAAAAAACAAAGGCATGAAAGAAAATTAAGTAACGAGGTTAGCACAGTCAATGTGATGTCAAAAGAACAACCCCTTTTTTACATGTATAATTTAAAAAAAAAAAAATTATAAATAATTTTTATTCTTTATTTAGGTTGTGCATGAGTTAACAAGCAGATGTGCACTTACACAATAGCTAGTGCAATCATAGGAATAAATATTGGTGACCAACAGTGTGGCTGCAGATACAATGCACGTTTTTATATAGAGGAGTAGTTAGTAAGCTAGAAATACAGGTCTAGACTGTGCTTATCATACATTTGTACGTAAAGTTTTGCAATCTAGACTGATATTAGGTTAAAGCAAAAATGCTAATAGTTATACATGCTTGAATGTGAGCTATATAACGTGTGGGTGCAAGTAGTGTTTAGTCGAATAACCTCTATTAATGTCCCCCCTACGATCCCCTGGATGATCATAAACGAAATAAGTTCACTAAAGCGTACATAAATCTTATGAGTGTTCATCTGAAGCATAGTAAGGTGAGAGATATAGGGCACTTTGCCTGGTATTAAGTCCCAGTCCTGGTTCAGCCGATGCTGTGTGTATTCCCGCCGCTCTGTTCGTTGCAGCTTGCTCCATCTCCAGGGTATGGGGAAGTGTGGAGCCCTGTGCCGTGAGGCGGTGTGCTTGTCTGAGGATATGTACTCCAAGGTATGTTCAGAGCTGGGTTTGCCTGTCGGGGGCTGCTATACCTCTTCATTAGCCCTCCTGATGCGGTCGCTCTCTTGGGTCTCGCACCCCTCCTGGGGTTCACATGGCGTTGCCGGGAGGCGGTCTTTGCTATGCCCGCCATGGATGGTCGGGTTTGGTCACTGCCTTACCCCCCTGGGTCACACGGGTCTGTTTCCGTGGCGGGTCCTCGGGCAGTGCCCTTGGTACTGGGGGCTGCATGCGGGCCTCTAGCTTCTCCCAGAAGGAGGCGAATATTTTGTACAGCCTGTGTTCTGTGTCTGTCCATGTTTGGCTGAGCCCGGTGTCGTGGCAGGCATCTGCCATTTTAGAGGTCTTTCTGGTGTTAGGGTTAGGGCCGTGTGTCGATGTATTGAGTCCCCTGCTTTGCTTGGCGTGAGGGTGGACCGGGATAACCCCCGCCGTTACGGTCCAGTCTTAGGGTCTCCGTTTGTTGTGGCTGCGGGAGAGCGGCAGTCTCCCCCACGCCCACCATGCTTGTAGGCCGCAGAGTAGTTGAGTGGCCACAGCTTGGATTGTCGCTTGGATGGTATCATCCTATTCGTCTGTGTCAGCAAGAGCTGGGTGGCCTCTCTGTAGTGAGAAATCGTCTTTTTGTTAGTGAAATTCAGCTTTTTTTCTGGCAGTCAGCAGGAGCTGCAGAGGTTTGCTTCCTCTCAGCTCTGAGAAATCATATTATGAGCAAACAGAGAAGTCGTCTGATTATCCCCGAAAGAGGAGACCTTAGTTTGTTCCTTACAAATATCGAACCAGATATCAAATATTTAGTCTCGCAGCATCAGCCTCAAGGATCTCATTAATCACTAGTAAAGGTAATTTCAATTAACTTTTCCTCATTAAACTTTTTAGAAAGTTAAAAACACTATAAACATGCATAAAGTAGAAATAAAAAGAAATGTACGTACATTTTTTTTTTTAAAACACCCTTCTTTCTAAAAAATATTCTGCACTTGCGCGAAAACTGGTGGGCGGTAAGGAAATTTTTCCATCAAGAAAGATGCATTAGGACTTTGTCCTTTTAATATGTTAATATTGAAGCTCTCATTGCAATAAGTTGATTTGCAGAAGTGTAAGGAAATGTCCAGTTAAGAGCATGATTTGTCAGGTTTGTAAGATTATTGCAGACGTAGTTAAATGATCAAGCTCTCTGTTTATTATAGGAGTATCAGGGTGGCTGAAACTTGCAGCAATTATGAATCATTCTATTTGTAATGCGTGTGGCAACCCTCACATGACCTATGAATTAAAGGAACACTCACAGATTAATGGAGTAATTGTACTCCATGGGTGCAGTTTCCTCTGTTTTTTGTTAAATTATTTTTAAGCTGTTTAACCAAAATAATTTGGCAGCACCCATCATTATCATGTTGTATTTATCCTAAAACCATCCCCACCCCTGTCTTAATCCTGTGTCAGGGTTGTTTTATTCAACTTGCCCCATAACAGTAGTTTAAGTCAGGGCTTGACAAATTTGCTTTAAATCTTGGAGCCAACAAAAAAAAGTTAGAATCGTGTTTTTTTGTTTGTTTTTATAAACGAGCATTGTTAGTTTAGAAAATTCATTGGAATCAGCTGAGATCATAAAGATTGAACAACTTTCACATGTGTCCGGGGGCGGTCACCTAAATAGTTGGATACTATATTGCAAGAAATACATGTTTGTATTCCTGACACTAGTGTTCATTTAAATTCACACATAAAGAAGACTAGAACCATACATCATGGACAATTAACGTTTGCTGATAATGAATATACTTTGATGTGATATTCCAGATGTGTGCAATGCATCAGTTTTTTTCACTTTGCTTTTTATGGCCATAAATATGCATTTATTTTTAGAATTAAAGGAACACTATAGGGTCAGGTATACAAACACATATGCCTGACCCTGTAGTGTTAAAACCATCGCCTTGCCCCCCTAAATATAGTAAATCTTTTATTGCAGTCTGCTGCTGGTTCTGCCTCTGATCTGCCTCCTTGGCTAACATCAGAAATGTTGAACAAAAGCCAATCACAATGTTTTCGAATAGGATTGGCTGAGACTGCCAAGGAGGCAGATTGGGGGCAGAGCCAGCACAAGACAAACACAGCCCTAGCCAATCAGCATCTCCTCATAGAGCTACATTGAAATTAAGTTTGTCAGCTGGCCAGCTCTTGAGGTCCCCAATGACAGGCAGAAGGCCCAGTCACACTTGTGACTTTAGCAACGCCTGTACTTCTGCACTTTGGTGCAGTGTTACATTACATGTAAGTAAAAATGTCTCCCTATTGTACTAGTAACTCATTGACATTGTCTAATTCCTTGTCGTTCATCCTCTTTGTTGTACTTGTTTCTCTACCAGCTGCAAAAGTTCTCAGTGTGAGTCATACAAAGTAGACCCTTCCATACCTTTTAGCGTATTAAGTTCAGAGACTTCATCAGGTCTAGAGTCATTATTGCTGAGGCTCTCTTCTACTTTCTTCAGATGTACCTGTATCAGCCATATTTCATTAGTACATTTTCACCATAGTGTTCTACAGATGTTTCAAATAAATTGAGTTCCAGCAATTAAAGGGTTTTGAGCAAATTATTGGAATTACTAAAGGCATAGTGTGAATATTTGCTATATATTTAAATACATAGTTTTACAGCTTATGCTATACTTGAAGCTGGCACGCACTAATGTTGATGAATCTGGTAGATATAATTGAATGGAAGCTGGTGTCTTTACTGGAGTTTAAGAAAGTTAGGTAAAAGTTCTTGCTCCTTTTCTTTAAATCTTCATCTTTTACTGGGGATGCACCGAAATTTCGGCAGCCAAAATTTTCGGCTGAAAATTACACCTCCCTCCTTGCCCTGCCCACCCCCTTCACCTGCGTGCAGTACTGCGATAGCACCCTATTGCTATCTCTCTATATAAACACGTTGTTACTATAGATATTATAATACCCACCTCACTGGATGTGCCAGCCCTGTTTCTACTCCCTCTCCCTTGCTCCAGTGTCCTCAGTGAAGCCACTTCGGGTCTGTCTCTGGAGCACAATGCCGGCACTCACTGCAAATGCAAGCTCCTTTACTATTACAGAACACGGATATGATGTCACCAGAAGTGGGTGTTACCGGGCAGCTATTTTGCATGAGAGCAGGAATAATGTTAAACCCTATAGAGAGTATGGGCAGAGTGTGAGATCTGTTTGCAGTGTTATTGGTTAAAGAAAGCTGCAGAGTCAATGTATAACATGAAGACATGCTTTGTAACACATGGACTGAGTGGTAAGTGAACCTGGATAGGTTCATTATCGAAGGAAACTGAATTCTACATTATAAACTGACTGGCTGCAATACAGAGAATTTTGTAACATTGTATTCTGTTGCATAGAACTAAATGAAGAATGTATATTGATATTAAATTAATATCAACAATATATTCTTTAGTCCTATATAACAAACAGATTTAACCGATTTTTATTTGTTTTTTTTAAGTTATTTTCTGTCTAATTTTGATGCGTTACTTTCAATAAAAGTGTGGTTATTTTATTTGCCTGTAGTTTTTCATATTAGATTCACTTAAGTCTAATATTAATAAAATCATAGAAAACAATTTTAAAATATTTTTTTGGGGGAAAAGTCTGTTTCGGTTTTTGGCCAAGGGCATCCTGAATTTTCGGTTTTGGCCCAGAATTTTCATTTCAGTGCATCCCGACTTCATAATTTCTCGACAGATTTTCAGTCTGTTAGTAAGAACCATGTAAAGGTGTAGTTAAAGGGATATTATAGTCACCAGAACAAATACAGCTTATAGATTTTTTTTTTTTTCCTTTTCCTGGTGAATAGAATCATTACCTTCAGGCTTTTTTCTGTAAGCACTGTCTTTTCAGAGAAAATGCAGTGTTTACATCACAGCCTAGTGATAACTTCACTGGCCACTCCTCAGATAGCGGTTATAGATCCTTCCTGGGTCATGGCTGCCTAAAATGCATCCAAACATTTAGTGTCTCCTCCCTTTGCATGCAGACACTGAGCTTTCCTCATAGAGATTCATTGATTCAATTCATCTCTCTGAGGAAATGCTGATTGGCCAGGGCTGTGTTTGAATCATGCTGGCTCTGCCCCTGATCTGCCACTTTGTCAGTCTCAGCCAATCCTATGGGGAAGCACTGTGATTGGATCAGGCTACCATATGTCAGCAGACTGCTTGTTTTTCTGAGTCTAACAGCATGCAGAGTTATAGCTTCAGGCTTGAATACAGTAAGCTTTTACTATATTTATGGAGGCATGCGGGCTCAAGGGGGCTAGATGGTGGTTTTAACACTAGAGGGTCAGGAATACATGTGTTCCTGACCCTATAGTGATCATTTAAAGCCTACATTAAAGGAATACTCTAGGCACTAATGCATTTGTTAGCTTTTGACCTCATTAATATGCTGTGTTTTGCACGCTCACATCTTTAGATTTGGCACACACAAATGGTTTTTGCAGAATGCTACACTATAAGCCTGCCTCCTTAGCCATACCTCTCATGCTTGAAACTATTCTTCAGTACAAGCCCATAGTTCAGCCCCTAACCGCACTGAATGAGCTGATTTTCACTTAGACAGAGAAGCTACAAAACAGGTAGTGATATCCTTACTATATATCTCTTGACTGGTGTCCTCTACTTCGGATGTAGTTTGCTTTAAAGTTCAGGTCATGCAATGCGGTCTCTGTCCCTTTTAAGAACCACTAAAGTCACCCACATCACATCTCAATGAAGTGATCTGTGTGCTGTGGTCCTGTCTTTTTAACACTTTTGTGTTCTACATTGCCCCTTTATTTCCACAGTAATGTTTACATTGGTTAAAATACACCTCCAGTAGCTATCTTCCTGACAGTCACAGCGTGCTTTCTCGTCCAGAACAGAGTCAAACTTTGTGTTGCAATCAAATTCTAAGTATGGCATTTGCCCGTCTACAGGTGGTCCGCACTTTAGTACCCACCTGTTTTACAGCGACTCGCACTTACAACCAGCTCTCTAGCGTGGGAATTCAAGGGATTCCCCACATTAGAGAGCTAGTCTATGTTCGGGGAATTTGTCTACGTTCGGGTAAATTTCCTCGAACATAGAAAAACACACCAGTGCAGGGAATCCATCCCTAAGGACTGTTTTATGTCGGACATACCTAGTATGTCTGCAGTCCTTAAGGGGCTAAACTCTTCTCAAGGTATCTCCACTGCAATACAGTGGGGACTGAATTGCGTCCTAGTCCAGGAATTTAAAACTACTGTATGGATATGCAACTAGGGACAGGGATATATGCTTTGTGTTTTGCTAAATGTATCTTTAAAATATTTTTTTATTGTATTTTCAGAGTGCAATAAGTGAATTCATGGATCATGGAGGCATTTCATATGAACTGTAAGTAAAATCTGTGTTTATGCAATTCACATTACAGATAATGCATAAACTATCTATAAAGTATATGAATTTGCAGCAAGCTCTGTCAAGACTAGTTTCCTTTTGTGACATCTGTTGATCCACTTATAAACCTCTACATGGGTTATTTAGTAAAGTTCCCTTAAATTTGAATTAACTTTAAATTCTTAAAGTTAAAGTGGGAGTGGGGGAAGAGTTAAGGGACCTCATTGCACCATACGCTGTGCAAGAAGCTATTTTGATTGGTTTTTTTGGAGTATCACTTTGTAGGGATCGACCGATATTTTTTTTTAGAGCCGATAATCTGTGATCTTTCAGGCCGATAGCCAATAACTTGCCGATATTCTGTACATTTACCATTTTGGAAAGAACAGAAAATAATCCCTCCCTTAAGCAGGGACTATGGAGTGTGTCCTGAAAATATCCAGACAGGGGATAACCCTAAATATTGACTTGCAAAAAATGTCCTGGATACACGGATAGGATATTTCAGAGTATTCTATTACTGATGATAACCATAATTTTATTAGTCATCGTAAACAAAGACAAACCAAAAAATAAATAATAAAAACCACTATCCCAAAAATAAATACATGAAGAGGAAATAATGAAGCTCAGTAGGCTAGGAAGGGGAGGCCAAATAAAATGGCAATACTAGAAGTTAAATGCTCCTATATGGCATATATGCCACCTATAGACTGAATATGAAAAGCTATAGAAGCTATATTGGAGACTAGTTAGATCTCCAAATGCCCCTAGTGTGAAGCCAGTCGGTGTAAAGTCCTAAAACTGATAATAAAAATATGCATCGAACAGACATACAGCTGAACACTCTAGTCCCACTGACTCAGACATAGCAAATCTCCTGGCATAAAATAGTGAGCAGCTAATGTCAAGTGATAGTACACACTAAACTTATGCACATATTGTGCGAAGAGCTATCCATTGCTAATCCTGTGTATAGGAAGGCTAATAGATACTGAATAAGTAGGAGACAAAATCCCTATCTAAACATAAATCTGGCTTAAATCCGGCTTCTATTCCCCATAAATTAAATTAACACCCTAAACAGGGTGTATATTTGTTCTCTTGGTGAGATTTTTGGGAAGTCTCACAGATTCTCTGCTGCCCATTCCTTTTTTTGCACTGTGTAGTGAGCGCTTATATTCTGTTGTATCCACAAAATATACATGCCAAATGTAGTGGATGAAGTGTGTTTAGACAGGGGAGCTGTGTGTGTTTGTATAATGAATGCAGTGAGTGTTTGTGTAGTGTGTGTGCACAGTGAATGCAGTAAGTGTTTGTGATTGTGTGTGTGTGTGTGTGTGTATGTAGTGATTTGTGTAAAATGGGGGGTTTTTTATTTTAATTATTTTTTATATATATATATTTTTAAATGGGGTTTGTTGTGTTTTTTATTTATTTATTTTAGTCCCCTCTCCCTGCTTCTTACCAGGGTTATAGTATTCTCTGGTGGTCCAGTGGCTTGTTAAGTACTGGGGGGCCCGCAGGAAGCTGTTTCTTACCTTTCTTGCAGCTCCCCAGTGTAAATCTTGCGGCCCTTAGTGCCGCGCGGAGCGCTGCCGTGCACAGAATTACGTATTCATAAGTATATATTTTGCTTTAGTAGCTTTTGTTATCTGTGTCCTTTATAGTGGTATGGAGCATTGTGAAAAGTTTGAGATCTCAGAGACAAGTGTAAATAAAGGTCCAGAAAAGATCAGACCAGAGTGCTTTGAACTTCTCCGTGTCCTTGGTAAAGGTGGCTATGGCAAGGTAAGAGTTTGTAGTTGCTAATTTGTTTTTAGGTTAAGGATTAATTCTTGGTGTAAATATTTGCATTACAAGTGTGAATGATTATTTTTTTGTTAGACATATGATTTTTCGTCAAAAACGCACTATAATCACCTGAACAACATATTGTGTATGCAAGGGTACAGGAATGTCTCCTCTATTGCACACAGTTGCTTGTAACTGCAATGATTTCAGCTGTGATGCTGCACCTTCTCCTTTGAATGTATTTTCATGACAGAAAGGTCAGATCCTGGAGACTGGAATGAGATTTCTGGTGGATATTCTTACCCAATTTGTGAACTAGCAAATGTAGGGTTTTGGGTTTTTTTTTCTTGTGAAGAATTGATTCAAGAACAAAGACTAAATGGTTAATATCTGTTTTATGGTCTTCAGGTTTTTCAAGTACGCAAAGTGATTGGAGCCCATACAGGAAATATATTTGCAATGAAAGTGCTTAAAAAGGTAAGCTGTTAGAATTGTCTTGAAACTGTTTTTGGTAACGCATCATCAATTTGGGATTACATAGAAGAACATCAGTTGTGAAATTAGGAACAGCTTTATGTAGTGGTTCTATGGCAAAAAGACTGCTTCTACATTTGTCATTTGTAAAAATTGTCTTTTCTGAGAAAAGGCGGTGTTTGCATTGCTGCATTATGCCACCTCTAGTGGTTGTCAGTCGGACAGCCTCTAGAGCGTTTATGGTCTTGCAGTCTTTGCATAGTACTTGTTTGACAGAGACACCAAATGCTCCCCATAGAGATGTATTGAGTCGTGATTGTTGCACATGCACACTGGGCACCCAATGCTTCCCTATGGGGAAGCATTGGAATGGCTAAGATCATCAGTATTGATTATCTCCTCAGCCTTTTTTTTAATGATTTTAAAATGAAATGAACACTTCAAGCACCTTAGCATGTCCCCTCCCCTCAATGTTATTGTAAGCGTGCAATCGGTTAATACTCTCTGGCAGTGATCTGGCTGTGCACGGCAGAGTTTAGATCAGGGTAGCTAACAGAAGCTTGTAGAATCTTTTTGCTCTCCATGGGGGAAGTTAGTGCCATCTGCCAGACCTCAGGTAGAAAGCTATATTTTTGGCAAATGTTTTGACTACTTTCATTGTGGAGAGCCAGAAAAAAAGGATACCATAATCACTACATCACACTATTTTGGTGCTTGGAATGTTCTTTTTTTTTTTTTTATTATTATTCTTTATTTTTGTAGTGCATAAGCTTTGAACAGATGCATGTGAGGTACCCCAAAGGCAATCCTCCAGCAGTTAAAGGACCACTCTAGGCACCCAGACCACTTAAGCTTAATGAAGTGGTCTGGGTGCCAGGTCCAGCTAGGATTAACCCATATTTTTTTTTTTTTTAAATAAACATAGCAGTTTCAGAGAAACTGCTATGTTTGTAAATGGGTTAATCCTTCCTCCAATTCCTCTAGTGGCTGTCTCATTGACAGCCGCTAGAGGCGCTTGCGTGATTCTCACTGTGAAAATCAGTGAGAGCACGCAAGCGTCCATAGGAAAGCATTATGAATGCTTTCCTATCCGACCGGCTGAATGCGTGCGCAGCTCTTGCCCCGCGTGCGCATTCAGCCGAATGGGGAGGAACGGAGGAGGAGAGCTCCCCGCCCAGCGCTGGAAGAAGGTAAGTTTTTACCCCTTTCCTCTCCCCAGAGCCAGACAGGAGGGGGTCCCTGAGGGTGGGGCCACCCTCAGGGCACTATAGTGCCAGGAAAACGAGTTTTCCTGGCACTATAATGGTTCTTTAACAAACAGTTGAACACAGAGGTACATGGTAGATCTAGCACATTTTTATATATGAATAGGGTGGGTGCTAAACATAGGTTTTCGTCGCTTAGGGAGCTTAAATTCTCATAACACAACGCAACAGCGCTTTACTATCTAGTTGTGATATTATTATGCTGTGCCAAGAGCTAGTGTGTTCCTGCAAGCTAGGTTTAGAGTTATGGGTGAGTTTACGTTTTCAGGTTGAAATGTTCCTTTAAAAGGTAGTGTGAGCTTGTTTCACTAGCACAGTGATGGACTGCAAATTACTACTTCCCATATGTAGAGGGATTTTTTTATTTTATTTTATTTTTTTAAATCTGCCAATGAACAGCTTCATAAATATCCTTGGTGTTTGTTATTTTTTTTCGGTTTTTTTTTAGGCCATGATTGTTCGGAATGCAAAAGACACAGCTCACACAAAAGCGGAGCGAAATATCTTGGAGGAAGTGAAGCACCCTTTCATCGTAGATTTAATTTACGCCTTTCAGACTGGTGGAAAACTCTACCTCATTTTAGAGTATCTCAGTGGTCCGTTTGTATGGTGTCTTGCTAGATAGATGGTTTAATTAATATTTTCAAGTGTGTATCATGACTGCATACATTTTTCACTTGGTAACTTCAAATTGTTTAAACTTGTGAGAAAGCAATAAATTCTGTATTTCAGATTTTATCATCCAGTATATAATTATTTTTTTTACATATATATTTTTGTTGGAGCAATAAACTGCTAACACACTTGGTAGCAAGTTAACATGAAAGACATATGTTATGTGCATAGCAATAAAGAAGGCATGCATTGTGTGAATTTTAGATGAGGAATTGTCACTAAAGTTAAGTGGAAATTAAAAAAATAAATAAATAGGAAAAGAGGTGATTGGAAGAATGGCAGTTTGGCAAGAGGATAGCAGGTTAAGAAATATCAGTATGTGGAAAGAGTGGAACTACAGAGGGGTTGTGTATAAAAGATAATTCTGGGGTAAGGTTTTAAAAGTAAAGTAATTGCCATGTGGAACTTATAGAAGAACAAAATGTGCAGTGTTAAACTTCACTCTTTCCATTACACACCTCAATGTACAAATAATTTAGGAAGTATTTAAACCCCTTAATATTTTCTTAATATTGCAGGCTCATGCTACAGTTGTTTACTTTTTTCTTCCCCCACAACAATCTCAAGATTGTAAGCTTGTTGAAGCAGGATCGTTATCAACCCATTGTTCCGGTCAACATTTGTAATAGTTTTTGTTAAATTTCCCCATAATAAAGTACAGCACTGTGGAACAAGTTGCCGCTATAAAATTATCAATAAGTACCCCATATTGATAAGTAAAGAAAACATATTTTTGAAACTTTACAAACATGTTAAACAGGAAGAAAAAAAAACTAATCTCACACTGACCTAAATAATCAAACCCTTAATACTTAGGTGAAGCACCTTTTGGCAGCAATTACTGCTTCAAGACTTGGGGTATGATTCAACAAGCTTTGCACCCCTAGATTTGGTTAGTTTTTGCCAATCAGGTCTTCTCCGTCTTGGACAGGTTGGATGGAGATTGTCCAGTTTCTCCTGACCTATTCGATTGGTTTGAAGTCCAGGCTCATACTAGAACACTCAAGGACATTCATAGTTGTCCATAAGCCGCTTCTGCATTGTCTTTGCTGTGTTCTTAGGGTCATGGCCCAGACTTCTCTGGATCAGGTTTTTCATTAAGGATATCTTTGTAATATGTTGCATTCAGCTTTCCTTCAACCTTGACCAGTTTCCCAGTCACTTCTCTTGCCATGACTCTTCTCCCCCAATTGCTCATTTTAGCTGCATGGCAACTCTAGGAAGAGTCCCAATTGTTCCAGACTTCTCCATTTTTAGCATTTTGGACCTTCAGGGCAGCGGATATATTTGTAGCCTTCCCCAGATCTGTGCCTCAACACATTTCTGTCTTTGAGCTCTGCAGGCAGTTCCTTTGACCTCAGGCTTGGTTGCTATCCTGAGATATATTTATAGCTCTGAGACTTTGTATAGCCAGGTGTGTGCCTTTCTAAATCATACCCATCAAACTTGCCACAGGTGAACTCATGTAATTTAGCATTAACCTTTGAAAATCATTTAAAACTGGATGGAAGGGCAGGAATTCCTGGCACAAACCATCTCAATGAAGGTGAAACCATCACCGTGCCTATAGTGTTTATTTTAATTATTTGGTAGAAAATTGGATCAAACCTCACAAAATAACTAAACATAACAGATTATTCTGTCTCAAGGTTAATCTTTCAAACCTTGTAGACATGGCTAATCTCCGAATATTCTGTGTGCATAAACATAGTGTAAAGATGAATACAAATTTAAATATGAAAATTTGTTTCCAAATGACTGCAAACTCATCATCAGTTATGTTCGATTAAAGTGCGCCAAATTCCTTGGTGGCAATTTCAAAAGCATATACCTAGAAATTTAGGGATTGACCGATTATCGGTTTTACCGATATTTGGTATTTTCGGCAATATCGATATCTGCCAGTATAGATACCGATAATACCGCCTAGGACCGTGGGGCTCGTTACAAGCCCAGCGGTCCTGAGGGGGCCGGCAGCAAGCTGTTACCTCCCAGCAGCTCCTCCAGCTCCCCAGTGTAAATCTCATGAGACCCGCAGCCGTCAGAGCGTTGCCATGGGTTACCATGGCAACGCGGCGCGCAGGTTGCAAGATTTACGCTGGAGGAGCTGCTGGAAAGGTAAGAGCTTGCTATATTCACTATACACACTGCATTAACTATACACACTACACAAGTACACACAGCTCCACTGTCTAAACACACTGCATGTGGCTTGTATATTTTGTGCATTTACCTTTAGAAATAGTTTATTTTTTCAAAATGGTAAATGCACAGAATATCGGCTATCTGCATGAAGGTTAACAGATTATCGGTATCTGCTCTAAAAAAAATCAATATCGGTCGATCCCTAGAAATTATCTTGATATTTGTCGTGATTCCCTTTTATTCCAGAAGTTGTCCTTAAGGGGGTTAAATCTCTCAAGACACTGTTTAGCAGTTGTGCATGAAATGATGCATTGCTGTGTCTGGTATATAAACCCACCTATTCTGTCACTTAACCTTGTTTTCCATACATCTTTTTATTTTGCTGGTATATCCCCTAAAAGCTTCCATACATAGAAGGCTGATACAACTAACTCCTGCTCAAAATGAAATTTAGGTTGTACAGCTTTAAATTACTTACCCGGTGTCATGTTCATAGTATTTTCTTACCACTTGTTCTGTAGGAAGTATGTTGGACTAAATGCAAGTTTATAGGAAAGTTAGATGAGAAATTGCCTACACTGCAATCCCTACAGTATGGCCTATGACATGACTTTCCACTAGCCTACTTACTAAAGACAAGCAAATAACATTTTCTTATATACATAACTTTAGATAGGTTGGCAACTCCTTTATAGCTGAAAAACCAAAGTCATATTTTTGTGAGGATTGAGCATGTAATCTTCATATGTACTGGAATGGACCATCCGACTAGTTTTTTGTTGGCATTCATGCAGCACTGATATATTCTGTGGTGCTTTTATATATTTTTTTTGTGAGAACCAAACTTGATTCTGTGTGCTTTTATCGTAAAAGTAGGAGAAGCAGTTTTGTCAGGGTATAAAATCTTTTTTTGTATGTATTGAACACAGGAGGAGAACTCTTCATGCAGTTGGAAAGAGAGGGGATTTTTATGGAGGATACGGCTTGGTAAGTGAAATCCTAGTTACTTTGAGTCCCCTTATTTTAGGGGCACCTGATTTACATACATTAGAAGGATGAGTCTAGAGGAGCTACCAAAATAACAAATAGACACTTTATGTTAATCTCATCCGATTATTTTTAATGTAATTCCTTATTACCCCTAATGCTCTTTAAATCGCTGAAGTGCCTTGCGTGAAGTGTCCTTTTTTTTTTTTTTTTCTTCAGTTTACAAAGTTCATATTTCACTCCAAATTGTCACTTTTATACAAATAATCTTGTCACACCACCCAGGCTGTCAATCAAACAAGGTCCTGTTTTTTTGTTTTTTTCAGTTTTTACTTGGCAGAAATCTCAATGGCATTGGGGCATTTGCATCAAAAAGGAATAATTTATCGTGACTTGAAACCAGAGAACATCATGCTCAATCACCAAGGTAGAAATAATTTTGTGCTGCAAATTGTGTAAATTAACTTTTGCTTGATTTACCGGTTTCGATTCATCTGTTGTCCTATTCTAATATATTCAGTATCAAATCCACAATGTACATTACACAATCGTCTGTTGGCGTTTGTAATAAAAAAATTTAAAAATCCACTTTATTTTTTAGATTTGCCGTTGTGTTAATATACTTTCTGTATTTCAGTTGAAGGTTATGCAATGTTTCTTCCTCCATTTGCAGGACACGTGAAGCTGACTGATTTTGGCCTTTGCAAAGAATCTATTCATGATGGCACAGTAACACACACCTTCTGTGGAACAATAGAATACATGTAAGCAATTTTAGCAGTGTGTTTTCTGCAAAACCTGTATTATTTTACCTTGGACTAACCTGTATCATTGCAAATTTTACATTGCTGAACCTGGCACACATGATCTTACCTTAATTGAGATTTGTTTATATTTTGCCGGTGCATGCACTGTATTAATACATACATGATATTGTAACACGCCACTTACTTGCATTATGTAACAGCAGTTACTCAAATAGTATTTTAGTTTATATTAACCGTGTTAGTACATCAGAATGAGGATGTGTGTAGTTCTTCCTGCCAGGGCATGTTAAGTCCTTGCATTTCAGTGTTCCAAGATAAACAATGAAAAATTTTGATTTTGTGGCATACCATGTGGCTATTGATTTATTGTTTTTTCTTTTAGGGCCCCTGAAATTTTAATGCGGAGTGGTCATAACCGTGCTGTAGACTGGTGGAGTCTTGGGGCGTTAATGTATGACATGCTGACCGGAGCAGTAGGTGCACTGTTTTTTACATGCATGCCTTTATCTCAACCATCTCACTTGCAAATGTTACATTGTCAACATTTATTTGCATCACAGAACTATGTCATCCCTAGATATATAGATATATAGATATATAGAGAGATAGAGAGAGATATATATATTTATTTTTTTCTCCCATGTTTGGCATTTTTAGCTGCGAATGACACAGTAATAAAAAATTAGTTTGGGTTAATATATGCTGTAATAACAGTGGAGTTATTTTTAGTGGGTTTAACAGTTAATGGCTTGGGTAAGAACATCACCGGCATTTCAAATATATTCTTTGTTTGCAGCAGTTTTAGATTTGGTGACTACTCTTAAACTTCTAGTCACAGTATACAAACAGTGGTTCCCTCCTTTTACGAAGCATGTAACTCCTTTAAAATGGTTTGGGAATCCTATATGAGAGACATATGAGATGATCCCCAAATATGGGAGAATTGAGTTTTCTCAATTATTTTATTTTTCTTTTGCTGATCATTTCTACAGTACTTGCGCAGCTTAAGTCTGAAATTAAACTTCAGTTTTCCCCATTTATTTAATATTTTATTCATACTTGTCCTTTATACTAATACGTATGTCCAATAGACACACTGTATGTCCCTTAAAACATTAATGTATATATGGCTGCATTTCAAAATATCAGGGAACAAATTATAAATATCTTAAGAATAATAAAAAAAACTTGTCACAATTACACAGAAATCTCATTTATAACAGGGTTAATAGATTTGCGTTTCTTTCAGCCGCCATTTACTGGTGAAAACCGAAAAAAGACCATTGATAAAATTCTTAAATGTAAACTAAACCTGCCTCCCTACCTCACACAAGAAGCCAGGGATCTCCTCAAAAAGGTATGAGATCTTGTGATTTATCTTATTTGATGATATCAGTCATTCCAAGTTCACTAATTTGTGTTATGTGCACAAGAAAAGTGTTTGATGGGGGGGTATAAGGTCATAGAGCAGGGCCCTCAACCTCTCTGTTCCTGTGCGTCAGTTTGTCTAGTTACAATTACGTTTGTTACTCCACCCATTGTACAACGCTACGGAACTTGCTGGCACTATATAAACAATACGATAATAGAGGTGGGCTGGATAAATAATTGTATATTGGTGTAAGTTAATTACAGGATACACAACATCGAACATTTAAGACATGGCTGATAAAATATAAAGTTCTCTCCTTTTAATATTTCCTGGGAATAGAAATGACAAATTTTAAGACTTTTTGTGTATCTGTATTCATTTTGTTTTAAATATTTTTTATTGTGTGCATAATATAAAGTCATACATCAAATTGATTTGTAATAAAGCAAGTGATTGCCCACGCAGGGGCTTAGGCATTGGTTTAACACTGCATATACATTTGGTTGTCTGCGTAGATGCGGATTTGTCCTAGCTTGTGTTTTTCGTGTACAGTGGATTGCTTTGTGTTGTACTGTGTTACCTTTTTAGTTCGGTTATAGCATTAATTAATTGTTTTAAGTCAACTGGCATGTTCCAGAGCTACGAGTTTGCTAGTTGGTAAATGCAAATTCTCGCCTGTGCAGAGGCAAGTGAATCAGCTGGCTAATTGGAGTCCGACATTAAGCAGTATAAAAACTTTTTCAACTATCTGATTAGCGCTCTAGACGTACGCCACCGCTGTGTTTAAAACTTGGCTTTTAACTATTAAACATTAGTATGCACGTAGCTGTGAGCCTTATTCGATAATGCTTAACTTGTTTGGAATCAACTGATGAGGGAATGTAGGAGCGGACAGATGCTGATGCTAAGCTCAGTGCTTGTTCAGCATAAAGGGCTTCGTTAAGCTTAAATAACCGCCAATAAGTATGGTGCGGTGAACATATGTGGTGGAAATGGTATATTAGTCAGGCACCGTGAGGCAATGATGCTTCCTATCTGTAACGGCCCCGCAGTGTCTAGCTAATTACAAAATACGCATGTCAGGATTCAAGTGTATTGATAGTAGAAATGTCATCAACATTACATCATATCTGTAACAGTTTAGCAGTGTCTAGCTAATTGCAAAATAAGCATGTCATGCATCAAGTGTATTGAGAACATCAGGGAACAAGCGCCTCTGGTGGCAATGCAATGCAAGAACCCATAAACTTATTCATATTAAAACATCCTAATTATCTAATAACATGAGCCAGAATCCCTAAGTATTCAGCTTGTACAGCAGAGTACTATTATAGAACTTCTGAAACTTTCAGACAAGCATGGCAGTCAGCTTATAGGGTCAGTCTCGTATGCTTCTGCTGTGTAGCTGAGTCCCTTGTCGTAAGCTGCGTATTCATCTTAGTCCCCCGACAGCGGGCGGGCTGCAGGTACAACACACTCCGAGCAGAGGGAGCCGACTGCAGACACATCCGCAGCCAGTCCCCGGGGCGCCGGCCTTTCGCCGCGCCCCCCCAGGTCATGCTGGGCTTCCGACCAGGAGATCTTCAGCGCAGCGGGCACCCGGGGACCCACTAGCCCACAAGACCCCCCCACCTAGAGTCCGTGCGCCAGTCATCCCCTGCACCCCCACCGCGCCTCTGGAGCCCCAGCCGGATGAGGCGAAGGCCGTCTTGTGTCTCACCCTTCTCCGGCCTCCTAGGGCAGGCGCCGACTTCCCCTCAGCCACCGGTCCGCCGGGGGCCGCCGCGCTCCACTCCACAAGGGCACACAGTGTCGGGGACAGCCACCTCCTGGCCCTCCACAAAACCCAGAGGTGACGGCGATCCGCTCTCAGCAAGGCATAATCCCAGGGTCGCAGCATCCAGCCAGCGGGTCCCAAGGATGTCGCGGCCGCGTCCCGCCTGGCCTCCTCCGCCCACGTGCATCACCCCTAGTGCCCATCTCCGCCTGTGGGTGTCACATCCATGGGGCAGCTTCTCAAGGTAATGCCAGCAGTCTGACCTGAAATAAGCAGTTGGGTAATAAACGTCCCTTGATTTCAGGTGTTATCTGGCGGGCCACGGTTAGGCAGCCTGTGCCTGTACAGGAGGGCCGTGCGTTCCCCCGGTGGTGGCGTCCAGCCCGGGTTGTGTGGCCTCCATGTGGCCAGGATTACCCCCACCGGCCGGGGAAGGGAGCGGGGCCGCAGCTCTCGCCGCGTAGATTCCTGTAGAGGTCCCCTCGACCTGTGTGTCTGTTCCTCCGGTCTAGCTCTTAAGTGGCAGTTCCCAGCCTGCGGTTGCCCATGTTTAGGCTCAAGCTGGTGTGTAGGCCGGGTTCGTCCGTTTCGGTGTTCCTGATGCGGTTGTGGCTGCGGTTTGGTATGGTAAGGTAGCTTGGGTGGTGCCCCGTATCGCTACTGTAAGTTTTTCTGCTTTGGGGCAGATTGTGTGTGAGTTGTGTGGCATTTTTCAGGATTCTGTCCCGGAGCCATGTTACTTTGCTGCCATGCTGCTTGGCGGCCCGGCCCCGCCCCCCTCTGTATTCATTTTGACCATGTCTTGTATGCAGGATCTTGCACACAACTTGGGTTCAACTCTCTCCTCCCAGAAAAGATCATGCATGCGTATGGGAACTGTGCTATTTGTAAACTGATAGCAGCCGCAGTATGGCTACTACTGGATTACAGAGCAGTTCAACCCTTCCCACTTCTTATACTATGCGGTGTTTAAGGAGGTTAAGTGAATTCATCATGTGGGAGCGTTTTGCTTCTAGCTGCAGCAGACTTCGTAAACAATGCATTCAGTGACTTTTTAAACTCTATCATTTTATATTTTTCAATGCACTTGATCCCATAGATTCCCTTTTAATTGATTGTTTTTGAAACAAATTGCAGTTTTCAACATGTGACTTTATCTTTTATTAAAGCTGCTAAAAAGAAACGCTGCCTCGCGTCTTGGAGCAGGAGTTGGTGATGCTGGAGATGTTCAGGTAATGTTGCACCCCTTTTTATTCCTCTCCTTAACCCCTTAAAGAGGTAATTGTCAAAGTTTGTGTTTGTTCCACAATAATGTAGGGTTTCTCTTTAAAAAAAAATAACTTAGATTAAATTAAAAAAAAAAATCTTCAGTATATAGGAAGTACTCTCAGGATTTCTCCAGCAGATTAGTTAAAACCTAGCTTTTTTTTGCTCCAATAAGTCAGTATTTCAGTGTTAACAGCAACATTTCTACTGAGATAGATATGGATAGTCTTAAAGGACAGGGCTTTCTTTTAATCTTTTTTTCCCTTCACACTTTTGCTTATAATTGTTATACATCCAGTGCAATTAAAATATCAGTTCTAATATGTCTATGAGCTAAAGTCTTGGCAGTTAATGCTAACCCTATACCAACTCTCTCCTCCCCGTACGCTATACCAACTATTCCTTTTATCCTATGCTTTCACTAACCATATACCTACCCTAAACATAACCCTATACTAACCCTAAAATAGCATTAACCATACAATACAACTGACCCTAAGGAAACATAATGCTATTATCAGTAGGGATATCAACAGAGCAGTATGTTGCCATCTACTTGCCCTAGATGTCAATTGGTGACTCCAGAAGCTGCAGAACATTCAATGCCATCCTTACTGCTTTAAAATACACTTTGTGAAGGATAGCATGGAACATCCTAATGTTGGGAAGAGGTTAATTGCCTGGCCTTGGTTAAAATCCTGTGTTTTACTGAACACGTTCTACAGTCACATTTTTGATAACTTTTGGGGGTCTGGATGCAGTTTTCATAGTGATGTGGACAGACTTCTAAAGCAGATTTTATCATGAATGTGGCAAACCTTTTCAGCCTATGTTACTGTTGTAGCACAACACAAATGACTAATTGGGCAGTAAAATTCTTAACTATGCCTTACTTGAAAGTTAACATAATTTTTCTTCAACTATTAGTCTAAAATAACATTTGCCCGGGATAACAATTGACTCTTGTATGCACTAATTATTTGCGAGTATTGTTTTATTTGATTTTCATGTTATCACATTTTTAGGCTCACCCATTTTTCAGACACATCAACTGGGAAGACCTCCTGGCTCGTAAGGTGGAGCCTCCCTTTAAGCCTCTTTTGGTATGTGTGTGTGTGTATATTAAAAAAAGAAAAAAAAACATACTCTTTGCAGGCACGTCATGTAGTTTGGTAATGTTTGCAAGCTTCTTTTATAGTGCATCAGAGCATTAATTCATGATTATTCCTGATTGTGAGAATTCTAATGAATTCAAGATGAATTTCAAATTTAAGCCCAAACAGGGAAGCACTGCGCCGCTTCCAGTTTGACTGATTTGGCCTTAAATTTTACATTTACTTAGATTTTCCAGCGATTCTCCCTTTGTTGAATAACCTTGCTGTTGTGATTTAACACTTACAGGGTTAATTACTAAAGTGAAAAGTAAAAGTGAATTTAAAATTTAAGAAGCTGAATTGGGAGCAAAATCTTAAGCTATGTTTTCACATTGTTTTGATTTTAAATTTGAAATTCACTTTTTCTGTAAATTCTTACTTTAGTAAATAACCCTTTTAGTGTTCTAACCAATATCTGGAGTTCTATCTATAGATACATCACATATATCCATGGCATTTTATTGTTTATCCTTTGCTAGGTGTCTCATAGTGTTTTAAATAAATATATAAGGGTACTATCAAAGGTGCTGATGGAAAAACAAAATGTCTTTTGAAAGTCAGGATCTGATTTAATATTCCTTAAGCTGGTTGATAGTTGAAAACCTGAATCTGGTTTTCCATCCATGGTAAAATCTCTGATTACAATTTAATAGCTGGAATAAAAAGGATTTGCAAAAGCAATTACTGTTTTGGCAGTTGCCATTTTCTTCCCACAATTCCTTGCCTTGCTTGCCATGAATTGCCCATCAATGTAATTTTGCAGAATAGACTTTTCTAGAATTCTTGAATGTGCATCTGTATTTGTACAAATCAAGAAATAACTCCACTAATCCAAAGCACAGACAATCATATCACTAATAAGATGAATGTCAAGGGGAGATGTGTCAAACCGTATGTCATGCAGCTTTGTTAGATAACATTTGTATACCTTAATAAAACTTTATGGCAATACGATCATTCACAAATTAGATCAACACTTTTTGAATGGGGCCTTTATCTTGTATGCCCAGATGTGGGGTCTAAATTTTAGCCATTGCCTAACACTGATAAATGTTGATAGGATAATTGCTCTCTGCAGTCCCTAACATGGACAATGTCTGGTTTATTAACTTAAAAGTGGTGAGTTTTTCATTAAAATAAACTTGGAAAAAAATTCCTCAACCTAGCTGTAGTTACTGCTTAACTTAATTTCCAGGGTGCTACCGTTGGCAAATATAGCAAAGGGGCGATAGTGGAAGTATTCCTTGAGAGCCCTGATTTTTTATTTTTTTTTGTTTTGTTTTTTGTTAAACCACTCAAATAATTAGACATTAACCAGGTCAATGGCTTCCATTTGCTATTTAAGCACGCTCATTGTAGTGGTTAGAGAGTAGTGACCATTTAAGCTAGCGGTGCAAAGTTTACAGTTGCTATCTCTAAATGTGGACGGTGGTTGGTTTTACGTACCTCTTATTCTTGCCTGTGAAATTTTTACTCTCTTAGGAAAAAAGTCTGACTCATTGCTTGGTCGTATGTAAAATATATGTATAATCTGCCTTTATTGTCTTTTTAAGCAATCTGAAGAGGATGTGAGCCAGTTTGACTCAAAGTTTACACGTCAAACACCTGTGGACAGTCCGGATGATGCCACACTCAGTGAAAGTGCCAACCAAGTGTTTGTGGTGAGTAAAACATTTAAATTGTGTTAAGGTGTTTTTTTTTTTTCAAATCCAATTAAACATTAGTGTCATACATTTGTTCGGTAACAAATCACAGGTGTAAGAAAATATGATGATGTAAACCAATTGGAATAAAGAGTATGCAACTGTAGACACTGCACATTTTTGTCCCTGCATAAGTTAAAGTATTACAGTAATATACAATATGCAGTAATAAAAATTTTATTCAAGGCTCTCATCCTTTGTGAATGCAGTATTTACCTTATTGGTGATATCCTAAGGTATTAGACCAGTGTTGGCCATGTGTTTTCTTTATGACTGGCTGTATCTCCATCAGTGTCCCTTTAATGTAAGAATTGACTTAGAATTTTGTGAATTGCGTTTCTTATGATACTTCACCAGTTTGGGTATTTTGCAAACAGCTTGTGAACTTGTTTGGCAGTTTTAACCATCATTTGTGTAAGTTACTGCAGGCGCCCAAACCTTTCCAAGCATTTCTACTGCGATACATACTTTAAACCCATACTATATGCAAAAATCTGGTGACTCATCCACTTTCTGTAGTAGCATGATATATAAAGAGCATTACAATACTGAACATACAGCAGTGCATGTGTCCCTGTGTGGAATTATGAAGATCTGTATAAGGTTAATGAGCATTGGTATACAGCAAAATAGCACATATGAAAATGTAGTAACTTGTTTGCATCCCTCTATTCCACCTTTACATTTTAAGTTACTGTTCCTTATTAGTTCAACACTGTGATGTGACATTGCAGTTACAGCTGTATATAAATGACATAATTATCTAGATTGTCAGTCTTAAGTGAACATACTGTTTTATTTTTTTTATTTTGTTTTACACTGAGCTCACTCACTGTATGGATAAGTAACAATCTGCTTAAGTCTCCAGCCAACAGGTTGAAGCTGTTACTGTTTCACTGAAATTAAGATATTTTCACACTAACCTCTAATCTAAAAGACCTACAAACTTCAAACTCCTAGCACTAAAAGACCCCAGACCTACCTCCCCCAACTGTATCACACCACTTAATTGTTTATTATGAGAACATGGCACATATAAAGATATCAATATAGTGTCATTGTAACTGCAATTCTAAACAAATCATAGCTGGTGTTAGTCTGGGCAGTGTCTATAACTGCTGTTGCTAAAGTACTGTGACCCACAGCTTCTTAACACATTAACACCAGTGCCATCATATTATATCTGTTCAGAGATGAAGCAACTGGAGATCTGTGGACTGATGCACAATGTGTGTTTTTCTCATGGTCTCAAAGAATCTCAGTTCATCTCCGAGCTGAGAATTCTAAACCGAGGGGGTGGTGGGTGGCTAACATAACTGAAATGTCATGTACATTTTTACAGTTTTGAATTTACATATGAAACTTGCCTCAGTAAAGTCATGGTTTCCAGGTTTTTTAAATCCATAAATGTGTCAAAACTGTCTGGGGGAAAAAAAAAATTAAAATTCAAAACACCATGAAAAAACATGAGCCTAAAGGTGGTAAAAAGAAATAGGATCTCTGGTTTTAAAACTCACAAACATTTTCTCTTTCAGGGCTTTACTTATGTGGCTCCCTCTGTACTTGAAAGCGTGAAAGAAAAGTTTTCATTCGAACCAAAAATTCGCTCACCTCGCAGATTCATCGGTAGCCCTCGGACACCTGTGAGGTAATGGCACATGTTCACTACGTATAATAGTTGGCAAATACAGCTGAATGTTCAAGAATTTATACAAGTCTAGTTTAGCCGCACAGTGGGGTTTATTTACCAAATTCAACGTTATAACGAATATCTGAATAGCAAAATTTATGGAAACCTAGTTGATCTGCAGAACCAGTTATTCTATCTTTGGCCTATACTTTCTTTTTTTTTTTTTTCTTATTTGCTACAATTCAGAGTATAGCGAATAAGCCCTGGAAAAACTAAGTGATTGATTTTTTTTTTATTATTATTATTTTTTTTTTTTGACCATCTTATTTTTATTGAAAGATTTTAAGAGAATAAGTGAGTTTATTGTATTGTAAATATTATCTATGCACTACATAAAGTGTATGTATTTTCTAAAGAAAGTTGTTTTGTGTTTTAAAATAGACAACCTCCTCTAATCTGCAGCACCACTTCACCACCTGGGAGATCCTCCCAAAGGGGGATCACATGTCACTAGCCAATCCAGTACTTCTCGTAGAGATACGTTGAAACATTGCTTTCTGCTTTGAGCAAGTGCTTAAGTAAGAGTACCCTACTGGCTGTATGACAGCCTAGAAAATTTGTTAAAAGCTCTTATTTCTCTTGAAATCAGTGCTTTTGTAAAGTAAGACATAGGACAATGTTGGCCCATAAAGCAAGTCAGCAAATTGAAGTATTTTAGCGGTTTGGAGTGTTCCTATATAATTCGACTGGTCAGCAAGTGGCTGTATGATCTCAACGTTCCATGAGTGCCAATCTCTGCTTTTTATTGGATAACATTAAGAGGAAAAGTAGACTAATATTGTAAAATTTACTTTTTTAGCCCTGTAAAGTTTTCTGCTGGTGATTTTTGGGGAAGAGGAACTGCGGTTGGGACCACAAATTCACAAGCGTCATCTGAATATCGAGTGGAAGCAGGCGGAATAGAACAAATGGATGTGACTGTAAGCGGAGAAGCATCAGCACCACTTCCAATCAGACAATCCAATGCTGGACCCTATAAAAAACAAGCTTACCCAATGATGTCTAAGAGACCAGAGCATCTACGCATGAATCTATGACAATGCAGTGTTTCCACATGTATTCTGACTTGTACAGGTGGTAAAGCAAATGGAACAACAATCCAGCTTATGACAGAGCAAAAAATTAATTGGTTGGGACAGTCATGAGTCCCTGTAAGTGAAAGCGAAAAAAAACGTGGAACCAGTTGCTGCACAGGACAGTATGGAAAGACTAACCATTTTTAAAAAAAATATAAATAATATATATGTATACACAAATATATATATATCAATCAATGGTGCAACAAAACAAACAAGAGTTAGGATAAACACATTATTGAGGTGGAGATGTGTTCCTTCCCTATCAAATTTGGAAATCAACAGTATTAGTTCATTGGTAAATTGATCCTTACCCACCCAAAAATGAAAAACAGAACTGGAATTCATTATATAATGGCACAATATATATTCAATAAAGATTCTGGCATGACATGGGTTTAAATCTAAACTATTGCCAAAACAGAATACTTGTTCTGCTTTGAGGTTTGATTACACTTAATTACATATGTGTAATCTAATGTTTTCTGTCCATGAATGTGAATGAAAACTGTCCTTTTCTTAAAGTTGGGCTATTTAAACCCAGAAACTAGTCTTCCAGTGTTTTGGCAGACTTGCATGCATCTGGGTAACTCCTAAATCATTGCGATTGATTTTTGAAAATGCCCATCAATTTCTAGCATACAAATGTGCTATAAGACTGTTCAAGTGCTTTAGGCGGAAAGTAAATTTGAGCATCTAAAGCCAATTTAGACTTGAAATGTAATCAGGGCACTTGTAGTACCTTGAATGTTTTGGAAGGTCTGAAGCTGCCTGGAATGTGTCCTCTACTCTTGCCTTTATTTTCTTCATATCCAACAAAACCTTGATCTTGTCCTCCAAATAGGGACTTTAAATACTGGGACTTCTCATCATTCTGATTTGTTAAAGTATTACATGGCCTTTATACTCATGTCTTCCATTGTGAGGAAAAAGAAGTCTGAGGCTGAACGTTAGGGTTGTAATCACACTGCTGGTGTGGTCATGGACTCTGTGTCAGTGGCTTAAAGGTACAAAGAAAGAAATAAAGGTATCTTTACCTTGCCTTAAAAGCATTTTCATCAACATAATTTGGTGTATTAAATCCTCATCACTGTAAATTGCATTACAAACAAGTCGGCCCTCTCAAGTTTTTAAATATCCTATGGTGCATTTCACACTTGTTTCTATGATCTGTGCCAATGTTTTAAAGTGTAAGAAGGGATAGCAAAAAAAGGATATTTAAAAACCTGTCTGTTAAGTCTGAAATAGTTGAGAAGTAGGATCCAAGCCATAGAAAAAAAAAAAATCCCTTAAATCAGGGAAACCAATTAACGAACTGTCACATCATTGGGTTTTAATGAGGGACTGATTATGGCGAATTGATTGTGCATTTTCTTAGCAGATCTTAAGGACTTGTTTTGCATTATATAATGTGAGTCAGACATTTTCATTTGTGACTTGAAATTTTAAGAATCTCTAATATCACAGCATAATTAACTGTGGTCTTTGCCACCTGCTTACGTAAAAGTCAGAATTCTGTAAATTGCATCTTTATCCAAGATGGACGTCAGCGTTACAGCATCATTTCTAGCGGTTCCTATGACGATTCATTACCAATACGTTGGGGATTTGAAAAGCAAAGCCTTAAAAGAAGTTTCAGTAATAACATATTTCATTTGATTAAATATATATGAAAACATTAATGTTTGTTCATTTTCTTTTTCTGTGTGAAATGCTAAGCAGCCCGCTTTTCCATTTGTGGCTGCAACTTGGTAACTGAATAGTGTAACAAATCTTCCAGTATTATCTATACCAGGGTTAGATACTTCAAATTTCAGATATTGTGGAAGACATCTCTCATAATGCTGGCAAACACACAGGGGGGGATGTAGTCCACAACACTGGAAGTGCTAAAGGTTCCTTACCTCTGTTCTCTAAAGTGAACCACTTTATTGTAATTGGACTGGGATCGGTGGTGCAAGCCAAAAGGTTAGATGTTTACTCATACACAGGGTGTGCCGCAGGGGCCAAATGTCCTAGGTACGCCCCTGCCAGTAACAAATGAAATGGTGATGGAGGGTTTGCAGTGATAGTTCTGTTTAACTGGCAATGGTAAGCTTTACAGTGCTATTCTCAATAATTAAACATGGGGGGTTCTGGTGGGCATCAGTATCCCAATATCTACATTAGATATTTCTTAATTTTTGTAATCTGCAATATACACTGTTCTCTGCACTAAGTTTATTTGGATTTGTAGTTGGGTCATTTTGAGTCTTGGGAAACCTCTCCAATACAAATTTAATGGCAATCTGTAGTGCCTAGAAGAAATATCTAGGGAGTTGGATCAGGATTGTCGGAAACAAATACAGAGCTCTAGGGAGTAGGTTCATTTTATGTTCATCCTTACCAGCCACAAGAGCATTGTGTAGGACCCGGGGGATTTTAGTTAAACAAGTCAGTATTGCCAGGACATTTTGTCTACAGATGTAAAATCTAATGTAGAATCCTCTTAATTTCTTCTTGTCTTCAGTTGATTGATATATATATATCAATGTCTCTTGTATATATAATCTTGGGCCAAATGCTCGCCACAATAATACATGTCTATATTATTGAAAAGTACTAATACGCAATCTGACTTACGGTTTCTTCAGGTTTATTCTGTTACGGATACATAATAAAACATCATAAAGGATGTTACAGGATAATGGACCTTCAACAGCAGATGGTAATTGCTGTACTTCTGATGGGAGAGTTACATCGTTGTACAGAGCCAAGCCAAGACAGCGAGCTACCTTGTGTCCCTCTGTACCTATATAGAAGTGCTCATACTAACGTCAGCGTTTAACTCTAACCATATAAGGACAAGACATCCACATTCCAGAGCTCTCGGACAAAGAAAGCCTTGTGACTTATACCATCTGTTACTTATGTCAATCCACACATCCATATATATATATATATATATATAATCAATAGAAACATAGAATATGCAATATTCTACAACAGATCAGTCACATCTCAAGTCAGCCACACCCCCAGGTAGCTAATTTGGAATATGCACCAGCAAAATGGTAATCTGTCTCTTATAGTCTGTGATTGAGAAACTGGCAGAGACCTATTCCGGGTCTCTAATTTGTGTACATTCCGTTACAAGTTTGAATTGCATCCTCCATATCATTGTAGAAAAGTTATCAACACTGGGAGTGTCACAGCCAGGCTGGAAAGGAAGAACAGCATGTTATCAGCCAGTGATGGATAACTTTGACACCATAAAGTGTTTCTGGACTACATTTCCCATGATGCTCCGCTGGCTTTTAGAGTCTAAAAGCTAGCTGAGCGTTATGGGAAATGTAACCCAGAAACCATTTATGGTGTCAAGGTTAGCCATCACTGGCCTAAGCAGAGATCTTATGCTCCCCACAATCCTGTATTTACTTTATGCAGACTTGCTCTGACCGCTGTCAGAAGTGGCTCTAAGGGCAGAACAAATAGAGGTGACAACAGGCAGCCCTGTCTTGTTACAGTTAAAATTCTAATCTCTTCTGTCAGGGCACCGTTTATGCGAACCCTAGCAGTGAACTGAAATCTGCTCTGAACAAAGATCCCATTTACCTCTCCCCTTTGCTTACCAAAGACTCCCTGCATGCCCTCAGATGTACCTGCCTCTTTCTTCATCTGTGCAGGCATTAGATGCACCCTATTGGTACTCTGCCATACCCTTACCTGCTCCCATTACCTCCATCACCCTGCCCTTTCCAGCTCAGGCTTGGCCAAGGAGCAATTAAGTAGCACCCCCCTCCTACTAATCTTTCTAGTGTGTCACACTGTAGAAAGCTGGGCCTTTCCATGCAGTGGACAAGGTCAAAGCCACCTTGTGCAGTTCCCCCAAACTGCAGATAATTTCAGTTGTGTGGCATCCATGTTCTAAATACAACTTTACTGAATACAAGTTACCCATTAAAATGCTAACCACATTTAAAAGGTTTGAGCATATATCATGGTGAAGATCAGGGGTTTCCAATTAATCTTTCCTGTGGAACCCTTTGACATAGTGTATCAACATCGTGGACTCCCCCCCCCCCGGGTGTATATCAAGGTGTGTGTATGTGCCAGTGTGTATGAATCTGACACACAGATACACACACCTTGACACAGTGTGTATCTGTGTGTGTATGTATGTATGTATCTGTGTGTCAAGATGTGTGTGTCTGTTTCAAAGTCTGTGTATCTGTGTTTGTATGTGTCTATGTATCAAGGTGTGTATCTGTGTTTATATGTGCCAGTGGGTATGAATCTGACATACAGATACACACACCTTGACACACAGTGTGTATCTGTGTTTGTATATCTGTGTTTGTATATCTGTGTTTGTATGTGCCTGTGTGTATCTGTGTCAGTGTGTATATGTATGACATATACATACACACACGTGCGCGCAAACACTGATCCACACAGTGACATACACACTTGCACCCACAGATACACACACAGGTACATACTGGCACATACACAAACCTTGACACACACTCATACACGCTCATTGACAAGAACAGATACATTCTCACTGACCAACACATACACTCACTGACAAGCACACATTCACTCTCACTGACAAACACATACAATTTTTTTAAAACATTTTACTCCACCCAGCCCCCCTATCTTTAGGAGTGCTGGCATGGAGTCCCTGGGGTCCAGTGGAGCTGCTGGGTGGCTGGAGAGCAGTCCCTGAGGGTCCAGTGAGGCCGCTGTCGTGCGGGCGGCGAGGGATCAGCTCCCTTGCGCGCCTCTTAGTGATGCCGGAGCCAAAGTGACGTTCTATTCCAGATCCGGCATCACTGCTATGCGAGGGAGCTGGGCAGGTAGATCACTGCTCCCTTGCCGCCCACGGCCATTTTATTTTCACATTTTTTGGTGGAACCCCAATTCGTGTTCCGCAGAACACCAATTGGGAAACGCTGGTATAGATAAATCTGTACATCTCATAGGCATTGAAAGTATAATTTATCAAAAGGATAATTGATGGCAATGGCATATGCACTGTGGTAGTTATGCATGCTGAGCAGGAGGACCAATTGTATGAGGATTCTCCTGCTCTGTCTGTTGGCTTTTGGGTTAGTTTTGTTTTGGGCACAGCGAACAAGTGATTCTGCTGACGTCTATACACTTCCAAGATCACTAGCACTAACTTGTATATACCATAATAGGTTTAATTTAATAAGTTAAAATTTAAATAAACAATAGGATTTGAAATATACAGATATTCAGAAATCTAGTAAGGAGGGAAAAAAATTTAATTTGATTGCCACACCGTCTGTAGATTACCAAATATCAGAAAGGAAATGTGTAATATATAAGTATTAAATGCTCTGCAGTTATTGGATTATGCTATTTGGTCGAGCCCGAGTGGTGTCTGGGATACACTTTTGCTGCAAAAGTTCTATTGGTGTGTATCCAATATGATTACTGCCCCACTCCTATAGACTGTAAGCTCGTTTGAGCAGGGTCCTCTTCAACCTTTTGTTCCTGTAAGTTTTCTTGTAATTGTCCTATTTATAGTTAAATCCCCCCTCTCATAATATTGTAAAGTGCTACGGAATTGGTTGGCGCTATATAAATGGAGATAATAATACACACAAAGCACAAATGATTTGCCAATGTTTCTCATGTGACCTTTGCATAAGCAAATTTAACGTCAAATGTAGAAACCACAATAAATAGAGTAAAGAAACCACTAAAACAAGTTTAATTTGTATACACACTGACAATAAATGAGTTAAAGGGACACTATAGCCACCCAGGCCACTTTAGCTAATTGTAGTGGTCTGGGGGCAATGTAAATATTGCAGTTTCTCTGGAACTGCAATGTTTTACATTTCAGCACTAAGTCTGCTTCCAGTGGCTGTCTGTTAGACAGCTACTGGAAGCCCTTCCTGGATTGAAATGCACCTTTGGTCCTGTAAATGATGCTGAACGCTCTGCATGAGGACGTCCACTGTTAACTCTTTCCTAGCGGGAGGTCTAATGCGCATGAAGCCTTCCCCCAAAGCCTCTAGTGGCTGTCTCATTAGAGGCTTGCGTGTGATTTTCACAGTGAGAGCACGCCAGCGTCCATAGGAAAGCATTATGAATGCTTTCCTATGTGACTGGCTGAATGCGTGCGCAGCTCTTGCCGCGAGTGCGCATTCAGCCGATGGGGCGGAATGGAGGAGGATCGGAGGAGGAGAGCTCTCCGCCCAGCGCAGGAAAAAGGTAAGTTTAAATCCCTTTCACCTTTCCAGAGCCGGGCGGGAGTGGGACCCTGAGGGTGGGGGCACCCTCAGGGCACTATAGTGCCAGGAAAACGAGTATGTTTTCCTGGCACTATAGTGGTCCTTTAAGGTAAGACTTTTTGCTTTAATCTTATGGTTTCTAGCCTGATTTTGGCCTAGATTAGTAATACATTTTTTTCTTCTTGTCAAATCTGGAGTCAACGGAGAGATCTACTGAGAAAGGAAAATGCACTTCCAAATCTAAACATTTAATCTGTGCTTCATGTGTGCATCCTCCGCCAGATGGATATAAAAGGAAGAACTGTACCCTTTGTTCAAAAGAAGCTTTGGATGAAGCAAATAAGTTGGAAATGTCCTAATTTTTAAGATGGTTACAGCAGAACTTACAACAGCCCTTTTTGGATATTAGATCAGCAGCTGTTTAGTCTGCACAGACGTCTATTAGTTCTCACTTGCCTATTAGAACTTATTAAAAGGCTTATAATGTGGGAATACTCTGATTCCAGTTCTGATTTCTGCTATTTTAAATCTTTGGAGTAAGACTCCAGTGGTTCCTCTGAGAAAGGGTGTTTTCCAGAAGAAGACATAGACCAGCTTATTAAAGAAGTTTAGGCTCTAATGGAAAATGAAGAATAATTTAAGAGTAAAGGGGAAAAAATCCAGATCCTTCCCTTTTCATCTTCAATTAAAATAATAAATTTTGAGGGAACGTAACTAAAAAGGCCTTTCATATCTAAACACTTCAAAATGGTCTTTTCTATTACCGGTAGTAGACAACCCATTTCCCAACTAGGCAAGAAAACTATTTTACCCATCAGAAATTCCAGCAGCCTGATAGATGCCATGGAAAAACATATTGACTCTTCCTTAAAATAATTTTTGTCTCCTCAAAGCAAAGCCCTTTTAGTAGTAAATATACAACACAGAATGTTGCAGGTTATGCAAAACATGAAATTTAAACATTAGAGTAGCTATAGATAAGATAAACTAACAATTATCACCAGGCACAAGTTAAAACCCCTTCAGCCCCTTTCCTTAATCCAGCGCCAGGCTCCCTCGGCGCTGGTGACCTCTCCTTCCCCTGCCGACGTCAGCTCCAAATGCGCACGCGCAGCCAGAGCTGCGCGCGCATTCAAACCGCCCATAGGAAAGCATTACACAATGCTTTCATTTGGATGTCAGCGTCATCTCAGTGTGATTTTTTTTTACACTGAGAATCGCGGAAGCGGCCTCTAGTGGCTGTCAGGTAGACAGCCACTAGAGGCTGGATTAACCCTCAATGTAAACATATCAGTTTCTCTGAAACTGCTAAGTTTTCAGCTGCAGAGTTAAAACTAGGGTGAACTGGCACCTGGACCACTTCATTGAGCTGAAGTGGTCTGGGTGCCTATAGTGGTCCATTATTAGAGAAAAAATCCAGATAGGTTTCATTCAAAAACATTGTAAACGATCGGTACGAGGAACAAAGTTCAAACCTATTTATCAGGCATCCCTAGAAAATAAAAAAGGGGGTGGCGATTGTTTTTGGTCTTGTTTTATGATTCTGACCAGTCAGGTATATTTTTAATATTGGTCTGTAAGATAGAGGAGAAAATTTACACTCTTGTAAATGTCTACTTACGTAATGTAAATCCAATGTCAACATTTTCAGAAATTATGAGCAGAGTGAATAATATATCAAAAGGTATATTAATTATTGCAGGTGATTTCATTTGTGTTTTTGATTTAACAATAGATAAAAAAAAAAATCTAATTCCCAGCTTAAATCTGATAAATCAGTCTTGCAACAATCCAAGAGATTAAATAGCATTTGCAATACGCATGGTTTATATGATGCCTGGAGAACTATTCATCCGGAAGGTAGAGACTAGACACACCTGTCTAAAGTACACGATTCTTATTCTAGAATCGATATCTGTTTAGTCAAAGCCGGCACAATTGAAAATATTAATAAAATACAATTTAAAGAAAATACTTGGTCTAACCAAGCAATGAGCGGATACATTATTAAAATTGCAAAACATCAGAAAAAATTTAAGGGCAAAGAACTTCCTGATTTATACATTGCATTTTTCAAACTTTCTAATCTATATAAAATTCAACCTTCTAAACAGAATATGATAGGGCTAACTGAACTCCAGAATAAAATCAATTTAAAAATAACCTTAAATAAGTTATGATCAAATAATTATTATCAAGGCAATAGAGCAGGCTTCCCCAAACTCCGGTCCTCCAGATGTTGCTGAGCTACAACTCCCATGATTCTCAGCCTATTTCATTCATAGAATCATGGGAGTTGTAGTTCAGCAACATCTGGAGGGCTGGAGGGCTGGAGTTTGGGGAAGCCTGCAATAGAGCAAACAAGAATTTAACTAAAAAAACTTAAGAAGCGAATTGCAAAAAATAGGATAAATTAACTGATAGATGACCATAATATATATATACTTCTCCTGAAGAAATTGATAAAAAAAAATTACGAATATTACAACAACTTATAAAATATTGGATTAAATCATGACAGGGATAAAATAAAGGGATATTTAGCAAACACAAATATTCCTAAATTATCAAACTTTGAGTTAACCGCTCTTAACACTAAGTTTAATGTAGAAGAAGTAGAAAGAGAAATAGATGGATTGGAAGCATTTTAAACCCCTGATCCTGATGGGTACAGTAACCTTTATTATAAAACTATGAAGAAAGAATTATAATATCCATTAACCGCTTTGTTTAATGAGATGGAAGGCAGTTCCAAGGTTCCCAAAGAGCTATTGCAAGCCAATCTCTTACATATACTGAAACCTAATAAGAATTAAACTGATGTGAGTAATTATAGACCCATCTCATTGATAAATGTGGACATGAAACTATATGCTTAAATTATAGAGGCAAGAATGGTAATTGATAGAATAGCTCATCCAGACCAAGTAGGTGTTATTGCTGGAAGATCTGCCGAAAATCGTACCAGAAGAATTTTGGACATTCTGGAACAATCAGGTTATCACAAACTTCCCCTGCTGACACTGTCATTAGATGCTGAGAAAGCGTTTGACAGGGTCAGCTGGAATTTTTGGGATATAGTTTTAAGTTCCTTTGGATTTGAGGGCTGGATTTACAACGCCATAATGGCACTGTACTCTGAACCTATGGCTAGAACAGTCGGTGTTAATATTTCTGAAGGATGGTTTGATCTACATAATGGAACTAGGCAAGGATGTCCCCTGTCCCCCTCTCTTTATATTATATTGATAGAACCTTTGGCAATCAACATTAGAGCAAATGAAAACATAAAAGGTTTTCTTACTAAAAGTAAAGAATCAAAAATCTTCCTATATGCTGATGATATTTTGTTGTCATTAACATCCCCAGAATTCTCTCTTCCATGGCTGATCCACGAAATTGATAAATATAGCGTAGTGTCAAATTACAAATTAAATATATCCAAATCAATCGCTATGACTAAAAATCTAAGTAAAGCTACTATTACAGATCTTAAGGAAAAATATAATTTCACTTGGACAACAAAATAATTTAAATATCTAGGAGAATACGATGGAAACAAATGTTCTGAGCCTTTTAACATTTACCAACAAGTCATTGCGTTTACAAGAATCTTCCTGGACAGGCAGGATAAATACGATAAATGCTTATATTATACCAAAATGGTCCTACCTGTTCAGGATGCTACCATTTAAAATGCCAGAAAGTTGGTCAAGTATGATACAATCTAGCTTTCAGACATATATATCGAAGGGTAAAAAAAAAAACAGAATAAGCTTGATGGTTTTGTCAAGGAGATATAAACTAACGGTTTAAATTAGTTATAAAATAATGTTATTCTGCCAATATAATGGACATGTATATAAGTTACAGGCGTATACATCAAAAAATGAAATGTGGTATATAATGGAATCTGAAGCTGTAGGAAAGGACAGACTTGAATACTACTTATTGCTTAACAGTGGTAATAAAGAAACAGACCTAATATATAATAAATCATTAATGTTAGCTCAGACAATTCAAGCTTGGGATGTAATAAAAAAAGGTTTGAAATTGACACAAATAATTCCAAAGACTTGTAGACATTACTTTACAAGATAATATGCAAGATATATCCTTAAATAATTAGTCTAAAAACTAAAAACGAATAATCGATATTATATAGGAAGACCAAATATTGCCCTTTGCAGATATTATGTCAAAATTCCAACTCCCTAATAAGATAACTTTTTCTTTTTTAAGAATAATTATTTTATTTATTTTTTTAAAACAAGGCCTTATTGAGGAATTCAAATACAACTACGAATTTAATAGAAGCAACATTCTCATATAATAAAATTAAAAAGGTGACATTTAAAGCTAATAAATATGTTCCATAAATAATTATCCCCTCAAGATCTTAGATAAATGGATAAGGGAATTGAACATAGACATAACTGAAAAGGAATGGTGTCGATAATTTAAAGCTATACAAGAGAACATCGATTGTTGAAATTTAGTCGAATGCCAATATAAGGCAATGAATAAATGGTAGCTGACGCCTTTTAAGATATATAAGGTGTACCCTAATCAAATATTAAATTGTTGGAGATGTGGTAGTCTAGATGGCTCCTTTTTTACACATTTGGTGGCGTATAATGGTTAAACAACTATGGACTTGGGCGTATTGTCTTTTTAAACATATAATAGGTTTAGATTTAAAATGCAAACCAGAAGTAGCATTATTGCATCTCAAGTGGGATTTAACACCACCACCTTTAAGATGTTTAGCTACGCACTGTTTACTGGCAATCAAAATCATAATAGCTAGACAGTGGAAATCAAAAGCTCCCTTTCCAAAAAAAAACCTCTTAACAGCTCAATTAACACACCAATTATGTATGTTAAGATTTCTGTCCGGTTCCTCTATCTATTCATTAAGGAAACTATACCTATATGATAAATGGCTAGAAATAAAATATCTTCATTCTTAATGTGTATATATTATGTCAAAAAAATGTCTACTAGAACAATGTTTTTTACACAAAAACAGATATGTACTATAATCCTTTCTGTAACATTAAATGGTAGGAAAAAAATTGTATAAATATGCAAATTGTGAGAAAAAAAAAGTATACATTATGATAAATTAGAAAAGATGATATCCTGGGTCTGATCAGGAGTTTGTTTATATGTTGTTTTGTTGTATGTAAGGAATGAGATTAACGTCACTGTTTTACAGTAGAACTATGTATTAGGAGATTTCTCCTATAATGTATTAATTGCATAGTGATATCTATGTATATTGTGTATGTTCGTCAATATTTAGAAAAATAAAGAAACAATTTATGAAAAACAAAAAAACCGGAATGATCCTCATATAAAACAGCATATAAAGTAGGCATGTGCAAAATTTTCGGTTCAGTTCGGCATTCCGAAATTCGGGACTTTGGAACTTCTCTTGCAGCCGCTTAGTAGATAACTCCCTAATTCCCACGGTATTAGGGAGTAGTGATGTCCCGAATGGTTCGCCGCAGACGGCGAACATATGCGGTAAACTTTGACCCTGTACCTCACAGTCAGCAGACACATTCCAGCCAATCAGCAGCAGACCCTCCCTCCCAGGACTAATGAAAGTATCTAGAAAATTGGGCAGATGAGATGGGCCGATTGGTTCTTATCTGCCGTCACCTTCTATGTTTCTATGCAGGCTTCTCTACTCCAGTGAAGATTCCCATTCATAAGTGCTGCAATGCATACATTGAGGATTGTCCTTCATCACCTTTTCGTATATCTGAAGTTTCACATGGACTCCTGATAGGCCAGAACCTGTTTGGCTCTAGCAGCCTTGAGTTCCATGCAAAGACACATCGAGTGCCGTGCACGGCACACGTGCCATAGGTTGCCTACCCCTGCCCTAAGCACATGCACGGTGAGCGCATTAGGCCCACCCCATAGGAAAGCATTGCAGAGCATTAGGACTTCCAGCGTCACTTCAGTGACCAAAAGTCAGTTAGCCACCAGCAAGTGGTGACCCCTAGAGGCGGTCTTAGTTCTGCAATGTAATTATGGCAATTTAAAAAAAGTAAATTAAAAAATGCAATGATTTATATTGCAGGACTAAGTGGGACAGGGACACTTCAGCCAGGCAACTTCAATGAGATTAAGCGGTCTAGGTTAATATAGTGTCCCTTTAAGGCTGATCTTGAATGTGCATTCATATGAACAATAGGTTTGACCAATTTTTATAGATCTTGTACTAGTAATCATATTTGTATATATAAATAAAAAATCAACAGCATTTATTTGCAAAAATATTACCTTTTATTTCAATTTTTTTTTATACTGCATGATTATGAAAAAATGTAAAGTACATAGAATAAGGAAACATCTGTATCTCTGACTAGGAACATGAACATATTCAGTATATGAAAAAGTAGTTAAGATTTTATAAACGCCATCATTCTCCATGTTGTTGCATAATGGATAAACACAAAAAGGTTTTTTTCACTGAACAGCTGTTCATCTTAAATTATTCAATTAAGTCAGTACTTGTGTTACCACAATTCACCATTTACTGAATAGACCGCCTTAATTCTAATATGCATAAAATCTGCGGTATAAATCCCAAAACTACTGCATGTCAATGTGGTAATTATGGTGCTATGATGCTGCAGCCACCATTTGATTCATGATCCCTGATGGAATAGTTAAGGCAGAAATTCCAATTTATTAGTTAGAAATATTATTTTCCTCCTTATTTGGACACCTTATCTGCTCAGCTAGTTAATGCCAAAAATGGATAAATTTGATATTGCAACCAGGCTCCCTGCCTGTAGACCACATTAGCATGTGGGGAACCCCAGGTTTTTCTCAAACAGTATGACCTAGAACTGGGGGGTGAAGCCAAAAGTATAACAGCACCTTAACCACTACATCAGCACATTACTGGTTATGGAGCCAAGACTGTCCATTTGATTTGTCAGCTACTGAATGAGAAGATTTATTTAAAAAAAAAAAAAAAAATGTAATCTGCTTGACAAGTCATCTTTTGATTATTACACATTTTCTCTTAAAATTCATATATTACTTTTAAATGTAGGGTGTTCTATGTATGCAGTGTCTATGAATGCAGGGTACTATTTGTGCATAGATCACCAGTTCAAATTAAGTATATTACATCAGTGTGCGTGTGTGAATGCAGGAGTATTATTTACTTGGAGTGATGGCATGTGAACGTGTTTTTCTAGAGGATTACAAAAATGTAGTTTTGCTTACTTGCAATGTACAAATACTTTGTTTTAAAAATTGATTTCATAATCTTCCTTTGAATTCCCTAGTCATCCATGGGTGTGTAAAAACAACCCTGACCCTTGTTCTGCTGCAGAATGGCCTAAATGGCCAGTAGGATGGTGACAGTAATGCTTGCACTACTGATCAATCTTTGGGGTTGGGGAGCAGTCATCCATATGTTAATTTGAAATATGGACAAAGCATGTGCCCACATAAAGAAATTACATGTATACAGCAGGAGGATCTGAGGAACAGAGAACTTACTCTCCCTTTTCCTAGGTCAGTGCAGACATGACTGACCAGTAATAGAGCCACCACTGTGAACAGTATGCTGTAACCAGTGCAAATACAAAATGGAACCCCTAACAAGTTTGTTTTACGAACATCAAAAAACTCTGTGATCGTAAATACTAGCAGATAATGTAACCCTACATTTAAGCCGATATGACAATTTGAATATAAACTGTTTTAAATTCTTCAGGATACCCTTTATAAGTAACACTGTTTGCGCCATAAACACAGCAGTTTGCTGTAATTATTATGGTGCCAGGAGTACCCAGGTTCCTTCCAAGGGTGAATGGTAAAATCCCTTTGTGAATGTATTGGTCATGGCTTGTCTCTATAGCAGTTTGTTTACAATTACCAATTTAAATAAAATCAATCCCTTTTATGTAGGCTTTTCAAATCATGTCCAAAGTTTCTGTAGGATCTTCAATTTGAAATATAAAATATTGAAAACTTGCTATATGCTATAATATATCTTTTTCTTTTAGAAAATGTCAGTTTTCTATCTGGCTAAGCAACAATGTTAGGTCAAATTCTACCGTTACCTGACCAACTGTAGCTTAACCCAATTTGCTTGTTGATGTAATTTCATATAATTATTTCCTATGGGGTTTTTGGTGACACTGGACGTCCCCATGCAAAGCGTGAGGATGTCCAGCGTCCGTTGACCCCGGAAGACTCTAGTAGTGGCTGTCTGGTAGACATCCACTAGAGATGGAGTTAACCCTAGCAAGGTTAAAAACTGCAATAATTACCTTTCCAGCGTTAGGTGGCTTGGGACACTGTACCAAGAACTCTTCAATGAGCTGAAGTAGTCTGGGTACCTATAGTGTCCCTTTAAGAAAATACTAGCAGAGTTATTCATGTACATTGTTTGTCATTCAACAGAGACACTCTAGCCATAATAGGAGAGTTAGGAAACACTAAATCCATTTATGTTGTGTATAGCTCAGCTTTGGCCTTAAGAATGTATTTTCCTTGTGAATTCCTAAAAAATTATGGTTTAGTTAACACCTGAATGTGAATAAAGTCCAGATGCATACAAGAATCCAGTATCTAGTAAGGTCTATGGCCCAGAAATTTAACGTTCCCATTGCAAGCAAAATACAAAATGATTATTTTAATTTGTCAAATGACATTCCCTGAAATCTCAAGCAAACTATCAAAATATCTTGTTTAAATAGAATTAAATTTCACAACTAGCACTGTGTGAATCCCATCCATGCAAATTAACTCTTACTGCTTAAATCAGAGCTGTAGCAATTAACTAAATTGTGTTAGTGCCTTGGTTTCAGAAAAACAGAAAAAACCCTCCCACCCGCACCAAAACTTCAAATAGTTGCAGGTATGAAGAGATAGTCATTGGGCTATAAAAACCATACACAATAACCATGAGTTACCAATCAAAGCAGTGAGAAAATAACTCATTACTGTAAAAGAAACCCTGGCATAGAGGGATACATATTGATTTGTGACAAAATACACAAATGTTCCTTATATAAAACTTTAGTTCCATATTTAGGAAACCCACATCACAGCTATATGAATATGGACCCTCTCTCTGGGGGTCATTAGATGTGGGTTAATAAATACATAGTTTTCTTGTTGACATATGAGCAAGGTTGCTTAAATTACAATTTATGTAATTTAAAAAGATACAGACCTTATTAACAAATAAGTTTATGTTTTCAAGATGTGTCAGATAGGAATTGTGCTCAATGAATAATATTTTATATTAATTAACCCACCCATTTTGTTTTATTCTTTTGTGTACATATATTTATATGCAAATACTATTTTTAACATACTGACTTGTTTTTGTTAAAATATAATTTTAAACTGTGGTTTCTCTTTTCAAATTGATGTGCAAAGAAAAATATTCACAGACCATGAATAATTTTTTAAAAAGTAATAAATATACACGTTCATATGTTGCACTACATGAAACATTTTCTAAATATTCATAATTTTTTCCCTCCATAGATGCCAAGAAACACCCTGTACACAAGCATTAAACCTTTGTTATATCACCAAAACATGTATTTCCTGAAAGTTTAGAAAAATTCTGAAATAGATAAATATATATAAAATCTATCTTGGTAAAATAAGATTTTCTTTGTGCTTTTTGCGTGGTTATATTGCAAGACAGCTCGGGAGAGCCTAAAAGAGTTGAAGCTGAAGAGATGTAGCTCCATCTTTCCACTTGTGATGGTGGTTGGAAATCACAGTCCGGCAAAGAGGGCATGTTTTCTCTCTATTGAACCATGAGGAAATGCATTCTTCACAAAACACATGCTACAAGAAATGAACATATATCATTACTTATGGTGTAAGGCAAAAGTTAATAAACAGAAGCAAGCTTTTACATACATCACACAATAACAAATAAATCCTTGCAAAAGATTCAAAGTCCATGGGAAAGCAAAATGAGATTTGAAAACTGGTCACATAGAACTATACGTGATTGTGTACAGTCCTTAAGAGGAAAAAAAAAGTGTCATATTTGGAGACAGTCTATTGAGCACTACGGATATAAATAAATAAAAAGCCAGTGAGTGATGTGGACGTACCATCAATGAAATGAAGATGTTAAAAAGCAAAACAACTAGGGCTCCCCAAAAAGCTTGCCTAAATTGAGATAGTTCCTTCTTTAATATACACAAAAAAAAAACTCTCACCAGCCTAGGTCTACTCGTTGCCTCAGACATGTATACATAATCTATCACTACTAATATTTAGCCTAGTCTGACATTGCAGGCATACAGTTTATTTCACTTTGATCTTTCACTTGATTTTTTTTAAACACAGCATGTCACATTAACGTCTATGTAAGACTAGTTGGTTGTTAAGAGCTTTCCAGACTACTCATGCTGTAAGAATGTACTGCTACTTAGTCTTGCTCTTCATTAAGTTAGACCACTAAGCATGTTTTATAAAATAAAAAAAAAAGTGCAACTCTCTCATATGCCATGGCGCTGTACCTACATGTATACTTACAATATGCTTGTCAATGTCGTTGTGACATCACAAGGCTGTATGTTACTGTATGTTTTCTTTAAAAATAAAAAATTAAGAAAACAAAAACTGAGGGGGGAGGGGGTGTGAAAGACCCCCCATTAAAAATAGTCTAATGTAAAAAAAAAAAAAAAATCAACTCACTGGCAATAATGTCTGTTAGACACTGTATGATTGTAACTGCTGTCAATATGTATGCCTTTTAATTTTATGTGTCACCTTCTGTTCTACTTGAATTCAGCCTCTCACACCAGTGGCTGGGTAAAAAAAAAAAAATTACTTTTGGGATACTTCTACACTTACATACAGGAATTAAATGGTTATACAACTGGATTGTGAAAATCAAACCTTATTTTTTATAGCAGGGTAGGCAACATTCGGCAAAACTGATATTGTAGACTACATCTCCCAAAATACTTTTACAGCCATAATGTTGGCAAAACATCAGGAGAGGTGTAGTCCACAACCTCTAGAGGGCTGAATGTTGCCTACCCCCTGCTTAGCATCCATCAACAGGCTAACTAGTTGTTGAACACTTAAATCCCTCAGAAAAGATACCACTGGGAGCCAGATGGATGAGCACCATGGGAGTTGTAGTTAAAAAATAGCTCTACAACAAAATTCTGGCAACCTCTGCAAGTTTAAAAAAAAAATGCTTGGTAAAATCTTACACTTTTACTTTTCTTATAGTAATTTCATCTCAAATTTCAGAATATTGATATGCATCTAAGCATTTAATAATAAATCTCTATCACACAACCGGATCTGGCCATACCTGGCATACAAGTACAGTGGGTTTTGTGAATTCTGCCTGACAGATTGCACAGATATCATCAGCTTCTGAACACTGCCTCTTGGTTGCAGGCGTTCCGTACGTCTGGAAGAGACAGGAAAAACAAAAGGCTTGTAAATTGTCGAGATGATTTGGACTTCTAAACAATAGGCTTCTTATGCAGGCTGCAGAGATCCTGCATGCTGCTTTGATTTACATTCAGGCAGATTGTGTGAGTAAAATGCCAGTGCAGTGACAGCAGGCAAACCTTCCCGATTCAAGAGAAATGTTTAACTTCTAAAGCACTAACATTTCATTCATCATAGCATAATAAAAGAGGCTTACCAGCAAAATTATGTACATTTCATGACAACATTGTATGTAGTAGTATAACATACGGTAATATACAAATATAAACGCAACATAAACAATTACTTGGTTCCAGCCATTAAATTCGGTATATTATGCTACCTTCTGTTCTGCATCTGTATGTACCATCATATGGATGTAATTTCTCCAGATATCATTTGAATTACTGCTATGCAGATCACAGTCTCTGCATTAAAGGGTGCCTTTAATTTTTACTTAAAATACCCTTTACATGCATTGAAGAAGCATTCCTGGTACCAATGTGTTGGAGTTATTCAGGGATGTTTTATTTTTAAATCGAAGCCTATTTAAATAATTAGTTTTGCTGCATAACGCCACCCTTTCTGCTCCTTCCTCTGAACCTACAACATTTCACTTTTTGTTTTCTATAGCTGAATGTTAAAATGTACTGTCTAGGTAAACTTTAACTCGCTATATAAGGCATTAATGAAAAGCACTTCTAATGAGATCCATACAGCAGAGCTATAGATTGTTTATGGAATATCATGACTGATTGAGCTCATTACAGATGTTACACAGCATGAGAATTTGCAGCTAATGTAGAAAAATTGAATCAGGTATCTCAGGTATTAGCTTAATTCTTCTAATTAAACATTAAATGTTTTAAGAGAAATATGGTCTCAAAAGTGGTAGATGCCAAATAGAAATGAGAAAAGCTACAATTTCTGGGGAAATTGTGTGAAGTGTCTTGCCTCCACCGGTAGTCTACAACTGGAGTGGGCGGAGTAACAGGGTAGAGTGGCTTAAGTAACTGTTGTGTGGTTGGAGTGGCTGGAGTAACAGTGGAAAGGTTGGACTGGGCAGAGTAACTTTATGAAACATTGATTAGCTGTATTGTTGTAACATTGTATGTTACTGTTTTTCTGTTACAGGTATAACGAATTGACTAACATGGAAATATATTTATTAAATGTGATAGTTCTCACTTTTGTGTTATCAAAACTGTAGGAATGACAGCAATTTAGAGAATGTGTTTCATCTAGCAGCCTCTGTGTTCCGGAACACTCAGCTGGCTGCTCACACACCTGGGTTCCGATGACAACTCACTCTACAGCAAGGGCAGAGAAGAGCGGTTAAAAACAAACTGCTCCAAATTTCTCACTTCACTGGCAGTTGCCATCTTCAAACGGTCGTAGTTTTAAAAACTATAAATCCTACAGCGAAGAGCTTTATATTGTGAGAATCACAAGACCCAGACGCATAGTATGTCTCTGAAGTATTAAAATTGATGGCACAGTCGCAGTTAAAAAAATTGCCCTTCAGATTTGAGGTGGCTAGAGTGGAGTTTCAATGCATGTCAATGGACGCCGTGAGTTGCATACAAATAGTCATATTGTGAAAACTATCAGGACTATGGCTTAGTCTTGGACATGTTTAGCAGGGATAGCTGAACGTTTTGATATAAGATTTGTGTATGTGGGCTTGAAAATGAGGGAGTGGTGGCAGTTTAGAAATCATGTCCTGATTTTTCAGCTCCCACTCTAGTTTTGAACATTCTGCCATGCATTCCTATGGGACCAATTTCGCCACAAAAAATATTCTTTCTTGAACCATTCGGCGAAACGTTCCACAAAGTAATAGCACACTGATCGGGAACAATCCGCACGTTTCGGTATATTACTGTCTATGTAGTGTAAAAACTGTAGGAGGAGTTAGGGTGGTAGATTTGTCTATAATAATAAGAATAATACATATGTGAGATAATAGTAAGTGGCCTTGCCATGCCAGAACACTTAATATATACGCGAGATAATAGTAAGTGGTCTTGCCATGCAAGAACACTTAATAATCATAGTGTAAAAGGGATTTTCCTTAAGAGGTTAAACCTGGTACCTAAATGGTTATTGGTTTTGGATCAGTTCTATAACAAGATGCAATACAAGTTTATGTAAGAGTTGTTTTTTTTTTGTGGTTTGGGTGCAGTGTCCCTTTTGCACATAGTGCCGCAATGTTTACATTGCAGGACTAAGTCTGCCCACAGTGGCTGTCTACCAGACAGCCACTAGAGGGTTTTCTGAATCGAAACGGACCATTCGTCCGGTTTTGACACTGGATATGCTCACGCTCTGCATGAGGACACCTAGCATCAGATTTTTTCTCCGTAGGAAAGCATTGATTCAATGCACACGGTATTTGCTGCACATGCGTATTAGAGCCCGCTTGGAGGGGGTGGAACTTTGCCCCAACGCCGAGGGACATCACCACTGGGATCAGGTAAGTATATAAAAGTTTTTTTTTTTAACCCTTTATTTACAGGGGAGGGGGAGCAATACAGCTTTGTATTCCTGGCACTACAGCATCCCTTTAAAATTTGACATTATCAATGTAGAGCATGCCTCCATTTAAAAAAAGTACACCAAGGCAGAAAGGTTTAAGTGTTACTTAATACTAATTATTTCCACACAAGGACAACAATGTATTAAAATCGGGTTTACATTTTGTTCTCTGAAGAATTTCTCACAAGTACAGTCACCAATTTGTTTTTCATAATTTAGCTCTGGATTGAAGATTCCCATTTAAATTTTCTTTATTGACATGGTGGACCGTGTCTTGGAGCCCTATGGCGAGGTACATGCGTTTGGATAACAGCCCCTGAGCTTGTTTTATTTTATCACATTCTATGACAGGGCTTGACAAATGTGTTTGGAATCTAAGAGCCAGCTAAAAAAAAGTTAGGAACCAGTCATTTTCAATAATAAAATGCAATTCTTAAAAAGGACACTATAGTCACCAGAACCACTACGACTTGAGTTAGTTGTTATGGTGTCTATAGCCTGTCCCTGCAGGCTTTTCAGTGTAAACACTGCCTTTTCAGAGAAAAGGCAGTGAAGGCAGGGTTTACATTGCTGCTTATTAACACCTAGAGTGACAGTCACTCAGACGGACACTAGAGAGTCCAAAGTCATTGCTGCACCATGTGCAGCACCCACGTTCAGTATTTCAGTATCTCCAAGCTCTGCATGAAGGTGCTGAATGTTCCTCATACAGATTAATTCATTTAATGCATCTCTATGAGGAGATGCAGATTGGCACATTTGCTGCACAAAATCCTCCCAATGCTTTCCTAAGGGAAAGCGTTGGTTTAGCTGAGATCATAAAGATTGATAATCTTAGCCATAGAGATGGGACCAGCTGCGGCGAAGCTGGCCTGGGGGAAAAAGGCGAGTAAAAACACCTTCCTCATGCGATCAGACGGGGCAGGTACCTAAACACGCACACACTGACAGGCTCACACACTCACGCTGAAAACAGGCTTGCAAGCACACACTGACAGGCGCACGCGCATAAACACGTACATTTTTGTTTTAATTGAACCACACTCAGCTTCCCTATCTTTGGGAGAGCTGAGTGGGTCTTTCCCTGGGGTCCAGTGGGGCTGCTCTCTTCCTGCGTTTGAGGGAGCAGTACTTTGCATGAAGCTCCTCTCTGCTCCCTCTTGTTTTCTGTAATGATGCCGGGGCTGGAGTGACGTCACATTCCAGCTCCCGGCATCAGACAGTGCAAGGGAGCAGAGAGGAGCTACAGGCAGAGTACTGCTCCCTCGCATGTTGCCTACAATGCTTCCACAGGCAGCCGGCTCCATGCTACCTCAGCTGGAAATAGAAACAATTTTGGCAATGCCAAGCAATTCGTTTCTAACATCCTTTGTCTTTGTAGGGAGAGTGGAGCATCTGCTGTGATCCAATTTCTGAACATGCATTCCAGTGTGAGATTAGCATCTGTAAGGCAGTGCTTGATATCCTGGTTAATGGAACCACTGCTTACAATGCAGAATCCACACAGAGACAAAGGCAACACTTCAGATATAATTAGCATCAAACTAGCAGTCAGACTCTCAGCAACAATAGACTGGCAAAGAATTCCACTAAACCCTACTGTCACTGCATCATAACTGGCAGATTTAACCGCTCTTATTTTGTAGTATTTTAGTTCATTGGGTATATTTTTTATAATTCTCTGTTACAAACTGCATTAGAGTATCTCAGTATCTGTTCCAGATTAAAGGGTTACTCCAACCACCACGATCATTTCGGTTATCTAAAGTGGTCATGGTGGTAGGAGTCAGTACGTGAAGTGTTTTAGCTTGAAACAGTGCACATCCAGAGATATTCATAATTGTGTGCAGGGGGGCTAGTTGCACCCTCAGAAATGTCTAATTGGAATCCCAGAACTCTGTTCCAGGCTGCCAATGTCAGTGTATATTTTGCGTCTGTCGTCATAGCGTGCTGGTGGCAGACCTGATCATCTTCTACCTTGCAGACCTGATCATCATCTACCCACAAGGAAAACATCACAATCCCTTTCCACCCACATTGTGCGCCACTCATATCATACACATGTATGATATGCACTTCACCTCTGTCACAGATTCCTATGAAGTGGCATGTACTGTGGCTTTAGCACCATTCATGAAAAAAGAGGAAAAAAATTAAGAATAAATTAAATTAACCCCTCATCTGCCTTGTCCAATCAAATGTTTCTTATAGAGAAGCATTGTGGACTTACACTGATCAGGCCCAAATTAAAACCACCTGCCCAACATCGTGCAAGTCCCCCTTGTGCTGCCAAAACTGGAGTGAAGATTCAAGGCATGGACTCCACATGACTTCTAAATGTGTCCTGTGGTATCTGGAACAAATACATTACCAGATTTTTTTAGGTCCTGCAATTTGCTGGATTGGAGCCTCCATTGATCAGATTTGTTGCTCCAGCATATCCCAGAGATACTTAAATGGACTGAAATCTGGGAAAATTCGAGAGCAAGGCAACACCTTGAACTCTTTTTCATATTCCACAATCCATTCCTGAACAATTTTTGCAGTGTGGCAGGGTTCTATATTTTGCTAAAAGAAGACAATGCCATCTGGAAACAACATTCCGATAAAGGGTTGTACATGTCAAAGTAACATTCACATGAATACCAGAACACAAGGTTACCCAGAGCACAACACTGCATCCGCTGCACTGCCCTTTTCCCCAAAGTGCTTACAACTTCAAGAACAGAGTCTGATGTGGTTCTCATTATAGAAGCACAATCTAGTGGCTGTCATATTGACAGCCACTGGAGAAGTGTTTAGGCCTGCAATAAACATATCTCAAAACCACTGGCGTACATACCGCGGTCGCGGGCCCGGCTGCCCTGCGACCGGGTATGTATGCAGTTTGCCAGCCTCTTCTTTTGAGGGGCCCCGGAGCTGGCCACCTTAGGGCCCCCCAAGGCTGGCAATGTTGTCACCAAGTGGGCGCGCACGCGAAGGAGCATTCTCCCCGAGTGCTCTCTGCTCAGCTCCCGCGCACCGATGCCAGAATATGACGTCATTCCGGCTCCTTCATCAGTAAGCGGCGCGCGAGGGAGCTGAACAGAAGGATCAGTGCTCCCTCGCAGCCTGCAGGACCGGCCGGCGGGCAGCCCCACTGGACCACAGGGACTCCCCTCAGCACTCCTAATGGTAGGGAGGCTGGGGGGATTAAATGTAAAAAAAAAAAAAAATACGAGTGTGTGTGTTAGTTGTGTGTGTCTGCTTGTGTGTGTGAGTGTGTGTTATTGAGTGTGTCTGCTAGTTAGGGTCAGTGTGTGTGTGTTACTAAGCGTGTTAGTTTGTGTGTGTCTGTTAGGGAGTCTGCTTGAGGTTAGTGTGTGTTTGTCAGCGAGAGTATGTATTGTAAGTGAGTGTATGTCTGTCAGTGAGTGTGTATGTATGTCTGTCACTGAGTGTGTGGGTCAGTAAATGTGCGTGCGTCTGTTCGTGAGAGAGCGTGTGTGCGGTTAAAACCCCTTCAGCACTTGCCTTTCTCCAGCGCCAGGCCACCTTTGCGCTGGGGATCTCTCCGTCCCAGCTCTGAATGCACATGCGCGGCAAGAGCCGCACGCACATTCAAACCGCCCATAGGAAAGCATTACTCAATGCTTTCCTATGGACGTCCAGCGTCTTCTCACTGATTTTCAGAGTGAGAATCGCGGAAGCGCCTCTAGCGGCTGTCAGTGAGACAGCTACTAGAGGCTGGATTAACCCTCAGTGAAACATAGCAGTTTCTCTGAAACTGCTATGTTTTCAGCTGCAGGGTTAAAACTAGAGGGACCTGGCACCCAGACCACTTCATTGAGGTGAAGTGATCTGAGTGCCTATAGTGGTCCTTTAAGTGTATGTATCTGTAAAATTCAGGAAGCTGAAATATATGTCAGGAACATTGTAAAGTGCATTACATATTATTGCTAATAAAGGTTGTCTTTCAACTTTTAGGTTACAAAAAAAATATGGATAGGAACATAACACTAAGTATATATGTTGTGTCCAAATATATTTATAACCGATTTAGACCAACTGACATTAACTGAGATTTTACGATGTAGTCATCTCAATTGGGGAAAGGGAAAGGAAAAAAGAAAAAAAAACAAACAAAAAAAAAAACTTGCCTGCACTAATGTGAAGGGTGAAACTGAGATTTGGACTGCAGCAAATAGGCTAGGTCTGGTTCAAAGGCAGTGGTTTTGATGCGCAAAATGTCACGCAGGTGAGAGTAACTTAGTCTTGTCCTCACGCGGTTCTTGTTCAAGTTCATAGCAGAGAATGTCTTCTTACACAAACATGTTGAGCCAAACAAGCTTAGCATTTTCTTAGCCAATGTTTGAATATCTTGAAACTGGCTCTTATCCAGTTGGCGGTAGAAGTTTACAAGAGAGAGAGCTGTTCACCCAAGCCCTAATTATACTAAGTGTGTTCACCTGAGCACTAATACACTGTCAAACAAGAATTCGCCAGAGATCTCTTCCAAACGAAGTTACGCTGTAATGTACAGTGCTAAATGCTGGCGGGTCACAAGTGAGGGATAGTGTCTGGAGACGGTGTCTTGTAGCCTCATGTAATAAACTTTGATCTTTTTTACTTTTAGCCCTTCTGGACTATTGTCTATTGTCCCCTGTCCTGAATAAAGATGGCAAGTGCAGGTACTCTTCAGTTGCAGCAAAGATGAATTGCCTGCACTTGTGGCGGTGTGTGATGAAGACGCAGCACAGGGAGAAGTGACGCTTCTATGTTGCAGCAAAGATGAATTGCCTGCCTTTGTGGCTGTGTGTGGTGAAGATACAGCGCAGGGAGAAGGAACGCACCAAATACCGCACCGTCCGAGACATCGCAAGAACGCAGACTGAGGACGTGCAGTCCGGCAGCGTTGAAAGATCCAGAGATCCCAGGGGTTCTGAGCAGCGCTCGGGGATTCACTGGGGGCCACAACAGATAGATTTTGACAAATTACCATTGGGGCCGTATTAAACTGGAACACGACCCAGACTTTGGACATGACTGGTCTAGGTCCCCCCCACCACCCTCTCCCCCCTTTAAAAAAATAAACATTCAAGATGGGAAAAACAAACATTTTGAACATTCCTTACCGGCTGAGTGAAAAACAGTAATAAGTTATTTGCAGATTTTTTCCACTGTCCAAAAAGGATGAAAAGCTGTAAAAGAAAATAAATGTTTAATTTGACAATTTAAACTGTCCACTAAGTTAATTTCTAAATTGTTCTTGTTTGATAATTGTGGGTGGTCAGGAGGATCAAAAATCACAACCGTTTGAACCTCAACCAGACTGTTGAAGGCTTAAAGTACAATTCACGCTAACAATTCTACATCTTTATAAAGGATATGGAAAAGGTTACCTAACACTCGTTCTTCCTGCTGAGAGTGGTCTTTAACTGTTCTCTTAATTTAAATTGATTAGACTAACATAGCAAATTATTAGTTTATCAGTAACTTGAACTTCATGGCCTGGACATGTTTAGTCAGGAGTCAATTACAACCCATGCAAGTTGCATGTAAACTATCATGCGTCCTGTACTTACTTTTAAGATGAGGTAGAGCAAAGCCAACAAAACCCCAAAATGCCACTCAGCTCCACTGGTTTCAGCACCATAATCAGTTAAGTAACGGAACCAAACTGGTGTAGAAACAAACATGCAGAAATACTGAGCAATTTCCTCCAAAGCCATGTACCAGTAGCCCTGAAATAAAGTAATATAATTAATTTAAAAAAAAAAAAGTTTACAGTATAATTGGAAAAGGAAAAAAAATATATATATTCAGTTTGCTTTAAAAAAAAAAAAAATTTTTTTTATAAATAAATAGTAAAATCAGCACAAACCACAATTAATATTACTGGGAATCCTTAACTGGAAGTAGATGATATTGTAGTTCTTAGCAGTTATGACAAAAATGCAAACTTATTTCTATGAATGCATGCTATGCTCCATCAAGGTATGTCTCAAGAGTCAGATAATAATTGTTGAAATAACTATCCTTTAGCCAGTTTTACCTGATTTTCATGTGTACTCTACTTGGTTATCTAGTGCGACAATAGTTTGTATCCAAGACCATTTATTACGTGGACTATTATTATCAATTAGGGTAAGAAATATGGGCAATTCTGCAATTTTAGTAAATATATAGGTCTTTGCACAATGCTCAGAGCTTGCTCTTTCATACAGATGTTTATTTTTATTTTGGATGAGTCATATTGCAATGTTAATAACCCTTAGAGGGTTGACCTGTTTGCAATACTTGGTCTGGCTTCATTTTATTATAAAACTGAAAGGAACCTTTCATGATTGGATTGAAAATGTTTTATTGTCAAATTAGTACTAGTTTACTTGCAGATCACCAAAATATTAAAGTGTGTAAAAAAAAAAAAAAAAACACTAAAAAAATAATACTCCTGGTACATACACGTGGCTTTAAAATAGACATATGTAGTCTGCAGGTTTCAGGATGGTTAATTTTTAACATTCACTTATTAATAGTAATTAAATATAACATGCATAGCATTGTCCTGTAACAAAAGTACTATATGAATTGCAAGATAAAATAATAGCTTGAAATCATCTCTGCAAAGATTTGAAAGCTTTTCGCATAGCTAGAGAATTTTGTGGTGTGGATTCCTCAAGTTATTGACCATAAGTTCAGCAAGACTAACATTTTATATTTTGTAAATAAAGTTAAGGGCTGACAGATGACCAAAATCTTGACCACAAACATCTTTAGATCATAACACTTTGCAGAGCTTTAGGATATAAATAGTGTGAAGGAAGATTTTTCCATCCATTTATGTATGAGAATAGCATGGTGTTTTTTGAAGTAAGTTTGCTTGTCCTCTTACCTTGCTTTTATAGGATACCACAAAAGAAGGCACCAATAGAACCAAACACTTAAGGCCCATGAAGAAAAACTTTACAATGAAATCTGTGATCCCCACAACCCACAAAGCATCCCAGAACTGTAGAGGTCCAAGAGAAGGGTTCATGAAGATCAAGCTGTTGACAACAGAACAAGAGGGAATATAACTCAGAGGACAATGTTGTATTTTAAAATGTACATGAGGAAACCAACTGGGTCTCGAAATCCCCTTTACAACATGTAGAATTAAAGAATTTTTTCTACAGTCACATACCTGTAATAAAGAGCCTGTGTGTAGAAAGTGTAATACAAAAGGACCGAGGAGCAGGTTAAAAATGCAATGACCCAAATACACTGCAATCTTGAACATTTTTCCTGTAAAAAAAATAAAATATATCAGCCTCATGCACAGGATACACAACTACTTTATATTTCAATTTCTGTACATTACTACATTCAAATAATCCTCTTCCCTTAACCAAAACATATTTGTAATCAATATTTAAATTACCCTTGGCTTATTTTAAAATGTAACAAAAAACAAACACATGTTGCAATGTATTTTCTTTTACCATGGTAATACAGGAAGTCTTCACAATGTCATGTGACCTTAGGGACAGGGACAGATTAAGAGCCCAGTGGGCCTAGTGCCGACAATTATGAGGGGCCTAAGTACAGCATATTATCAACCAAAAACACTAAAACAGTCATACCTCTCAACCGTCCTGCATCTGGTGGAGATGTTGCGGAGGGAAACTCATAAGATGCAACTATAAGAAAACTCAGATTCTCTTAAAATATGCTAATTTCTAATTAATTCTTTTTTCATTCATGTCAGGCTGCCTGCCAATCATGCATGCTCGCCAACAGCATCCTGAGCTTGACATAAATGCATCTAATGATGCGCTTGCTCCATGCTTTCTAAGGACAGCCCCCTAGCACTGACATTTCCACTTGTTTCCTTACCTTCTTACTAGCAGACTGAAGCTCATGGTATACAGTCTGAGACAGATAAAAAGTGGATGTAGTGAGTGTAGAAGAAAGGGAACATGCCACAGTCACAGAGAGACCAAAGTCAGCATTACCTTAACTAATTTAATTTCAGCTAGACCACACAAGATTTGTTTCCATATATTCCTCTTAAGTTTCCAAACTTAAGCAAGAGTATGTGAAGAGTAGTTAGGATTGCTACCTTTCTTGGAAAAAAAAATAAAAAAATACAGGACTTACTAATTTGCATAACTAATTATGTATGTGTGACATCACATGATGTAAATCATTAATTTTTTTTATTTTTTATTAAATGGGCCTATTCCACGGGCATGGGCCTGGAGCTGCAGCTCCATCAGCCCCTATGTTAATCCGGCCTTGATTAGGGATACATAAACACTACTGACTTGTAGTGGGGGTATGATAGGGTATGAGTGGAAAACAAATTTACACTTATGGACTAGAAAGAAGAGACAATGTTGTATGGACAATGATCAACGTCAAAAGGCTAACATGAGATAGAACAGATTTTAATTTGTGAAAATATGAAATACAGTGCCCCATGAACAAAATGTTTTGACAGAAATAAACCAAACATGGCACCATAACTGCTACAATGAGTTGTATTGTTTGTAGTGCTTAGCGCTCATTTAAAGTTCCAGGTCTACTTTACATTTAAGCAGATTTGATCCCATTAAAATATCACACAAGAACATGCAAATTCCAGAATACAAATTACAATTTGGTATTTTACAGAAGTTACCATGGCACATACATGCATGTGCACATTTGTGAGTCTTGCAAGAAAGCCTAGAGGCTGGGTGCACTTCCCAGAAACAGATAATGTCACATTTTGTAGTTTACCTCTCTCTTTAAAGAAGCTTAAAGAAGCGACAAACGAGTGGCAAATAAAATGCAAGTCATATACACATTATTTTGTTCTTCACGCAAACAAAAATATGCATTTATACATTTCTTGAGTGCTATCAAATACATTTAACAAATTACCACATTTCACAGTGGGGAGAGGAAGAGACTGAAAAGTCGGGGAGGGGGAGTAAACAAAATAAAGAAGGGCTAGCCATTGGAAAAGCATCAGCAAACGTGCAGAAAATTCAGCGTTTTTTTTTCTTCTGATTTATCGATTGTCATTCCCCTTCTCCGACAGTTTTTTTTTTTTAGGTTTACTTGCCAATATATACACAAGTATGTGGCTCTCCTTTTTTGCCTTGTACAATGATTTAATAAAGACATTTTAATGGAATTCCCACAAAAGCTGCTGAGTGTGCGTGCTTTTTAAAATATATATTTTTTTGTACGAAATGTTTATCTTGCTTATCAGCACTAACAAGGAAGTTTGGGTTGGCCAAACAAATGCTGTAGATCAAGTGTGAATTACAGCACTAAATTTGAAGCACTTAGGAAAACATTCTGAAAAACAAATAAATGCATATTTAAAGGAACACTATAGGGTCAGGAACACAAACATTTATTCCTTGTGGTCTCCCCTTGCTCCCCTAACCATAGTAAAATCTTACCTTTATTCCAGTCTGCTGGTGCTGGCTTTGTCCCTGAGCTGCCTCCTTGGCTGACATCATCAGAAGGGATGATCTCATCCAATCCCAATGCTTCCCTGTAGGAACACATTGAATTGGCTGAGATGGTCAATTTTGATGATCTCAGCCAAGGAGGCAGGGTGAAGGCTGAGCCAAATGCCATTAATCTGTAGTTGTTCTTATGACTATAGTGTCCCATTAAATGCCCTATTCAATTACATATCAATCAAAATATCAATATATTTCCACCCACACATGGTCTTTAAAGGCAAGAAAAGCATTTAGCTTAATTCAGAGAACATTAGTGCAGTGTCATTATTTCTTATATCTATAAGTGACAGGGTGTATATGTGATCTTATGAATATCTATGCACAGACATTTCATAAAATCTAAAAATAAATAATGGTCCAGGAACTCCGAATAGCAAAACATAGCAGGGAGAGACGAAAAGTTTATGATAGAGGGAGAAGCCTAATATGGGGTGTAGTTTGCGCAATATTCTTGTATGTGAAGGACTCAAGTCAATGTGTATCAGAGAGTGTGCATAGTCAGTGCATGTCTGGGTTAAAGGACCACTATAGTGCCAGGAAAACAAACATACTCGTTTTCCTGGCACTATAGGGCCCTGAGGGTGCCCCCACCCTCAGGGTCCCCCTCCCGCCGGGCTCTAGGGGGAGGAAGGGGTTAAACTTACCTCTTTCTCCAGCGCCAGGCAGGGAGCTCTCCTCCTCCTCTCCTCGGCTGAATGCGCATGCACGGCAAGAGCCACGTGCGCATTCAGCCAGTCTCATAGGAAAGCATTCTCAATGCTTTCCTATGGACGCTGGCGTATTCTCACCGTGAAAATCACAGTGAGAAGCGCGGAAGCGCCTCTAGCGGCTGTCAATGAGACAGCCACTAGAGGCTGGATTAACCCTATTGTAAATATAGCAGTTTCTCTGAAACTGCTATGTTTATAGAAAAAAGGGTTAAACCTAGCTGGACCAGGCACCCAGACCACTTCATTAGGCTGAAGTGGTCTTGGTGCCTATAGTGGTCCTTTAATGGTGTGTGTGTTTTTTTTAATGGGCAGATGCAGAGGCTCAATGCACACAATGTCTGCTTTTACAGAAGAACTACATATTGCAAGTCCAAGGGGTTTTGAACAAGAACTTGCATACGCACCTACATTGCCCTGCTTTGGAAAGTGTGCCAAAGCAGGGTAAAATCAATCAATCAATCTAGATCTGCAGCTATTGTAAACCGAGATTTCACATATCCACAAAGAAAACATGCACAAAGAATTGCATGCATATTTTTTTCTTTGGGGGTACATCTACTAAATTGTTAGAAACCATAAATGGCTAGTTCCTTTAAAGGGACACTAGATTCAGCAGAACAACTATGGCTTTGGTGAGTATAGTAATTTCCTTCAGGCATTTTCATGCAAACACTGCCGTTTACATTGCCCCCTAGGGACACCTCCAAGTGGCCACAAGGGGTGCTTCCTGGGGCAGTACTGCACAGTAGGCAGCACTGCCATTTTCTCCACGCTCTGCATGAAGACGCAGAAATTTTCTAATAGAGATGCATTGATTCAATGCATCTCTATGAGGAGGTGCTAATTGGCCAAAACTGTGTTGGGCCTCACCTCTTTGCCAACTTTAGCCAATCCAATGCTTTCTTTTGCAAATTTGCACTATTCATAAAACTTTATGACCAGGGAGTGGCGTGGTGAAGATTTTTCGCACAGGGCACCAAAGGCCGGCACTGCCTGGGCCATTATTTATTTTATACATCTAGAAGGGGGGCTTGGCCATCCCTGGTTCCAGAGCACCTGGGCTACTAGACGAGTGCGGTATCTGTGGCGGAACATACTGCTAATTTCATTTCATTTACTTTTTATCTGTTTGGGAGTTATGGTATCTGAACACTATGCATTCGACTCCCGAACGAGGACCACCCCGGTACCCCATTAAGATGTTTTCACCTTGCAACTTAAATGTGAAACCACAAGGGAAGTAAATAATATATGTTTCCCCTGGGTTGCCACCATTTCGTGTAACCGAATACACTTGGTCAGCAAAAGAGTGGCGGCCATTTTCCACCCGAACGTGGGCAGCGGTACTTGGTCGTTGAGTGCCTGAAACTCTTTTGGGCTAGGCACCCACACGAACCCCAGTAAAGGTTATACCGCTGCCGTCCTACTTCCCGACCAACTACGCAAACAACGTTCAGGAGATGGGAACTACCAACTGGGGGGGCGGGGGGGAGCATTCGCTTCCTGAAAACAAGAAGAACAGAAAACGGCCGGGGCACCTATATCCCTGAAATTGTTTTGGGCCATCACCTTGTGTCCGGCCAGTCAAAACTTTACCCCGGTGGCAATTCAATTCTGTTGAATGTATCTGAGTGATACTTGGCCAAATTGTACACTCCAATCAGAGCTATCTGGGGATGTAACTTCTGTGGGGTTCCTGGTTATGATGGGATACTTTTGGGGACCTCGCTGATGAGGCCCAAAAGAAGGCCAAAACAATAGTTGGGGTTGCTGTATCTTGTACAGAGAGAACTTGTTGGCATTGCTGTTCTGAACTGCCCTTATAGGTGGGATCAGTCTGATATGCAAATAGTATGAATGGGCCAAAAGTGAAAATTCAGGATGCCCTTGGCCGAAAAACAAAACATAAAATGACTATTATCCAAATGATTTTAAAATAGTAATGATTTATATGACATCAAGCTGTGACTTTAAACAAGCGTGATTGACAACTCAGTCCTGCTGGGTTGATGTTAGCCAATACATCCACCCAGCCAGAAAGTTGTGCCGCCCATTGGACTATGCTCCACATCCAGCCAGAGAGCTGTGCCCCCCATTGGAATGTGCTCCACATCCAGCCAGAGAGCTGTGCCCCCCATTGGAATGTGCTCCACATCCAGCCAGAGAGCTGTGCCCCCCATTGGACTGTGCTCCACATCCAGCCAGAGAGCTGTGCCCCCCATTGGACTGTGCTCCACATCCAGCCAGAGAGCTGTGCCAAGGACTGTCAGTGGCTCTCAGTCAATGCATGGTTAACCCTGTCTAGCCAGACACGGCCGTGCTCTGGAGGCGGATCTTACTTTTTTGGGGGTTTGCAGACTGTGCAGCCGAGCACACTGTCCGGTTGCATAGCTTGTGGTTGCGGCTCCTGCACAGGTCGGGGTGGCCGCCGTCCCTTCAGCAGCTGCCGCCATGGCCCCATTCTCCTGCTCGTCCCCGCTGCTGTTCACCCTCTTGTTCTTCCTCCCCTTGTTGTTCTTCACTTTCAGCATGGCAGGCGGGATCCTCACTGGATGCGATCAGTCTGGCGGCCTCCATGGTGCCGAGCTCAGCACATACATGGCGGCCCACGGGCCAGTCACCATGTTATGTTGCCCCTGCAGCCGCGGGCCGGGGAGTCATGCTAGCGGTGTCCCTGCCAGGGTAGAAGGTGTCTCAATCTGATTCCACTGAAAGCAGCCGCGGATGCGCTCACTGATAACAGCCTCCACGTGCACCAAGACACACTGCAGGACAGCACGTGTAATTTTCGGCAGATTTGACCCATTTTCGGCTGAAACGGGATATGCCCATTTTCGTCCGGAATCTCGGTGCATCCCTAGCAAATAGTATAGATTCTCTTTTTAATAGCACAAGTGAGCAAAACATTGAGACTGCAGTGGGTACTGAGATTTGGCAAAAGCTTAAGGAAATTTAGTAGCTTGACTTTGGTTACAGTTCTCATATTCTCTGATTTTGTTGCAATTTAAAGCATTAGCCCTTTATTTAAAAGGTTAAAAACTCTGTGTAAACAAAACTATAGAACCACTTAAAAATGGACTGCAGTATCCATAACCATCACAGCTTTTCGAAAAGTAGTTATGGTGCAAGGAAACTAGGAGTATAGTGCTTTTTTTGCCAAGCTATTTTCAAGCAGTATAAAAACAAAAGTGGTTTCCTTATTACTCTAAACCTAGCCAGGGCCAGATTAAGAGCCCAGTGGGCCTGGTGCTGACAATTATGACGGGCCTAATTACAGAATCATATCGACCAAAAACAGTAAAACACTCATAAGCATCATGTATCTGATGGAGATGGTGCTGGAGAGAAAGAAAACAGCAGCTATAAGAAAACATATACCCTAGGCTAATCTCTCTCTAATTTATGTTTTCAGCTTTCAAGTAAATCCATAACCCTAACAGCAACGTCCAATCAAGCAGGAAGTCAATGGGCACGGTAAAAGGGTTTGCCACTGACACAAATCACGTAACCTGCCAAAACGGGCAAACATGCCCAAAAAGAGGACATTTCTGCTCAAAGAATTAGAAGGCCAGCCTGACATGAATGCATGTCAGGCTGCCTGCCAATCATGCAGCAGCCCAACTAAGGGCATACTATGCAGACAACACCCTGAGCTTGGCATAAATGCATCTAATGATGCGCTCACTCAACGCTTTCTAAGGACTGTCCCCTAGCACTCGCTGGTCCACTTGTCTCCTTACCTTCTTACTAGCAGGCAGAAGATCCTGGTATATGGTCTGGGACAGAGTAAAGCTGTATGTAGTGAGTGTAGAAGAAAGGGAACATGCCACAGTGTTAGAGACCAAAGTCAGCATTACCTTAAAGGATTACTATAGGGTCAGGAACACAAACATGAATTCATGACCCTATAGTATTAACACCACCATCTAGCCCCCCCTGGACCCCTCATGCCTCCATAAATATAGCAAAATCTATATTCAAGCCTGAAGCTGTAACTCGGCATGCTGTTAGACTCATAAAAACAAGCAGTCTGCTGACATCATTAGAAGTGGTGGCCTGATCCAATCACAGTGCTTCCCCATAGGATTGGCTGAGACTGACAAAGAGGCAGATCAGGGTCAGAGCCAGTATGATTCAAACACAGCCCTGGCCAATCAGCATCTCCTCATAGAGATGCATTGAATCAATGAATCTCTATGAGGAAAGTTCAGTGTCTGCATGCAGAGGGAGGAGACAGTGAATGTTTGGATGCATTTTAGGCAGCCATGACCCAGGAAGGATCTCTAACAGTCCTCTAAGGAGTGGCCAGTGAAGTTATCACTAGGCTGTAATGTAAACACTGCATTTTCTCTGAAAAAACAGTGTTTACAGCAAAAAGCCTGACGGTAATGATTCCACTCACCAGAACAAATTCAATAAGCTGTAGTTGTTCTGGTGACTACAGTGTCCCTTTAACTATATTCATTGTCAGCCAGTCCACACAAGTTTTGTTCCCATACATCCCACTTAAGTTTCCATACTTAAGTAAGAGTATGTGAAAAGTAGTTAGAGTTGCCACCTTTCTTGGAAAAACATACCAGCCTTACTAATTTGCATAATTAAATATGTATGGATGACATCTCATGATGTAAATCACAAGGAGTGATATAAGAGAAAATGCTGTAAAATCACCCAAAAAACTACTTAGTTTGATTCTGCTGTATAGATGGATTCCTCCCAGTGCCCCCATGTCTCCCAGTGCCCTCGTGACTCAGTGCCCCCATGTGTCGATTACTCCAGGTCTCAGTGTTCCTATGTATCAGTGTCTCAGTGCCCCATGTCTCCCAGTGTCCCTTAGTGTCTGCCATAATGTCTCCCAGTGTCCCTTAGTGTCTGCCATAATGTCTCCCAGTGTCCCTTAGTGTCTGCCATAATGTCTCCCAGTGCCCTTAGTGTCTCAGTGTATGTCTCCTTGCAGCCTTTCCCCCCATCCCTTACTTCCCTGAGCTGTAGGCTGTCTCTGCAGGGTGGGAGTTGCTGTCTGGACCCTCTGTAGCTGCACCCCTGCAGATCAGTGAGTATAGATAGGCAGGGAGGGATATGCTGGAACTTCCTATCCCTGCCTGTCTTCACACACACAGCGACCCCTACTGGCCAGTGCTGGTATTGCAGAGTAATCTCTTGTTTATACTGAGAAAAATACCAGCATTTTGATTGCCAGTATAACTGCAATATTGGCACCAGCCAGGCAGCCTCAAATACTGGCTGTGCCAATAAAATAAAAGCCAGATGGAATCCCTAAGAGTAGTGTGAAAAAAAAAAAGTTTAAAAAAAAAAAAAAAAAAATTTTTTTTTTTTTTAAATCAATGGGCCTATTCCATGGGCCTGGGCCTGGAGCTGCAGCTCCATCAGCCCCTATGTTAATCCGGCCCTGAACCTAGCTCTTCTACAACCATAATAGGATATCCCCCCCCCAATTATCATGAACTGTTTTAGCATGGCATGCATTATATCAACAGCAGTTTGCTATTGCAGAAACAGCTGCAGTAATTCAGCAAAGCCAAAACATGGTTATGGTGACTGGAAATTCCCTGTTTTATGGCATACAGCTCAAAATGTTTTGATAAACTGACTGCACCAACAGCCTCCTTATTCAATAACCACTATAATAAACTATATTTAGTCAGCATCAGCTTACTTAATATATGACGGATTTCTACAACACTACCATGAGTAGCCCAGATAAACAGACCAGAGGAAATATACTGACACCAGCCAATTACATGTGTGAGAAACTGTTGAAAGGCTGCCAAGTACTAAATAGAATGTTTTGCCAACTGAGTATTTGCAAGGACAAGTGTTCTACTGCCTAGTTTCTCATCCCAGATGATCTCAGCCAATCCAATGCTTTCCTATTTGCATGCACGGCAAAACACGCTGCATCAATCAGAATCTCCTCATGTAGAGCATGGAGATGCTGAACATCAGTGCTGCACATTGCAAATTGTTCAGCACTGCCATAGGAAGCACTTCTAGTGGCCATCTGAGTGACTGCCACTAGAGGTGTTCCTAGGCAGTAATGTAAACACTGCCTTTTCTATGAAAAGGCAGAGTCTACATGAAAAAGCCTGCAAGGACAGGCAATAGACACCAGAACAGCTAAATTAACCTGTAGCTGTTCAGGTAACTATAGTGTCCCTTTAACATTAAATGGCAGAAACAATATGCTGTAAAGCAAACTATATACTTAAAAATATGACCTAGTTGTACATAAAGTGCAAAAAAGGAGATTGATGCTTTTTTGAAATTCATTGTAAATAAATGCAAACATTACATGGAAAATGCTACTTGTGTAAATATATACCACCACAATGATAAAATTAATCCGTGCCAAAACAAATAAAATTGATCAGTAGGCATGAATTTAAAAAGATTTAAAAAACAAAAACAAAAAAAAACCCCATGAACACAACTTTGCAAACATATCCTCAGTAGTATTGCCATCTTCTATATAAACAAAATAAAACATTTCAAGCATGATGCATGTATAGTGAAACCACTTAAATGTTCAAAATCTAGTAATTGATTAATTCAGGTTTTGGCTACATCTGATCTACCTACCAGCAAAAATCCAGATTTTTTTTTTTTATGTACAGATAAATTATAGTTCAACATTTCTTATGCAGTATTAATTAATTCTGGGTGTTCTGGTGGTTCTTTTAGTTCAAACATAGTTTTAAAGGATCACTATAGGGTCAGGAACACAAACATGTATTCCTGACCCTATACTGTTAAAACCACCATCTAGCCCCCCTGGGTCCCTCATGCCTCCATAAATAAAGCAAAATCTTACTGTATTCAAGCCTGAAGCTGTAACTCAGCATGCTGTTAGACTCAGAAAAACAAGCAGTCTGCGCACATCATCAGAAGTGGTAGCCTGATCCAAACACAGTGCTTCCCCATAGGATTGGCTGAGACTTACAAAGAGGTAGATCAGGGGCAGAGCCAGCATGATTCAAACACAGCCCTGGCCAATCAGCATCTCCTCATATAGATGAATTGAATCAATTAATCTCTGTGAGGAAGGTTCAGTGTCTGCATGCAGAGGGAGGAGACACTGAATGTATGGATGCATTTTAGGCAGCCATGACCCAGGAAGGATCTATAACCGCTATCTGAGGAGTGGCCAGTGAAGTTATCACTAGGCTGTGATGTAAACACTGCATTTTCTCTGCAAAGACAGTGTTTACAGCAAAAGGCCCGAAGGTAATGAATCTACTCACCAGAACAAATTCAATAAGCTGTAGTTGTTCTGGTGACTATAGTGTCCCTTTAAATCTGCAAATAATTCCAGCTGTATCCAGGCAGCTAATTAGCAAACATCACAGCTCGGAAGACATAAAAAGTCACATCCAGTTTCAGGATGGATGCATTAAATTAGTAAATAAAAGGCAATGGGTGCCTCCACTCTCTGAGCTAAGAAAAAATCATCCAACATAGCAAGACAACTAGTGATGTCTAATTTAAACCTTACCATTTAAATTATACAATCAGAAAAAGTAAGGATTTGTTTTTCTTACCTGGGGCATAATCTTTGGCAATGGGCAGAGGTAGTAAGTGAAAGTAACTTGTGAGCAATCATTTTATTTTACATGGGGTGTTTAGAACAAGAGAAGACATAGATTTTTTATTTTTTGTGGTTTCTACCCAACTTCTCTATACGAGTAGAGATTTATTTATTTATATTTCTTTGTGTATGCAAAAAAATGGCCATTTGGCAATGTTTTATTCAACTTGAATAATAGTATGGTTTATTTAACTTAAATAATTTTGGAGTAGGTTTTATACTGTACGCAAGCATCTGCTTTGACCCTGTTTATTTTGAAGGTATACCAAAGCTATGTCCTATGATGTGTAATCATTTATCCTGTGCTGATGGTATGTACTAATGGATATGTCATGTATGACCCAATGGAGAAACGTATGGATAAGTAGGATCATACACACAAGAAAGCTACTAAATCATTTGACAATGGCAAGTAAACAGTTAATTTGCTCTAAATAAAATGTACACTAATCTGCTGTAAATACGAAAAAAAAAAATGTGTGTGTGCGTTACTTGTCTACAATTGGTAGAATGATTTTCAAACATAAGCTTACTTACTCTTAGAAAAACCTGATTTACAATGCATTTGTTTGCATACAGAAAAGTTGTTAGCAGACCAATTCCAACAGAAATGCCTATTAGAAAACAAAATAATAAAGTGTTAAAATAGCAAAATAAATATCAAAAGCAACAAAGGCAAGGAAAAGTAAAACAAAAACTAAATTATATTTTTTAGAATGAACAAAAAAACTTTTTTTATAAAATTAAAGAATATAAAACAATACAGAAAATAAACAAAAGGCAATAATGTTAACATATTGGGCCATATTGTTTAAGAAAGAATTTTTTTTCTTAGTTCATTTAGTAGAATTATATTAAAAAAAGTGGATGTGGTAATTGAAGATGTTCATGTTTTGGTATGGTCTGCAGGACAGGTCTGTCCAAGTAGGTCCCACTGACTATTTCCTTCACAATCACTAAATGAATAATGCCAGTCTATGCCTATAAAAGATCAACTAATGCTGCAGCGCTATTTGCCTAAAGAACACCGGTTTTGCTCAATTCGCATTTTGTTTTGACGGTCTTAGCCACGAACAGCTGTACATATGTAATGATTTCCTCTGCAATTGCAAAAAACTAAACAAAACCATAGAAGATCAAGAAAATCAAGAGCAGCTTTGATTTCTGTGAATATGTTATTTAGAACTTAAACATTTTTTCATGCTAATCTCTTTTGATCATGACGTGCTACTTTCTGGTTCAACCTCAGTCAATCAAATGTTTGTGTGATAATCCATGAATTTAAGACACACCATTAGATGGCAGAATAGAATGTGCAACAAACATGCAAAATGTCCTGTAAAGTAAAGAATTATTAACACGATCTACAGAAACTGAATAAACACTAAGCTGTTACTAATGAACTACTAGATGTTACTGTTTGTGTGTTATCGTTGACCAATCTAGTCATTGCTGAAAAATTATATGGGTCACATTGATAAAGCAAACCTGAAGAGGAGAAATATAGTGATTTTGCACTCTAAAGTTACTTTGTTAGACAATAAAATGTGTGTGTGTATATATATATATATATATATATATATATATATATATATATATATATATATATATATATATATATATATATATATACACATACACACACATATATACACACATACATACACACACACACACACACAAATACATCTCATTCAAGTAGTGTCACTGAAAGGCAGACCTGATGATTTAGCACACCCCATATATCACCAACAGGGACAGCAATAGTTTTTGCCTTTTGTAAGAAGCTGTACAGAAGCAGCTGTCCCTAAATTGCCAATGAGCTAAATTTATATCCCATATGCTAGGTGTTCACATTTGATACACTGTTGCTGGACACAAAATAATATCCATAAAAAATAAAGGACATTTAGGTAGGACACTCTGGGCCTCAATACAACTTTAATGCATTTGATAGGTTTTGGGCTTAACATGCTTTATTAATTATTTGAATTATCAAAGCTTTATTTCTCCTCCCCCTCAATGTGTTCTTTCAATTAATGGACCCCTTAAAAATTAAGGACGTAAAACTATTTTGTTCCCCCTTTCCCACCAGTCAGTCAAACACTACTGGTTTGCAACTCCAGCAGTCCCCCAGCAGCCAATTGCCGCAGTGACAGCCTGTCACCACGGTTGCTCTCAATGTCACAGCCAATGAATGCAAACATTGTTTGAGACATTGTTTTCTGCCTCTCTTTACTCTTACGTTTGATCTTAGGTGAGAAAGGCAGACAGATCCTTGCTACATTGTCATGTGTTCGCTAAAAACATATTTACTGTGTATTATGGTGGAGAGGGGAGGAAGAGTGTTGTTCCACTGCTGTGATCAGTGTTACTGCAGTGATCAGTGCAATCAGTACATAGGGGGTCAGATGTTTTCATTTTTAATTTTACCCTTTTTGACAGATTTATTCATTTTGACTTTTTTCACCCTTTGCCTGCTGTCTGATGACTATACTGTATCTGTTCAGTCTTCTCAGAGCATTCTCTGTGATCAAGCTGACCTGTTCGAGTAATTTTTTTTTTGTTACTTTACACAAAAATAAATTACCCTTCCAGTGCTGATCACAGCTTTCTATACTGCAATAAATCATCTTCATGGTTCGTTCCTATTTAGTGAAAGAGGCTTACACCATTCTAAAATGCTTAAAGAGTGACACATTTAACATTGTGGACAGAGACACTTACACCCTCCGCTATGCAAGGCTTCATCTGATTGTGCTTCCAGCAAACCACCATCTACAATGAGGTGATCAGAATGCCCCTCTGTGGCAGATGAAAATTGGGTACCTCCAAATTTCACCACCTCTGAAATACTTCAATTTATGGAAACTCCTTGCATCACAAACAGCATTGACGTTTTGAGTCATTAAATTATTTGAAAGGGACACTATAGTCACCAGAAAAACTACAGCTTAAAGGATCACTATAGGTTCAGTAAAACAAACTCGTTTATAGCATCCTTAGGTCACGAGGACAGCCACTAGAGGTTGGATTAACCCTGCAATGTAAACATAGTTTCTCTGAAACTGCTATGTTTACATCTGAAGGGTTAAAATCTGGGGGGCCTGGCACCCAGACCACTTCATTGACCTTTAATGTAGTTGTTCTGGTGAGCATAGTAATTGCTTGCAGACCCAGGGAGAGCTGGAAATAATGTACGTTTTAACCCTTTTAAGGGGGGCAAGCCACCTAAATGGTGGTTTTAACACCAGTGTCAGGAATACATGTTTGTTTTTAAAGGATCACTATAGTGTCAGGAATACATAGCGGTTTTCCTGACACTATAGTGCCCTGAGGGTGCCCCCACCCTCAGGGTCCCCCTCCCGCGGCACTGAAGGGGTTAAAATCCCTTCAGCAGCTTACCTTATTCCAGCGCCGAGCCCCCTTGGTGCTGGTGACCTCTCCTCCCCCCGCCGTCAGCAGAGCCACATGCGCGACAAGTGCTGCGCGCAGATTCAAGCTGTCAATAGGAAAGCATGCTTTCAATGCTTTCCTATGGTCACTCTGCACGATGGAGGCATAATATGCCTCCAGCGTCGTAGATGCGCCTCTAGTGGCTGTCCGGAAGACAGCCACTAGAGGCTGGCTTAACCCCAAATGTAAACATAGCAAGTTCTCTGAAACTGCTATTTTTGCATCTGAAGGGTTAAAACCTGAGGGACATTGCACCCAGACCACTTCATTGAGCTGAAGTGGTCTGGGTGACTATAGTGTCCCATTAAGCGTTTTTAAGTCAAATGATATATTTCTGCATATTTATGAGCAAATCACTTTGTTTTCCAGACAATATCTCTTTGCAAATCACGAGACACCAAAACAAAAAAACGCCCACATGGCATTCCATTAAAGAAATAACAAATATTGAAAGGCACTGACCCTAGTAATGGGTAGAGGACAATTATAATGGAATCCCACTAACCCCCTCCCAAAAAAACCCCAAAAACTCCAGCGTAATGTCCCACTGGCACAAGTATCCCATCTTGGTTTCTTTTATCTGAAGTTATGAAGAGGGATTCATTTGACAAAAAATGCAGCAATTATCCTACACTGTAACAATTACAGTGCTCCCTAGAGATGACACATTGTATGACAGGCTAGACAAGATACAGCCCTTTACGGAACACTGGTCTCATAAGTGTTCCGAAAATTACACACCTCAACAAAAACATATGTATAATGAATCCCTGATGACATTTTAAAAGGAAGATTTTTAAGCAACATATTCCATCAAAGATAAAAAATAAAAATTCTATAAGTCAATACATGAGATTAAAAAGAAACTGTAGCAGAACGGAAGATGTAGAAAGTGAATGGAAGATTTTTGTAGATTTTTAGAGAACTATTATGATCCACAGTCATTAAATAATACACTAATAGAAGTAAGACATATGGAGTAGAGAATCTCTTTTGCAGAAGGATTCAGGGATGCCAAAAAAATGATACAATTTTGAGAAAGAACCATTTTTTGCACTACGTATAATGCAAGAGCAAGCCACATCAAAAAAAAAAAAAAAAAAAATCACAGAGAAGCATTGGAGTGTCCTACAACAGGATACCTTTTTGAAAGCAGTGATCGTATGCAAAGAGTGGTACATAGACGAAACACCACAATTAAAAATCTTTTGGCCCCAGTAAAATTAAGAATTTTAATGGTATAAACAAACAAATAATTTTTATTATGTGAAAGGCACGTATCCATGTGGGAGGAAAGGATATAAAATGCGCAAGTATGTACCTCGAGGGAATAATTAAACACTGGAAGAAGTACACCAGACAAGAAATGTACTTTAAACAGTATCATTAAGTGTGATAGTAAATTTGGATTTGAATAGAATGCCCTTGTGGCAGTCAATATGTGGATCGTACGTATAGACCACTAAAGGAAAAGGTTTTGGAGCAACATAGGGCCATATTAGCCAAATCAAAACAAATATGGAATTATGGTTTATATTTTTTTTAACAAGTCAAAATAGTGATAAAGTATAAGGTTTATAGTATATATAGTTTGAAGTTAGTATAGTATAAGGTTTAAAACAAATCCCACCTAGAGACAGAGGAGGAGACAGATTGCTTATACTCAGGCAGAGAGAAACATATTGGATCTACCAATTAGACACTTAAAAAGTAGAGTGGTCTAAATAAACATTTGGATTTAGCAGTATGTACCACTTGAATTATAATTAAGTTTATTTTATGGTCAAATTATTCTATAAATATTTGTATAGAATTTCATATGTTGTTGCTCAGTATTACATTTTGTATGTACTTTATTATATTATTTTTTTCAGTGATTGATTTGATTGGTTTTCAGTTATCCATCACTGCATATATAGATGGTTTTAATATTATGGGTTTACTTTACTAAATCTAAATATAACAAGATCAAAAAAAATATTTAAAAATGGTCTACATATGTCTAAAAATTCAAACACACACACACAATATATATATATATATATATATATATATATATATATATATATATATATATATATATATATTTTACACACACTTTTATTATATCTTGTATGTATGTTCAGACATATGTAGACCATTTTTAATTTCCACATATTTTCATCACTAGTTACATGAATAATAGTGTTGATATGTTGTTTATACACATAAGCACATATATGGTTTATCATATTTATCAGTCTGTCTTGCTATGTGAGGCAGAGCTACTTACAGTGGCTAATTTTGCAGCTACACTGTATTTTGTTGGATAATATATATTATAATAATCTTCTTAATGTTGTTTGAAAATACTGTAGGTACAATATGTGGCAAGTGCATATAAAGAGGAGGATTTGAGTCCCCCCTTGCTTTTGCTTGCCTTTTAGATATTGCATTTCAAGGGTTTACACATTCCAGAGCCAGGACAGACTCCTCTTCAAAATTTCTAATACAGAAGCAATGAGGATGCATGGCATGTGAGCAGCAATTGTTGCAATCTGAAAATCCAAAGCTTCTGTAAGTAGAAACACAGAATCCAATGCTTCTCATAGGAAGCATTTGACACAGGCATGATCCGATGTCAGCATACTTTGCATGGTGATGACATCAAACACATTCAATAACGGAATCTATTGCAGCCTGGAGTTCCTAGCGATTGTCTATCGAATTAGGAATTGTGGAATTTGCGAAATATAAACAATGCAGTTTATCAGAAACAGCAGTGATTTCATTTGCAAGGCTCCACGTCGGCGCTTTACACAGAAATAGAGAAGTACCTGTTATGTGCTGTACAATAAGTTTGGCACCGAAGATTAAGATATATGGAAAGCTTTTTTCCAACCACGGATAGAAGTGCAGGGCCTCTGAGATACTGCTGCTGTTTTCTCTTGAATCTGTATTATTCGGAGCCTCTGTCCCACCTGTTTCATGAGACTGAGTATGCACATGGCTGTGTTTATTCTGAAAACGTCCATGAGGGTTTGCTCTAGCTTGTCTGGAACCAGATCTTGGTCCACTGTCAGAATCTGTGGAGTGCATCTCTACAGCCACATCTCCTGTCATACTTGACCCTTCAGCAGGGTGTCTGATAGGAGGAAGGGTCAGGCAGACTGAAGAACTTTCACCATTGCCAGTCTGATGAAGGGGATGCCCAGAGTTTGTATGCATGGTGAGTGAATTTTTCTCTTTGAAGTTGCTGGCCTCACTGCTACATTTCCTAAACAATAAAAGAGAATGAATCAATAAATGCAACAAAGGACAATAGGGAAATGTTAAAAACAGACACTATAGGCATCAAAACAACTTTAGCTTAATTAAGCAGTTTGTGTGTGTAGATTAAGCCCCTGCAGTCTCACTGCTCAATTCTTTGTCATTTAGGGGTTGCATTACTTTTGTTTCCGTTTATTTTCAATAAGATGTTAAAGGGACACTATATTCACAAGAACAACTACAGCTTATTGTATTTCAGGCCTTTTGCAGTAAACACTGTATTTTCAGCAAAAACCCAGTGTTTACATTAAAACTTAGGCATAACTCCACTGGCCACGCCTCAGATGGCTACTAGAGGTGCTTCCTGAGGCATTACTGCCATTTAGTGTCTCCACCTTCTGCATGCAGGCACTAAACTTTCCTAATAGAGATGCATTGATTCAATTCATCTCTATGAGGAGATGCTGATTCACTAGGGCTGTGTTTGACTTGGGCTTGCTCTGCCCCCGATCTGCCTCCTTGACAGTCACAGCCATTCCTTTGGGTGGCTCACAGAATCACTTCTGATGACGTCAGGCATGCAGGCGGGTAAGAGCAGAGGCAGCAGCTGCAGACTGGAATACAAGAAATAGAGAGTCATGTTAATAAAACTTATGTATACTGATCAGCCACAACACTAAATCTACCTACCTTTTTGGGAAGCAGCTTCCAAAATATCCACATGTATATTCTCACAGTGGCAGGAGTTTAAAATATTGTTCTAGTGGCCTGTAACCCCCTGTTGAGTAGAATAGGAAGGAATCGGACTGACCTCTGCTGGCAGCTATGCGGCCATGGAGGCACATATTAACATATGTGGTGGGATTGTCCAAAAATAACGTGGGTTCTGAAAGAGTTAAAAAGGCAAAGTGGTGGTGGTCCTTCAGAGACCAATTGACTTCTCTGCTTTCATGGCCTATTGAGGGGTTCCTCGGACATACTCAGAAATTAATCTACTAACACTTGTACTGCTCTTGCGGCCGGGTGGCTTAAAATTGACCGACCTCCATTGCAAGAGGTTATTTCATATATTCAAGAAAATGTAGTTATGGACGAATGGACCTCAAAAGTTAGGCACTCCTCTTCCTCCTTCTTTTCCAAAGTCTGAGATCCTTGGTAGGAATATATAAGTAATGGGAATTAGGTATGTGGAGTATCTCTAGGTCAGGGACCACACACTGCGGACCTCCCTGTAAATTATCCCTCTAAGTTTTCTTTGTTTATGACTTCTCAAAAAATAAATACATAGACTTTGAGAGCAGTTTGAAGTACATATCAGACCTGTGATATGTATGATGTAATCTTATATTCATTATTATACATTCCTACTTCCCAGGGATGACGTATGCTATGGATTTTGTATCTACTGCATGCCGCATATCTTACGGACTATCTCCTGTAAATAAAGAATATTTAAAAACAAAAACACTTTCTGCTTAATATCATGTTGGTCCCCCTCCTGCTGCAAAAACAGGTCTGATGTGTTAAGGCATGGACTCCACAAGACCTCTGAAACCAAGATATGAGCACCAGATGCTTTAGCGTCTGCAAGTAGCAAGGTGGGGCCTCCATGGATTAGATCTGTTTCAGCACATGCCACAGATGATCAACAACTCTTTGTCGTGTCCCTCAAACCATTTTTGCAGTGTGATAGTGTACACTATAACTATCAAAGAGGCTGCCAACATCAGGGAAAAACTATTGCCATGAAGGAGGGTATGTGGTCTGCAACAATCTCTAGGTAGGTGGTACGTGTCAAAGTAACATCCACATGAATGCCAGGATCCAAGGTTTCCCAGGAGAACATTGCCCAGAGCATAACACTGCCTTTGCCAGCCTGCTTTCTTCCCATATTGTATCCTGTTGCCATCTCTTCCCCAGGCAAACAATGCACATGCACCCAGTCATCCACCTAATCTAAAAGAAAACCTGATTCACCAGCATAAGCAAGCTTCTTCAATTGATCCATGGTCCCCGTTCTGACACTCATGTCCCAACTGAAGGCGCTTTCAGTAGTGGATGGGGGGGGGTCATCATTGGCACTCTGTGCAGCCCCAAACACAGCAAACTCTGATGCACAAAGGTTTACAACAATTTGAGCTACAGCAGCTTTTCTGCGTAATTGGACCTGAAGGGCTAGCTTTTGCTCCCCATGCATTGGGCGCCTGTGACTATGACTCAGTCATCACTATTTGGTCCTAGTCAAAGTGATTCCGACCTTTTCGCTTGCCATTTTCTGTTGCTTCCAAATGCATGCATTCAAGAACTCACTTTTCTCTTGTTGCCTAAAATATCTTATCCCTTGACAGGTGTCACTGTAACGATATATAATCAATGTTAACCATTTCAGGAGGTTTTAATGTTATGGCTGAGCAGTGTATAAAAAGTCAGTACCTCCCGACAGGCCTGCCAACCTAGATGCTAGTGATATGCTGTACCATAACTGTGCACTACCTAGCTGTACCTGTACATTACCCAATATGAAACTTGTTAAACCGCCATACCTGTGATAACTCGCTGTCATCCAATGCATTTTATACCTATTACTTGTCTTAACCTCTGCAAATGTAACTTGATATACATGAACCGATAAAGAGTTAAAAATAATGGTTGGGGGGTGGAGGCACACTTTGGAGAGTGCACCCAGGGGCCTCTTGGCACCATAACTTAATTTAGATGAATTTGTCATGGTGCCTACACGGTCCCTTTGAGCCGTAGTGTTTCTGATGACTATTGTGTCCCTTTAAATACACCTTGCCAAAGAGGTGTCACTTTATTAATTTCAGACAGGCAGAGATATAATAATAATAATAATATTATAATATATATAGCACAACCACACATTCTATCTGGAGGTTATTGAATATAACTGCACACAGAGGGTTTTCTCCAAATAAAACACTCTTTCTTTGTGCACACGGTGCCCAGCTCCTGGTAACCCGCAGACCATGTCCTACTATTACTGCAGCCAGGACCGCTCTGTGGGAATGTGGGAGAGCCGCAGAGTTTATAAACACAGACACCCCTCACCTCTCATAGCTTGGCCGGAGCTGCATGGTGCCCCCTGCCCATCCCGCTCACCTGGGCTCAGCACACTAAGCAGTAAACGGCTGGGCCGGGCCAGGCAGCCCCAGGTCATAGGTCACGGGATCCACGGAGCGCACTCAGCTTGTTCCGGGTGAACACGTCCTGTCTGAGCGGGCGGCGGTGACGTCAGTGCACGAGAATGCGGGGGGAGGATGGACTAGGTGCATTGAAACTCCTGATCGGGACTAGCAGGAAGGCAGCGCTGGGACACGTCACCAGGTGGGCGGGGCGCCGGCACGCCGTGCGTGGTTGCTAACGGGAAGCTAGATGGCGTCTGTCGGCCATAGCAACGGAGGAGCTGGAAGCAAGCAGGTGAATGGAAGCCACTGAGTGTATGGGAGGGCTTTATAATGACATACCGGGGCAAAGAGTGATTGTGGGGCGATCAGCAGGGACACTGCATTGTACCCATAGTGACTGCTTCACTTTGAGAGATTTCCCCCGGGATCACACTTCATGCATGACGTCAGGCGTTTATACTCACTCCTTACTGACCGCTCAGACCGTCACAGAGCGGGAGCTGTCATATTGTGGCAAACTTTAGGATGAGACCCAATAACATTGGACATCATCAGAGCAGGATTAGCCATATGGTGACCGCAGGCTCTGGGGATCAGACAGGGCTCAGCCCTGGAACCATGAGTTATGAAATACTCACACTGACTGTGTTGGAATCTCACTGACATCTCAACCCAGCGAAGAGAGAGAGAGACAAACCAGCCACTACTTTGTCTCTGTATTTCTCCTCCAGCTGGCTTTCTTACACTCAGGGCAGAGTCTAGGTGTCCATCCCCACTGCAGGGAATTGGCCGTGTCTATGGAGGATCCCAGTAGAGTAAACATCGGCTCCTGGCGCTGAAGCGCCTGGAGTTTAAGAAGAGCAGGTGAAGAAAGTTCAGGTATATAAAATTCACGTGACCTGCCCCTTGGCTACCAGAACCCCACCTGCGCTGGCACTGTTGGGGGACTTTGCAAATTCAGATGCTGACAGTGCCACTTTAACCATTCCTATGTGAAGAATGAAAATCTGGTAACCTGTCTAGGGTCCTGTGGGATCCTAATCCTTTTCTGAATATATTGCATAATGTATTATTTTTTTTTATTTTCAGTTTTACAGAGAGTTTCATCGTGCTTTACAGTTTTCATTCCATTTTTATATACATTTTTCATTCAGGATTTCTTATTATTTGGCATATTATGTTATGCAATGTTATGTTTTAAAAAATAAATGTCAATGTCAAGTCTTTGTTTCATCTTATTTTACACAGAACCAAGTATATCAGAAAACTAACAGGGCTATTTATTAAAAAGTGAATCAACATAAATTGACCAGGGATTTCAAATTTTAAGCTTAAATAGCTGAATTGGTAAAATTCCCCAATCACCTATGTTTCCACTTGGCTATTTTGGAATAAGATTCGAAGCTGTCTGTTAAATTCCCAACAGTTCATGCTTTAGTGAATAGCCATGCAAAGTAAACATCCACTCAACCAGCAAGAATATACTAAGCAGGGGCATAATCTGTGCCAAGTATTTAGTTTTTTTTATAGCATCCAATACATTTTTTGTTAGTAGTCTGTTCAAGTGCAGCAGTGCTGGAAGGAATGCCATTTTCAATTCCACAGCCAACAAATTAAAAATCTATCATAGTTACATTTCTGAATAGAATTCTGTAAAGGAATACAATACTAAAATGATTGTCTATGCATTTTTGGTTTACCTACACTAAGCCAATGGTAATTTTGAGTCAAAAGTCAAAACAAACATTTTTATGTGTGTACTAAAAATTATCATGTTTCTGGGTAGCAGGATTGGTGTAAGGTTGCAAAATTGTGAATTCTATGGAGGTATATAACTTTCCTCTGTGAAACCAGCACTAAATTATTCATCCTGTTATCTATCTATTTATTTGTAAAAGGCATATTTTGTAAAACACAGCAGACCAGCATTAAAGCTATAACAAGTTGAAGTGCTTATTGGCTGCCGATATCAGTGGACTATTGGCAGTCTGCAGACCAAGCATATAGAGTACCCACTTTTTGCCACAGTTATTCTTGGTTATTGATAATGAACTCAGTTGCAGCAGAACAGCACTCCCTTACAATTACAACTTTCAGGGGAACCTGAAGTTGAGAACAGGGGCCTTTAACCCCTTAAGGACACATGACATGTGTGACATGTCATGATTCCATTTTATTCCAGAAGTTTGGTCCTTAAGGGGTTAATAAGAAAAAGCATACCAGGCAGCGGAATCCCAGAGGGCGAAGATATGAGACTAAGTCAGCTGATCCAAGGATCATGGCAGGCAGCAGGAAAAAGTGGTCAGGAGGGAAGCTGGAGTTGGGAACCAGCCAGGAAATAAATCAGAAGAGAAGCATGTCAGGAAACAGGAAAATCACAAGGCATTATGAAGAGGGAGGGTGCTTAGGACAACCAAGCACCAATTTGAGGTGCTCTTGGATTAAATAGGCTAACAGTCACATGATCAGCCACCTCCCACCTGTAGGTGGAGCACTCTGGGGCAGCATTGTCCCTGGACTGTTTCTAGGACGCCGCAGGTGCACAGGAGCAGATAAGTGGTGGCTATAGAGGTGACACAAGCTCTCTCTTAGTATGTCATCCCTGCTTCAATTCTGATGCTGGATACTACCATCCTACTTGCTCTTACAGTTCTAGGAATGTGTGTATTTTGGTAGAAACCATCTTTGTGAAATAATTTCAGTGTCATGCTACCCTCATGTTCTGATGTCACCAGAATGATGCCAGCCAAATTCTCTTTTGCCCTCTGGTGGTCTTTGTTACACGATAGTTCATTTATAGTTCTGCTTATCATTACACTTTTTTCTGACTTTGCCTCGTTCTTGATTTCCCTTTTATCTGTACTTCTGACCTTGACTCGCCTTATCATGTAGTTGCTCTTCTTTCTCTGCTTTACATGCATGCAGGTGTATTTTACTTAGTGCTATACATGTGCATTAAGTTCAGTATTTTTTTTCATTCATGCTGATTCTGGTTTTATGTGTTGGGTCATCATACCTCCCTATTTTGTAGGGACAGTTCATATTTCGGTCCCAAATCCCTCTGTCTCTCTTTTTTATTCCAAATCCCTCTTTTCTAGAAGCTCCATATTGCTATTATGTCTGAGTGTGTAACAGAGATTCACAGCAATAATACTTACAGAAACATGTCTCTAAACCAGGGCCGGACTGGCCCACCGGGATACTGGGAAATTTCCTGTTGGGCCGTCAGCACCTGCGGCAGGGCAGACAGCTGTCTGTGCTGGCGCTGCAGTGGGAGCTGGCTGTGCTGGCTCTGCTCCCCAGCGCGCAGCTTAATGAGACTGGGGCTGGAATATGACATCATATTCCGGCCCTGGTCTCATTAAGTAGAGCGCGAGGGTGGGGGAGCAGAGCCAGCACAGCCAGCTTGTGTGTCTGTCATGTGTGTGTCTCATGGTGTGTGTGTCATGGTGTATGTGTGTGCCTGTGTGTGTTTTTAAAAATAGTGTTTTTACTCACCTTTTTTCCCCCCATGTTGTGCTGGTCTTCCCTCGACTGGCCCTGCCTCTATGGCTGAGATCATCAAGCTTGATGATCTCAGCCAATCCGCAACTGACACAGGAAGCACCTCTAGTGACCATCTGAGTGTCTGTCACTAGAGGTGTCACTAGGAAGAAATGCAAACACTGCCTTTTCCCTGCAGGGACAGGCTATAGACACCAGAACCACTACATTAAGCTGTGTGTGTGTGTGCGCGTGTGCCTGCTAGTGAGTGAGGTTGCTTGCATGTGTGTGCCTGCTAGTGAGTGAGCTTGTGTTTTTATGTCAATGAGCTTATGTATATCAGTGAGACTGTTTGTCTATGAGGCTGTGTATCAGTGAGCTTGTGTGTGTCAGTGAGATTGTCTGTGTCTTCATGTGAGTATGCTTACTGTATAATTAAACGTTTTACTCTGAAAGGACCAATATTTTATATTAGAAAAAGCAATATATATTTTATATATATATATATATATATATATATATATATATATATATATATAAATAACTCAATCATCTGGGGTGGCAAGACACAGCCTTACATATTACATGCAACAATATATGGCGCAATGACTTATGGGGCTGGCATAGATTTTTTTTCCAAGGCTGCTTTGTATCCTTAGTCCGGCCCTGCTCTAAACTACAATAAATGTGGAAACGTATACAAAAAATAGAAAATGCAGAACATAATACTGGAATATAACAAAATACACATACAAAATTCCATTAATAACTGCTCGAAAAGTGCACAATAGAACAAATAAACCAAAATGTTTAGAAATCAGTTTATGCAAATAAGTTCTTGTTTTAAATTACATTTTAGTTGCAGAAATTGTTTTTAGTAAGTCACCAAAATGTATTATAAGTAGGTCACCTGCTCCTGGCAACACCCCACTCACACCCCTTATATTAAAGTGTTCCCCTAAGCCATGTGCTAATAATATGATCTATTTATTAGTAGGTATGGAGACAATTCAGAATCATAGTCAAAATCGTTTTAACGAACCTTGGCTGGACTCTTGCTTTAATGCAACCTTGTTTCCTGGAAGTCCATGGCAAAAGGTAAGGAACATCATTCATAATTTCAGATTTTTAGGTAGTTTGCTATATTTTATTATATTGGTGTAGTCTATTACAATACTGTTGCTTATTTTTAATGGAGGATGGCTATAAATTATGCATATCATTTTGGAATACAATATGTCGTGGGATGTACTTTAGTCTGTGCCACAACATATGTACATTTGAAATTACATTCAATGGACTGGTAAAAATTCTTTTTTCCATATTTCTTATTGTGATTTATGGAGTTCTGTGCTCTAATTCACAATGCCTACATTTGCTAAACTCAACATAAAAACATAATGCATCCTTTATTTGAAGCTATTGTATTTTATAGATTTAATATGAAAGTCGTGTATTTCAAGTAGATTTTTTAGTTTCCCCAGGGCAATTTCAGTTAATTGTGTTCATTTATGTTAATATTTTTTCCAACTTGTGTTAATGCATGTTAATATTTTTTTGTCAATCTTTGGTTTTATTGAGGCAAAGTTTTAACATGTCATGACAATTGCAGATCAAGCTATAATGTAACTTCATGTGAGCAATAACTTGCGCAGTAAGGTAATGTTAAGTAACCATGAATACATGTTCACTAAAAGATTGGCCGAGCATCTTATT